GGGTGGTAATGAAGGAAAAGGCGAGAAAAATAAGTGTTTAGGTACAGTGAGATAATATCGCTATTCCAGCTTCCATCAATAGTCAAAGTGTTAGGCATTGTTAGTTTGTCGTTTCGTTTACTCATGTGCGTACAACAAATGCGAAACTGTTCAAACCTACCTTTTGTGTGTCCAGTAATACGTAATAGAGTGGGGCCAGCTGATGAGTCCTCCCACTATAAACATAAGGGATGAAAACCATCTCTGTGGGATAACCCCTGGAGATTGTTTCTGGCTTTTTCTTGTTTTGCAGGTATACAGCACATTCTCTTCTTTGTCCTATAGTTCTGACTACACAATTGTGTTTGTATACCTTCCATGCCATTGTGTCTGTCATGCAGTGCATTACAACTCTTCTGGTTTGCTCTGTTATCTATGTATGTGGAGTCTGACTGTGTTGGGGTTGTTAGCAGCAGCAACTATATTCAACATATTAGGCATGGTTGGTTTGTCATTAATTTTCATTTACTCACATCCATGCAAATCCATTCAAACCCTTGTCGGAAGGGGTGGTAAAGAAGGAAAAGGCAAGAAAAATAAGTGTTTAGGTACAGCTAGATAGTATCGCTATTCCAACCTCCAACAATAGTCAAAGTGTTAGGCATTGTTGGTTTGTCGTTTCGTTTACTCATGTGCGTACAACAAATGCAAAACTGTTCAAACCCTTGTTGGTAAAGAAGGAAATTGCTAGAAAAATAAGTGTTTAGGTACAGCTAGATAGTATCGCTATTCCAACCTCCAACAATAGTCAAAGTGTTAGGCATTGTTGGTTTGTCGTTTCGTTTACTCATGTGCGTACAACAAATGCAAAACTGTTCAAACCCTTGTTGTAAAGGGTGGTAAAGAAGGAAATTGCAAGGAAAATAAGTGTTTAGGTACAGCTAGATAGTTTTGCTATTCCAACCTCCAACTATAGTCAAACTGTTAGGCATTGTTGGTTTGTCATTTCGTTTACTCATGTGCGTACAACAAATGCAAAACTGTTCAAACCCTTGTTGTAAAGGGTGGTAAAGAAGGAAATTGAAACAAAAATAAGTGTTTAGGTACAGCTAGATAGTTTTGCTATTCCACCCTCCAATTATAGTCAAAGTGTTAGGCATTGTTGGTTTGTCGTTTCGTTTACTCATGTGCGTACAACAAATGCAAAACTGTTCAAACCCTTGTTGAAAGGGTGGTAAAGAAGGAAATTGCAAGAAAAATAAGTGTTTAGGTACAGCTAGATAGTATTGCTATTCCAACCTCCAACAATAGTCAAAGTGTTAGGCATTGTTGGTTTGTCGTTTCGTTTACTCATGTGCGTACAACAAATGCAAAACTGTTCAAACCCTTGTTGTAAAGGGTGGTAAAGAAGGAAATTGCAAGGAAAATAAGTGTTTAGGTACAGCTAGATAGTTTTGCTATTCCAACCTCCAACTATAGTCAAACTGTTAGGCATTGTTGGTTTGTCGTTTCGTTTACTCATGTGCGTACAACAAATGCAAAACTGTTCAAACCCTTGTTGTAAAGGGTGGTAAAGAAGGAAATTGAAACAAAAATAAGTGTTTAGGTACAGCTAGATAGTTTTGCTATTCCACCCTCCAATTATAGTCAAAGTGTTAGGCATTGTTGGTTTGTCGTTTCGTTTACTCATGTGCATACAACAAATGCAAATCCATTCAAACCCTTGTCGGAAGGGGTGGTAAGAAGGAAAATGCGAGAAAAATAAGTGTTTAGATACAGTGAGATAATATCGCTATTCCAGCCTCCAACAATAGTCAAAGTGTTAGGCATTGTTGGTTTGTCGTTTCGTTTACTCATGTGCGTACAACAAATGCAAAACTGTTCAAACCCTTGTTGTAAAGGGTGGTAAAGAAGGAAATTGCAAGAAAAATAAGTGTTTAGGTACAGCTAGATAGTATCGCTATTCCAACCTCCAACAATAGTCAAAGTGTTAGGCATTGTTGGTTTGTCGTTTCGTTTACTCATGTGCGTACAACAAATGCAAAACTGTTCAAACCCTTGTTGTAAAGGGTGGTAAAGAAGGAAATTGCAAGGAAAATAAGTGTTTAGGTACAGCTAGATAGTTTTGCTATTCCAACCTCCAACTATAGTCAAACTGTTAGGCATTGTTGGTTTGTCATTTCGTTTACTCATGTGCGTACAACAAATGCAAAACTGTTCAAACCCTTGTTGGAAATTGCTAGAAAAATAAGTGTTTAGGTACAGCTAGATAGTATCGCTATTCCAACCTCCACTGTATAGTCAAACTGTTAGGCATTGTTGGTTTGTCATTTCGTTTACTCATGTGCATACAACAAATGCAAAACTGTTCAAACCCTTGTTGGAAATTGCTAGAAAAATTAGTGTTTAGGTATATACAGCTAGGTAGTATCGCTATTCCAACCTACTGTATAGTCAAACTGTTAGGCATTGTTGGTTTGTCATTTCGTGTACTCATGAGCATACAACAAATGCAAAACTGTTCAAACCCTTATTGGAAATTGCTATAAAAATTTGTGTTTAGGTATATACAGCTAGATAGTATCGCTATTCCAACCTACTGTATAGTCAAACTGTTAGGCATTGTTGGTTTGTCGTTTCGTTTACTCATGTGCATACAACAAACGCAAAACTGTTCAAACACTTGTCGGAAGGGGTGGTAAAGAAGGAAGTTGCAAGAAAACTAAGTGTTTAGGTACAGCAAGATAGTATCGCTATTCCACCCTCCAATTATAGTCGAAGTGTTAGGCATTGTTGGTTTGTCGTTTCGTTTACTCATATGCGTACAACAAATGCAAAACTGTTCAAACCCTTGTTGTAAAGGGTGGTAAAGAAGGAGATTGATTTAAAAATAAGTGTTTAGGTACAGCTAGATAGTTTTGCTATTCCAACCTCCAACTATAGTCAAACTGTTGGCATTGTTGGTTTGTCATTTCGTTTACTCATGTGCATACAACAAATGCAAACCCTTGTTGGAAATTGCTAGAAAAATTAGTGTTTAGATACAGCTAGATAGTATTGCTATTCCAACCTACAACTATAGCCAAACTGTTAGGCATTGTTGGTTTGTCGTTTCGTTTACTCATGTGCATACAACAAATGCAAACCTTGTTGGAAATTGCTAGAAAAATTAGTGTTTAGAAACAGCTAGATAGTATTGCTATTCCAACCTCCAACTATAGTCAAACTGTTAGGCATTGTTGGTTTCTCGTTTCGTTTACTCATGTGCGTACAACAAATGCAAAACTGTTCAAAACCTTGTTGGAAAGGGTGGTAAAGAAGGAAATTGCTAGAAAAATGAGTGTTTGGGTACAGCTAGATAGTTTTGCTATTCCACCCTCCAATTATAGTCGAAGTATTAGGCATTGTTGGTTTGTCGTTTCGTTTACTCATATACGTACAACAAATGCAAAACTGTTCAAACCCTTGTTGTAAAGGGTGGTAAAGAAGGAGATTGAATGAAAAATAAGTGTTTAGGTACTAGATAGTTTTGCTATTCCAACCTCCAACTATAGTCAAACTGTTAGGCATTGTTTGTTTGTCCTTTCGTTTACTCATGTGCATTGTGAGAAGCACATAGGCACTGTATATTTGAAAAACTTTATGGCCTCCTGAGCCAATGAAGGATATTCAGGGCTGCACCTTACTCCAGGAGTGAACCACAAACATGACATGAAATTAAGTCTTAATTCCAACCTACTGTATAGTCAAACTGTTAGGCATTGTTGGTTTGTCGTTTCGTTTACTCATGTGCATACAACAAATGCAAAACTGTTCAAACCCTTGTTGGAAATTGCTAGAAAAATTAGTGTTTAGGTATCAGCTAGATAGTATCGCTATTCCAACTACAACTATAGTCAAAGTGTTAGGCATTGTTGGTTTGTCGTTTCTGCATTGTGAGAAGCACATAGGCACTGGATATTTGAAAAACTTGATGGCCTCCTGAGCCAATGAGCATTTACAAAATAGCTTAGGATATTCAGGGCTGCACCTTACTCCATGAGTGAACCACAAACATGACATGAAATTAAGTCTTACAAGGTCTTGTCACAGTGTCTATTTGTCTCTCTCCATCTGGTGACCCACCAGGTAACAGCTGCAACCTGGTTAAGAGATGTATGTTACTCACACACTCTGTAAGTTCAGTGCAACCGCAGACTTGTCCACTTCACTAACCTCCTTGTGTTGTTTGAGACTGGTCGGTCGCCAGAAATTTTGTCAGCATGGGTATATACAGTCTTACAGACTTGATTTTAAGACACATGGTCTTTATATGCATCAAGGTGTCTTGGACTGTCCAATTTTGCATTGACTATACCCTTCTATATTTTGATGTGATGTATGGAACTGCCTGTTGTCTTTAGGTAGCTGGTGTTTCGTTTCCCCTCGTGTTAACCAGAATGTTTCACACATTCAGTTAGGATCTCTTGTTCATAGGCAGTAGTACGTACCTCTCTATTCAGTAGATATTTACGTATATCCAGAACAGCAGGGTTCTAAAGTGTTCAGCAATGAGTTTTTCAGGTGTCCAACACCTATTATTTCATTCAGCACCATGTTGTATCATGGGCCTAATTCCTTGACCCCAGAACTATTCCACTGGCTCTAATAAAATTTCAGTTGGTATGAATAATTTTTGTAAATTCTGGCTTACGGATTTTCACCACTGTACATGAGGTAATTTTCTGTACTTTTTTCTCTTGCAGGCATGGTTGGAAGCCCCTCTGCTCAAGCTGTAGCTGTTGTGAATGATGGATTCAGCTACATAGACACTGGATATCCATGTAAGTTAATCCCGTTGGAATATTTGGGATTACACATTTGATTTTACTCGCCTTGGTGCGCACATGATCTCGCCAGGAATTATGTCAGCATTATATAGGTATATACAGCCTTACAGACTTGATTTTAAGGCACATGGTCTTTATATGCATCAAAGTGTCTTGGACTGTCAAATTTTGCCATTGACTATAACTCTTCCTATGTAGTTTGATGTGTTCGATTATGTATAGAACTGTCTGTTGTCTTTCGGTAGCTGACGTTTCGTTTCCCCTCGACGGCCTGAAGAACTGCATGGCGCCTTGATTGGTGTCATAGCGCCAAATCTGCACCCCTGTAATAGCCTCATCCCTAAAACCGACACATTCTATGGGGGGTGATTAATGCCAAAAAATAACACTCTATTATGAATCTTTACTCCAATCTTTTGACTCTGTACTTCATTAGTATTGACACTCACTCTCATTTGAGACTGAACTGCACTGCTTTCCTACACTATGCTCTCTTACGTTTGTAGGAAAGCAGTGCAGTTCAGTCTCAAATGAGAGTGAGTGTCAATACTCATGAACTTTAGATACAAACGTAAGAGAGCATAGTGTAGGAAAGCAGTGGAGTTCAGTCTCAAATGAGAGTGAGTGTCAATACAAATGAACTTTAGATACAAACGTAAGAGAGCATAGTGTAGGAAAGCAGTGGAGTTCAGTCTCAAATGAGAGTGAGTGTCAATACAAATGAACTTTAGATACAAACGTAAGAGAGCATAGTGTAGGAAAGCAGTGGAGTTCAGTCTCAAATGAGAGTGAGTGTCAATACAAATGAACTTTAGATACACTATGCTCTCTTACGTTTGTATCTAAAGTTCATTTGTATTGACACTCACTCTCATTTGAGACTGAACTGCACACACTCACCTACTGGTACTTTATGCACATGCACATGAGCGAGCCGGGTCTTTGACCTTTGATATAGTGGGCTTTAACTAGAAATAGATCTTTGTCATCCAATTGATCATCGGCATCTGAATTATCGAATACATCAACAGCAACAAGTTCACGAAACAGTAGCTCCAACAGCATTCGCTGGCCATCTAATAGATGCAAACTCCTTTCATAAAGTTCTTCCACAATCCTTAGAATACACCACTCGGGGACCTGCGGCTGAGCCATGACAAAGATATATTTCTAGTTAAAGCCCACTATATCAAAGGTCAAAGACCCGGCTCGCTCATGCGCATGCTCATAAAGTACCAGTAGGTGAGTGTGTGCAGTTCAGTCTCAAATGAGAGTGAGTGTCAATACGTACAGAGTCAAAAATAATAGAGTATAACATTCCGCATGATTTGCGCATGCGCTGTTTCTTGAACTCACATACATACGTACGTACACACGTACATATATGCGCGTGCGCTGTTATTTTGTGCGCATGAGCATAGAAAAGGACATAAATGTACGACGTCTTCGCGGCTTTATTCACTCGCCGCTGCTCGCGGGAAAACAAACAATGAAGTTGGGCTGGGCTTGTATTTTGCTTACGCTTGCTCAGGCTGGGCTGGGCGACATTGTAACACCGTGCAGTGATACGGATGTTACGGCCCTCAGAGACACACTTCGCCAGTCAGCGTGCAAGCTTGTTCCAGGCCGAGGAAACGACACCCAGACGCAGATCTTCAGAGAGAGTGTGTATAAGAAGCATGGTCAACAAAGTAGGTTTTCCAGGGATGTACATGGTACGGCGTGGACGACATCCGTTTTCTTCCTTCGCAGATATTTTGTCTCCATTCTTCGCTTTTGCAAGCCTCTTCCGACCCAACCCAGCTCTGGTGTGGTGCCGCTCTCCCTGCTCGCTAAAGTCTGCCAACATCACGTGGTGCATCAACATCGCCTATCTGGACAGGGTTGTGGAGACGTGCGTCAGGCTGGGGGAGGATGGGCAGATTGTCACTAACAGCACCTGCGAGGCGGAGCTGGTGGGTGTCCCAAGTGTACTGGACCTTCCCTCAGTAAGCTCAACATGTTGTGACCAGCCTACCCCCATGCAAATGACACCCGGTGTGTGTGTGTGTGTGCAGGTTTGTACGTTTGCAGGAGACACTGGGTGTCTTGCCATGGCCAACCTGGACTGGTTCTATGAAGGCTCTCTCATGACCTGCACCGTTGAGTCAGAGACCTGCAGCTCTAAGTCTTTCACAACTCTGCTCACCACAAGTTAGTCTGCAGGAGCCACTATATCACTCACTGACTCTCCTCCCGCTACAGGTGGCATTGCTCAGCCACCAGAGTTTGAGCTCTTCCCTTTGTCTCCCTTCAACATTCTCACCAGCAACCAGGTGGTCCTTCACGTAGAGCTCAGTTCTCCAACGGAAAGGATCACTGTAATCTGGCAACATAGAGACACTCTTCACAACCAATTCATCTATGAAGATCCTTTTTGTGTCAGTCTACACGAGGCAAGTTGTGTTTGCGACAGCTTGGACTCCAGTAATTTGTGTCTGTCTTTTTTTAGGAATGTCAGAATGACACTCACCCCAGGGCAGCACAGTTGCGGCAGGAGAGGATCAGAACTTACCGCACCACTCGCGTCGTGGAGTTAGATGGTTGTCAGAGCAGTTTCTTCTATCGCCTAGAGACCTACCTCATAATTGACAATGCAACTGCTGAGGACAGTGGTGAATACATTTTCAATTCGACTGTCACCCATACAGGATCCGATCCTATCACTGTTGCTCGCAGTGTCAATGTGTCTATCAGTAAGTGACCTCCTTCCCAGGTGTCCTCTCCAGCTAACACCTCTCAATACAGGCTGTGAAAACCGCCCTCCTCCGATCGAGTCAACTGCAGCGCCTCTCTCCATCCGTGTACAAGGAAACAACAGCTATTGGGAGTGTACTCTAACTGACCATCCCGGAGCCAACCTCGTTCTAGTCTTGAACAAGACCACTGTCCTCCAGCCTAGCAAACCAGGCACCACTTGCAGGAACCGCTCTGAAGTGGTCTTCTACGTGGAGCCAACACCAAAGCACACCTGCTACAGCAAGTTCAAGATGGTGGTGTTTGTCTGCTCAGCCGACTACAGTCTGGTGGGGGAGTACAGTGTGATGAACAGCAGTGGCCACTGGGCTCCCGGCAGCTCTGTCTTTGTGAAGGTGGTAGAGGGGCAGACTATCCTAACTATCCCCAACTCTCATGCTTCCTCGAGTGGTATGTCTGTGCTCCACACACTCTCAATATCTAATGTTTTGTTTGAAGGTAAGGGAGAGGATGAAAATCAAGTTGTGTACACTGCTGTTCCAGTGTCGATCTTGGTGGTATTGGTGGTGGTTGTGCTGGTAGTGCTGCTGGTGGTGCTGCGCAGCCGCAAGAGAACTCGAGACAGGAGGATCCTCACTAGAGTCCACAGCCCTTCGCTGAAGGAGGTGGCCTTCCTCAAGGAGGACGGCGGCGAGCCAGGACTACACTCACCTAGTTCCCCTGGCAACTGTAACCTTGGTGACCCCCTTGAGTTTCCTCGCAACAGACTCTACGTTTACTCCAATAAGATACTTGGTATGTGGAGTACTATAGTGGGTCCCAGGGAGTAGAGTGAAGTTGTAGGGCCTCAAGAGGAAGCTCCTTAGTTGTTGACAGTGGCAGTGTGGCTGCCCTCACACTGGCCCTGAATGGCTGGCAGCAGTGGCCAGTCTTCCTCACCCATGGCTTCCTCTCTGTAGTATTGTTTGTGCCTTTCAGGAAGTGCAGCCATTGAGTTGTGTGTGAAACTTGTGCCAACAGCTGTGCCTCCTCTCTTTTACCAGGGGAGGGCTCCTTTGGGAGAGTGCTCCAGGCCAAGGCACAGGGAATAGTGCCTGGCATGCCAGACAGGAATATTGTTGCTGTCAAGACAACAAAAGGTAAAAGTCACCACACATTAGCCATCTTCTGTGTCTCTCTGTTTGTCTCTTTCATGACTCAGACTAAAGTCATGTAATATCCCCATCAGCTGGGCCATCAAAATGTCGATGGTGTGACTGTTTGACTGATAAGTCGTGTGTCCTGTCTTTCTCTTTCCCTAGACAATGCCACTAGTCTGGAGAGAGAAGAGCTGCTGGCAGAGTTGCAGCTGATGAAGTTCATGGACCCACACGAGAACATCCTCAATCTACTTGGTCACTGCACTACTCCAGGTTGGCCCTGAATCCTCTGTGGTTACTATGGCAATTAGTGCGTGAGAGTTTGCAGGTGGCCCTGTTTGCCTGATTGTGGAGTATGCGTCGTACGGGAATCTGAGAGACTTTCTGCGGCAGTGTGAAGAGGTGGTCCTCTCCCTCAACCACATGCCACACATCCCCCGCAACAGGTTCAGACAACAGCTGCCACTCTCTCATACTTGACTGAACACCGACCATGAATACTGTCTCCCTCACTCAAGGTCTCGAACACGGACCTTCTCTGCCTCCAGCTGCAGCTCCTCTCAGCCACTCATCTCCAGACAAGACTCAGTGTTCACCCCCAGCAGTGGCCACACCCACTTTGTTTTCCCGTCTTCCCCAACAAGCCATGTCAGCAGTGGCAGCTGCAGCAGTGACACAGGAGGCAAGATGACGGCCCACCATCCCGACGCAGCCGCCATTCCTCTGGCTCATTCAGTGGCTCCCATTGGTCACGACTACCTCAACACAAAGGGTCTGGTGTACATGGAGGATGTGCACAACTTTGCTCTCCAGATTGCCTGTGGGTTGGAGCACCTCGCCAGCATGCAGGTGAACAGACAGCTGCCGCCTGCTGCTTCTCTATGGTGTTTTGTGTTCCATGCAGCCATAGCTGAGTCCATTTCCTCTACTTTCTTTCACCTCCATCTCCCTCTCTCCTTTAGATCGTACACTGTGACTTGGCAGCTCGCAATGTGCTCATTGCAGAGGGCTTTGTTCTCAAGATTGCAGATTTTGGTCTGGCAAGGGATATCAGTGAAAGGGAAATGTACAAGAAGAACCCAAGAGTAAGTCCCAGAAAGAAAGGGTGACATTTTTCACTTGTTTTGCTGCTCTTGAGCTAAGGAAGTATCATGTTACGTTCTCAGGCTTACATAATTGTACTCTCTGAGAGGGATAATTGGTGCTGTGAGTACTCTAATTCCTTTGTGTACAGGGCAAAATTCCAGTCAAATGGACTGCTCCTGAGGCGCTGGAGAAAAGGATATTCACAGTCAAAAGTGACGTGTAAGTGAATAACTGCCTTTGAATGCCAGCTAAGATGATTGTTGTATATATATACCACTTCAGGTGGTCCTATGGAGTTCTGCTGTGGGAACTCTTTACTTACGGTCAGTATACTAGCAACCCATATTGTTGGCAAAAGTACACAAGTAATTTAACACTTCACTCACCACTCACTTCCTTCTCAAAGTCATTTTTATGTGACTCCCAGGCCACACCCCCTACCCGGAATTCAACCTCGGGACGTCGTACGAGCCGTTCATTGAGTTCCTGAAGTCTGGGAATCGCATGCAGCAGCCTGAGAGTTGTCCACCTACTTTGTATGTTACTACCTGACTACCACCACCAGCTACTGACTCTATCTCTCCTCCAGCTATGACCTGATGTTGGAGTGCTGGCATCTGGACCCCAGTCTGCGACCTTCTCCCCACGACATAGTGGCCCAACTCACTCCCTCTGACTCCATCTTTGACGACGCTGACTCTGAGGTTCATGCAGCTCAGAACACCGTCTGCTCAAAGTTGACCTCCAGTAGCAACGGAGGCCACCAGTCATGTGAGCCCCTCTCCCACCTTGTTGTCATGGTGATTAACCTCTCATTCTTTTCCTCTCCAGCCCAGGAATAAACAACCCGTTTTCAATCAAGGACTCTCCAATCAATATTTTTGTAGTTATCCATAGACTTTTGTACGTTTATTACTTTTAATACAGGTATATATAGATGTGTGTGTCATAGTTGAGGTGTCTCCAATGGACTTGCCACGTCATTATGTCTTACGGGCAAAAATGTGCATTAAATGGAATACCGCACATTACACTTTCCATTGACAGTCTGCATTCCTTTCTCAATTATAGACAGTGATAATAATTAATTGATAAAGGCAGCAGAATGAAACCACAAGTGATGTAATATAACGATAAGATGTAGTCACGACAATGGTGGCGGAGGAGTCCTACTGTACCTCAACTCCTCTGGTCGCTCAGGCAACGGAGGCGGGTCCTGTGAGCTGGTGGTCAGAGGATTCGAAGGTGGGGGTTCCAGGGAGGAGGAAGGGTAGGAGAACGGGAGAGGTGGCAATGGCTGCAGCAGACATTGCATGGTTTATAGAGGGGTGTGGGGCAGGCTGTTTCACCTGATCCTTCTTGCTTGGTTGCTGCAGAGAGTGGGAGCGTTCTCTGGGAGGAGAGGAAGACCTGGGCGACTGGGCTCGAGGAAAATTTGATCTTTCCTGCAAGGGACAGGCAACACGAGTGAGTTGCAGAGGGCACACTCAGATGATATCTACCAGAGTTCTAGAGTGAGGAGTGTGGGCACTGTCTTGTGGTTCTAGCTTCAGGTGTGAGGAAAGAGCATCAACCCAGGCCATCATCTCTTCGCTGCAGCGGTCAGTGGTTGATTAGCTCTCACCATTAGCCTGTGTGCTTACTGAGAGACAGCAGAGAAGTAGAAGATCCTTTCAGGAAGATGGACTGCAAATACATGGGGTCTGCTGCTGTGACTAAGAGCTCGCTCCACTTTAGAGCAGCTCTCCAGAGGTACTCGGTTGATGGGCATTCTCCCAGTCAGCACTGCCTGTCTGTCGGTGAAGTATAGGAGACATGGAGGCTCGTTTCCTGTGCTCGTGAACACGCACCACCGCTGCCTCCAGTGCTGTACACACATACACACACAGTCCTCTATATACACCAGAGAGATTATGGTATCGACCTTGACACCACGTCTATCCAACGGAGGAGACTTCACCAAATAACCTTCCTTCACCGTCCCGGGGTAGACGGGCCGGCTCTCGTCCAGCCACGGATGCGCCATAGCTCTCTCCGCGCCGACTCCAACTAACTGGCCGGAACACCTACCTCCGTGCTGCGGCGCTAACTAGCATCCCCAGCGCCGGGAATGATCACTATTCGCGGCCCTTCGCACAGAAAAAACACACGAAGCATTGCAAAAACAAGATGAAAAAACATCAACATCTGTCGCTACCTAGAAAAATGTTCCAAGTGTTTAGTATTGTGAGCGGTGAGTGTGCGTGCATAATGGCAGGACTGGTCTTGAAGGGTGAGGAAGAACGAAGAGATGGATGCATTGGGTGTCGCAATATGGCGATGGGGTAGCTCACAGGCATACAACTGCCTCAACTGCTCACACAATGCATGCAGAGCTCCTCCATGGCTCACGAGGAGCACATGCCAGTGGGGAGAAGGCAAAGTTGGCTCCAAGAGTCCACCATCTTTCCGAGGAATGGAGTGTCGCAAGTTCATCTTGCAGACAGCTCTGAAACAAGTGTAGGTTATAAGTGAAACTATGAGTCCTGACTAAAACCTGCAAAGATCACTCAGAAAGGAAGACAGTCTTTCATCCACTGAGTCCTGGGTCTCTCCTCCACTGGGTGTGTAGTCCTTCACACTCACCCCTGCCTCCCGCGCAGCATCCACTAGCTCAGTGAGTGGTCTACCTTCGTGAATGCCATAGCCCTGTGGGCCACACAGACCTTCACTATCCTTACATACCCTAAAACAACCTCACCCTTTCCCTCAGTCTCTCATCTAGTGTCACCGGCACAGAATAGCCGAGCTCTCCTCTGATCAATTCTGCAGTCTAAACGACCCACACATGTACATGTAGCACCTATACACACAGTCTACCTGCACAGCTCTACTGAGGTCAGAGCAGTAGATGTGGGAAATTAGTTCAGCTGCAGCAAGTCTCTGGCCTGCTCGCTGGCTCTGGTTTCGGCCATGCTCTGAAAGAGCAGTGTCTAGCTGGCCTAGTGAATGACTGACTGCCGCTGCACTCTGTCATTAGAACAGCAAAACTTACCTTGAATAATACGCTCTTTGTTGGCTGTGGTCTCCCCACTGTAGAAGAACGATATCCCTAACTCATGTGACGTACAGGCGAAGAGTTAGACACACTCACTGTCTCACTAAGGTGAGCTGCAAGTGGGTCTCCACTGCGGCCATCTTTTGACAAAATGTATACGCATGCGCGTTCGCACACTCGCAAGCGACGACGCGCACGCGCGACCGCTAGAATACCGGCAAACAGTGCTCCATCTCTGTAGCTAATTGAAATTCTTCCAGGAAAGTCTATTACTGTATATACACTCAAGACACAGATATAACAATAGCTAAACAAGAATAACCTCCGTGCTGATGGCCTATAATAACAGTCGTAGCAGGCTATAACAATAGTGGTCTCAAGTGGAGTGAGGTAGGACTTTTATCAATAACGTCACCAGCTCGAATGCGTGGGTAGTTTGTTTCTGCCGAGGTTTCTGCAAGGCCTCTTGCATTGCGATGGTGGCTATGTGATACCAGGAGCTCTCATTGGTGACTTGCAGACGTAACTGACTCGTGGCAGAACTAAACGGGATTTTGCCGCCTGATCCGATCCTACGAGCCACGCCCCTCAGCGTCTGCCGAGATGTCAGCGGAGAAGCGGACCTCTCTACTGCTGCCTTACGATGCCGTGTTCCGAATCGAAGTGTCCCTATCCAGCCAATCGACCTCTGCCATCGTCATGAGGACCACAGCAAGGCTGTACAGCCTGGAGGGGGTGCAGAGCTCCCGACCTCGTGTCGGTTAGCGCATTTCCCCTCAGGCTAGCTATACCGCTTCCTAATACTCTCTGCTGGGTGTTCAGGTGATGCAGAGTGGAGGTCAGTGGCTTACGGTGCTCCGTGCATACAGCTCATTCGCCTTGGCAGTGGGGAAAACAGCACTCTTTTCAGCATTAGAGTGGTGATTGCGGAGGTTGAATCTGGTAGGTCATGTCTGTTGCCTTTGAGCCCCATAATAATCTCAGAATGCAGTACAAATCGGTCCAGTTGGTTATGTGTGCAACTAATCTGTAGCTGGCTTTTTCTGTTCATGTGCTGCAGGTATTGCATTGTGGGAAGGAGTTGTCCATGGCAACTGTCGATATGGGGCAATGCAGAAGAACTTCCATACCTTCATTTCATCTGATAGCACATACGCCATTCAGTTTGTAAAGTAAGCCAGAGCTAGTGCCAAAGGTACACATGTATTCTCCCTCTTTATTCCAGTGAGCAGGAAGCTGAGCGTATGTTGGAAAGCATGCAGGATCTGCTGAGTCAGCAGCAGCAAATGGGGCGGATAACAGAGCAGACACAAATGGACTCCCAGCCAGCTGTGTTCAAGAAACCATCTAGGCCTCCACGAAGACTGAGCAAGAAGGATATCTCATCTCCTTGTAATTTCAAACATGTTTCAGGTATAAGTAAAGGGTGTTTGTACCGTTAGTCAAAGTTTGTGTTTTCTCAATGCCAAAGGTATCACGATGCAGCGGACATTGAGTTGCGAGCAGGAGTTGCGAGGAACCATTCAGAGGAAGATGAGGTCGCTGTCTCTTTCTAACCTCAGTCGCAGCAAGGGTGGAGGTAGGGCAGTTTTTGTCATTATTGGCTTATTATGAAGCTATCTTGTAATCTCTAGAGGAGACAACAGATGGTAAGGTGGTGGCTAAGAGAACATTGAGGAGGGTTAAGACTGTTGGAAGGCAGGTACAGAAGGTAAGATGAGCAAGGAATTTAGAGCTGGAGTAACTGTAGTCGGTGTGTAGGGCTCTCCTGAAGTCGGTGGTGCAGACATGAGGAGAACAGAGGTTCAGAGGATGTCCCTCCCATCACACTTTCGTCAGAAGGAGAGACGGCCGCTCACTGCCACCTCCTTTGTTCCCCCCTCCTTTCGGCTGAACAGAGCTCTCTCACAGTCCTCAGGTACACTCACCCTTAGTGCAGACAGACTAGTTAACTGGCACCTAAAGAATATTCATGCTTTGCTACACCACTTGCTATTGTGGTGACTGCCCAGCCTCTCAAGTTACTGCCAACACTGGTGCTGCCACCCCACACATCTTATCTCTACAGGAGATATCCCCAGTGGCCAGTCCTACTCCACCCCGGAACCACACCCACAATCTACACGCAACATCGAAAGAAGACACACAATGAAGGAACATCGGCCGATCAATTACAACCAGGCCCCACCCACCAGGGCAAATGTCACCACCAGCTCAGAAACAGCTCTGCACCAGAGCCCAGTGCATGAGGCAAGGGCGCAGGTGCAGCATCTTGCCATAGAGTCCAGTGACATTGTCGGCTGGACTACAGACGGTCGTCTCATTGTTCAAATGCCAGCCAATCAGGGAATGCCTGAAGTGGGTGTGGCTACAGTCAACCCAGCTCCTATCAGAAGAGCATCAACAGGTAAATCTTTACTGTTACTCCCGGACACAAATTGGACAGAAGAAAGTGTCCACGTTAGCAACAACTGTTGTTGGGGAACCTTATAAAGAGGTGTCCTCATTCTGAAACCTCTATTTACTCCAGGACAGTTTGCGCAGGACCAATCATTCCCACAACTTAAGCATGGGAGCTCAGACATCTTGGCACCTCCTGTCCAGCAGTCGTCTCAGAAGGCTCCACCCAAGTCCCTCCAGCACTCTGTCTCTGACAAGACCATTCGCAACAGACCACTCCCTCCAACTCCTCTGGATATGGTCATGCCAAATTCTGCTGTGGCTGCACGGACTAGACCAGTCCTTACTGCCACACAGGTTCCCGTAACAACCACACTAACAAACGGACCATTTGGAAACACTTATAGGCCAAGTTTCCCTCCCTCAACCACTAATGTAGAGCCATTTCTCTCACACACCACCAGTGGTGCACCATCTGTTTCTCTGTCAGCCACCAATGAGGTGCTCCCTCGGCCTGCCAGCCACACACACTCTGACTCAGTTGAAGCCTCACTGCAAGAGGTGACTGACCAGATGTCACGAGCTCTCGCTCAGTTTGACGACCTGCTGGGTGTTGTCCAAACATCCCTTTAGCCCCAAACTTCATCATTATTATATAATGTCATCATCATTATAATATTGTCATGCGCAGATTCTCTGGTGTATATTGATGTTCTTTTCACAGTTCTGGAGGTAAAATATTCACTGGTTCTCCACTTGTCCGCGTCACCTATAAGCCACAATAAGAGTTGAGTGAGGCCGGCTGAGAGCAAAAGACCAACCATTTCATTCAGGACAGCTGTCATTCCACCATTCTCTTGTAACCATGTGTCAAGACCAACCTCTGCCATGTACTCACTGGTAAAGTGGCTGAGTCGACTAGCTACAACTGCTGACTCAGCAGATGGTTGGGCACTTCTTGTGAGCTGGCCTAATGTCATGTACACTGCACCGACCTGCAGAGAAACACACACACACACACACTATATGAAACACAGCCAGTAACGCTTATATACTTGTTGCCAGCCACTGCGCAGCATTGATGAACAGTCACTGAGAACTCCAGAACACAGTCTGTTAAACTGATCTGTACCCACCTACATGAAGAAGGAGGTGAGGGAGTGGTATACTCTGAGGTGCAGAAGATTTACCTGAAACACAGATCTTCGATCCAGAAGAGCAGATGTAGCTTGTACTATCTCTTTCTTCACTCTGGCATCCAACTGGTCTCCAATGTCTCTTAGCTTTCTGGCAATCTGTGTGAACGGCAGCATATGAAAACCCCGGTACTGCGGCTCTATCTATAGGTACCTCAGGAGCATTGCTGGAGAGAGCTGGCGACTGTCCATCACTCAACGGAGTGACAGTAGAGAGAAGCGAGGCCGGTGACTTTCCTCCTCCCATTTCCCCCCGTCCGTCGGCCTCCAGGATAAGAGACACGTACTGCACCGCAACCTCTTCTATCTCCTTCAGCCACACGGCCTCTTTCTCTTCTTCCTCATCTTCTTCTTTCACTGGCGGTACTACCGCCGGAAAGTTACGCACAACATCTACCGCTGCCATCGAGATCGCGACTACGTCAGCAGAGTGAAAATAATGTGCGCAATCAGCAAAATGCTAATGTGAGGATGTTTACCGACAAGAAACGGAGTCTCTCAGCGCTGCTAGAGCTAGTTCGTACTGGCCGCGCAGTGGGGCGAGAAGTTCCGACGGAACGTCTTCTTCCCCAATTCTGGGCCGACGAGCCACTCGCAGCATTCGGCGAAACTCCGTCACTTCCTCCCCGCTGGACAAGAGGGAGAAGGCGCGGCCTGCGGAGCCAGCGCGAGCGGTGCGCCCCACGCGGTGGAGGTAAGAGCGGTAGAGAGAGGGAGACTCGTAGCTGACGACACAACTGCAGACGGGGAGGTCCATTCCTCTGGCCAGAGAGTCAGAACACACCATAACCTACAGAATCCATGAATGCAGATATCCAACTGCTAGTTTGCTGGTACCTTGACCTCTCCCATGGCAAACTGCCTCAGAGCCCGTCTTCTCTCTCCAGCTGATGTCTCACTGGTCACCACAGCAACCCTGAACAGATCGAAGTGCTCCAACACCACTTTCAACCTGCTTTCATTGCCGTGGAAAGAGACGGTAGGTGATGGTGAGGTCTTACCTGCCAGCAGTGTCTCTTGAGTTTGTGAAACACAAGACATGTCTTGAGGCAGTCGCTGATTGCTGGGGGGAGGAGCTAGAGGTGTGGTTGGATATTCCTAGCTCTCGTGATAGGAGGAAGACCAACACTAGTGGTTTTAGACTGGGCATGCAGGTGACTGCAAACTCTTGTAGGGAGGGAGGTGGTGCTAGGCTTATGGTTTCTCTGCCGGCATGGGGCACAGCCACAGAGAAGAGTAGTGGTCTACGAGAAATAGCAAGTACTGGCTTCATCCGTTTTGGACCAGTCAACATGGTAACGTACCTGTGGAGTTTGAGCATTGCTAGGGCCTCCGGGTCTTGAGTCATCGTTGCTGATAGCAACAGCTTCTGAACGTGTCCTTGTCTCTGTGGCGAAGACAGCTGACGAGCACATTTGAAGCTGGTCCCAGATATGCAGGGAGAGATGGAGGGAGAAGAGGAAGGACAGGAGATACGTTCATTTATGTTCCTCAGCCAAGTACTGGGGCTATTTAATGAGGTAGGTGTGGCTTCAGACTGTGAAGTGGTTGTGGCTTTCAACAGCAACAAGGGTAGCCAAGAATAGATCTGCTGGCTCAGCAGTTTGTCTGCTTCGTCAATCACAAGGTATCTGAAGTGTTCCACTCACAGGCATGGTACGAGGGTTCAAAGGCGGCTTACCTCAGGAACTGCAGAGACACAAACGAACCTCTTGACAAGTGCTCAGCCAGCCTTCCCGGAGTTGCTATGACGACGTCAACGTTACTAGAGGCAGGGAAGGAGGTGTTTCCCAGGAGTGTAGCTTCCTTTTCCACCAGAGAGTCTCCTGTAGGCATAGCAACAACATAAACACCTTTTCCTGTGATCAATTTCTGTTTGTGTGTAACAGTATCAGCTACGAGACCCTCAATAGCAGTCTTCCCTGTTCATCATTCCCTGCATTGCAGTATATGTAGTATTACCATATAGCGCGAAACTTTCAAGGCACACAGTTTTTGCAGATTGTGCATTCATCAGTGAGCTTAGCGTACATTCCACCTCCGACCACACATCTCTAACACCCAAGATAGCATGGCAACGGACCCTGACTACCAGGCATTACAAAGTAGCGGTAGAGTGCCATTTCAACTGAAAAGAAGTTGAAAGTGAGCTTTCACAGCCCTTCAAGTTTCAGGCCAATCCGCGTAAACCACAGTAATTATGCACCTCAATGCAATATTATGATACACATCACTATCTCACCACAAAGCAGGCCACACTGAACTCTTGTGTGGGCAGTCACCTGACGAAATACTGATAACACCTGCTTCGCCAGTGGCCGTGAAGGTACCACAACAACACACCTCACCTAGCAACAGCAGTCACGACAACACACTTCAATGGGGCACTTACAGAGGGCTCACCTGGCGTACTACGCAGTCAAGGAGAGCTGTTACTATAGGAACCACATAGCAAAGTGTCTTCCCACATCCAGTGGGAGCAGAGACAAGGACATCACGCGGAGGAAGAGGGGAGGAGGGAGCAGTGAGGTAAGAGAGAACATCCAGCTGCAACAAGAGATGATCATAATGATTTGCCATTGAAATAGAGGGTTTTCACCTGAACTGGGAAGAAGGTGGAGCAGCCCATGTCTCGTAGGTTGCCAGACACCACGTCTGGCAAAGCAAGGGAGTCGAGAGGCGCTGAATCATCGGCAATGTCAGCAGACACAAGTCGAGGACTGGAGATCCAGTCTGGCAGCTTGTGGTGCACGGCTGCTGAGGTCATACCCGACACAGCCTGTGTCACCATTGGTAATTCTTCCTTCACATCCACGGCAACACTATTATCCTCCCTAGAAGGCTTCCTAAGAGCTGCCCTCTCTCTTGCCAACTGGTGGAGTTGACAAAGAGAGAGAGAACTTGCTGAATCCGCAGAAACGTACTCTCCCCAATACCTGCAAAACACAAGACATAATAGTGTTCATGAAATAACCCTACCATAATAAAGAAAGCCTTACAAAGAACATAATCACAGGCTTCATACCCACCTCTTTGTGCTCTGAAGCATCGTCGCATGTGCGTGTCCACGCGTACACGTACGTACGACGACATGCTCAATGTATGCGCATGCGCATTTTTGGCACCGTAACTAAGCGCGCGCTGCGCCGCCGGCGGGTACCCCCGTACTGCCGTACCGTGTATGTAGAGTTTGTCACGCATTGACGGCGTGTTCGAGACTCGAGCCGAATCCAAAGGCGCTAGGCAGGCAGTTGGAAGTAAAAGTCACACTGTCTGGAGTTTCCGGTGTTTAGTCCTCGGCTGGCTCGGCTGTAAGTTTTTTTATGCGTGAGGGTTGGCGTTATTTGGAACTGTTCGGCGTCGAAGATGGCAGAGAGCGGGGTGTGTGAGCGAAGCCAGGGAGAAGAGTGGGAGGGAGGAGGAGAGAAGAGGGTGGGAGCGGTGAGGCGGAAGAGTGAGGAGGAAGTGTATACCCTGCTGTTCAAGGAGGTTGACAGTGAGGGGAGAGGGGAGGTGGCAGTGGAGTCTCTGGTGGACTACCTGCACCAGATACAGCTGGGCTCAGCACAGAGCCATCAAGAAGATGTCTATGACTCTCATGAAGATGTCAGTGTAATTCTCTCTCTAACTGCAGTAGTCCTACCCCTTTTCCCTACAGGTGTACCTGGTCAGATACAACCTGCAGCTATTGAAGGCCATGCTCGAAGAGGTGGGAATATTTATGTACATTTTTCACCTGATTGCATGCGGTAATGTGCAGTTTCATGTACGTTTTTGTACTTTGGCCCATCCTGCTAATGTTCAGTTAGGAGTCAGTACTGATTTTCCACGGAGGAAGTCCCTGGTTGATTTCTGCCACTGAACAATGTTTCACACATTTTCCCTGATTTTTTTCTGACCTCATTGTAATCATGAGCATATAATCCCACAATGTGCAATAGGCAAGCATGCTTTGAGAGTGTCATGTGGTGTTTCTGCCGTAGAAGAGTGGCTCCAGTGGACTGGTTGACCTGGCAACATACTCCCATGTCATCAGACTGTGGGTGAAAGATGTCCGTGACCGTAGCAACCAGCAGCCCTCGCTAGAGGTCTCCCAGATATCCTCTGATTCCGAGGTGAGAGGTCAAACCCACTAGCTGTTGTGTAGCCTTTGCTCGTCAGAAAATGTATTAATTTACTCTTGTGCAGGAGGAAGAAGATTGTGTATCCACGACAACCCCAAGGCCTCAGCTGTCATTTGGTAAGCCACAGTTGTCCTGTGTGTGCTATAGTTGATAGTGTGAGTTCTGTGCAGCTGGTGACCAGAGTTTTGAGACCAGTGGTGGCAACTCATCCACTCACAGTGCTCAGTGAGGGACTGCCAGTCAACATCCGCACACATTGTATGCACTCTCTGTGTTGTGTGTAGTGAGAGTGTCGATGTGTTGGCCTCTCTGGAGGACATGAGGCTGGAGAACAGACGACTCCTGGAGAAGGAACGGCAGCTTGAGGCCAACCTCGACCAGTCAGAGGAACAGCTGCGAGCTCTTCAGACCGAGAATTCAAGCCTCCTCTCCCAGCTACAGAGGTTAGTGGAATCGCATGTGTCCCACTGCACTCAGGGTTGTGACAAACTATGTATGGTTGTGTGTAGCATGCAACAGGAGTTATTGAAGGTGGAGGTTGTGGAGAGAGAAAAATCTTCCGTTGCACAGTCATGTAAGTCTTCCGAGGTCACTTTATTATTGTATAAGACAACCTCATTTGCAAGCTGTATTATGCTTCCTTATAAAAATTGCAAGGTGCACTGCATTTCCAATAGCAGGATTCAGGTGATTAAGATCGGGCCTTTGTCTCTTACAGTGAGAGAAGAAGAGGGAAGATGTCAGTTACTGCAGGAATCAGCCGAGAAAATGGTGAGGTCTCAGAGTGTTCAATTCCCATCTTTCATTCCCCGATTCTTGGCAGAGACTGGAACTGAATGAGGCCAGGAGAGAGGTGGGAGGTCTGAGGCAGAGTCTGAAGGAAGGGGAGGAGGAGAGAGAGAAGGAACTGCAGGAGACGGCTGGCCTTCACGAACGTCTTGCCGATAGAGAGGTGAGCCTGTGGCCGCAGTACCTGGTGACCTTTCACCCTGGGGATCAGGTGACTCTGGGGGAGGATAGACAGAGGCGAGAGCAGCTGGTCGAACAGCTGGCGGAACTCACTGCTGCACAGAACTCTCTGAGGTCAAAGGTGGCGGAGCTTGAGGAGGGGAATGCAGTTCTGAGGAGAGAAAATGAAGAGTTGCATAGTGCAGCACTCTCTCCTGGCCCGTCCTACAGGTCAGTGGCCTGCCCTGTCCTACAGGACAAGTCTGACATTCCTTTCCACAGCACTCCCTACCGTCCCTCTGCCACTCCCTCCCTGCACGAGGAGATTAGTCGTCGCGGCAACCTGTCTGATCGAGCTCTCCAATCACCACTTGTTGGGGTGGATCATCGCCATAGCAACAAGAAAGAGTGCGGTCGTTTGGAGGATTCCTATGACAACAGCGACCCCTCCCTCTCTTATTCCCATAGCAACCTCTCCCTGGAAGATTTAGAACACATTGCTCGTAGCTCGGTACATACTCTATTTAATGCCCACCATCATGCAGTAATGTCCGTTTCTCGTTTAGAGCAACAAGTTCCACTCAAAGACTGAGATGATAGTGAGACTGTTGAGTGAGCTGATGCCTTCTTCCTCTCCTCCCTCTTCCTCCCAGCTCACCTCTCTCAGTTCTGACTCCATCACTGGTACAGTGGAACCTCTGATCAGTAGACTACTCACTTGGTTCTGTCTTTACATTGTTCTGCCTTCTGATAAGGGACACGTCCAATGTCCTCAAGGTGTCCCTCATCAGTGGTTTCTCTCTCCCATGATGTAGAGGTGAGTAAGAACAGCAGACAGGGAGGGGGCAACATGCGGCAACTAGTGACCTGTGTGAAGAGACTCTACAGAGACAAGAAACAGCTGAAGGCACAGGTTGGTGCTCATTTTAGGTCTGGTGTGTGTTGTTTACAGTCGAACCTCCGACAACGAACCTCCTGCGAAGCGCACAACCTCCTTATTACAGATTGAAATTACTATAGTTCTATGTAGTCTGAGAATGTTTTGTGTTGTGGTCTGTTCAGGTGGAGGAACTGCAGGTAAGACTTCAAGAGCTGTCGGAGAGAGATGAGGCGGATGCAGCTGTGCAGACTCAGGCCACACCCCCTAGGGCTGAGACCACACCTCCTCTGACTGCAGTAGCCACACCTATGACTGATAACACAGTACAACGGTGAGTGTGGGGAACAGTAAGGATAGTGTGTTATTAACCTCCTTCCACAGCCATAGACCTCTTGCCAGCTGTTCGAGATTTGTGGGTGGAGTTGTGAGGGGTGTGGTCTGGGCTCTGTACCTCTCTCTTCTTCTGCTGCTGCTATGTACCATACTCGTATGGCTTCATCAGCATCTCACCCCCTGTTGCCGTGGCAATGGACCCCTGACCCCAGGTGGCATGGTTTGGGCACTGCTAGAGCCACACGTCACTGTTTCTCACCATGGACACATTTAGTTACTATATTATATACCCGTCACCATCACTAGTTCCTCATTCACATAATTATAAAACAATCACTTTTCCCCTCATAACACCACCATAATTATGAAGATAGATTGTCAGGAAGTAAATTTTAAATCCTACGAATTCAAAGAGGCATAATTATAGAAACAAAGGGAGACAAGAGAGGGATGGGATACATGAAGCATGGTTAATGAACAGATCTGAGATCTACTGAGTAATCAACACCGTTATGGAGTCCAAGTGGAGTTTAATTAACAATGGTAATGATTGCAGTGTCAATGTGTCATTGCGATTTGCTGGAATAAAGATTTTGCAGGAAATCTAATGACAAACCCAACCACCCTGATCCGTTGCCGGCACGTTTTTGCAGAAAACAATCTGCCATTTTTGCAACACCAAAAACATGAAGATCAATAATAATAGTCAAGAGCTAATGTGGATAAACATCGAATTTCCAATAGTGACTACAGCATTATTATGATGATGATAACATTGTGAATCAATTGGCAGATGGTCTCACTGGGGCCCGTGATAGTTTCCCAATCACTCTAATTAGAGCACTGTTCTCGTCTTTCAGTCGCTGGTTTTCCACCTTCAACTCGTCCCATCTCTATAGCAACAACAGATGCAGTGGTGTTGAAGTTTCATTTCGCTTTCAGGTGCTGCACATACGTGAATATAATGTGCCATAAAACTGACGCACAGTGGGCATGCCTTCGCGCACTCTGGGCACAACCCTCTGGGCTATGCCAGCACAACACAGGACCACAAGTAAGATATTTTCAATTACTTCCTCTGTTGCCCCCAAAATTGGCACCTTGTTATTATACCCGAAAATTTTCGTTGCCGCTATTTTCAGTGTCATAGTGCCGGATTGACACCCCTGCAGAGGTATCCTCTATTATTGTTGAGGGTCCTTTTTCTGAGGTTTCACTGTCAGTATCCTAATGAAAGGGGTCTTACCTTCGCCTCTGACTGTAATGTAATAATCCTCTGTTCCTTCTCCTCCTTCTCCTAGCATGAAAACTCCACATGAACAACTTGGGGTCAAAATTAGAGGAAACTTACTCTTCTCTCCTGCTGGTAAGCCCTCGTCGCATCCTCCAGCCGGCGACCGAGTTCAGACACCTTCCCCTTCAGTCCAGCCAACTCCTGTACCACACACACAGAATGGCATGCTGAGACCACACCCATTACTCCACCCACCTCATTGGCTTTGCCGTAGTTGAGCTTCAGGTCTCTCAGTTCCTGTGTAAGACTGGAAACGTCACCTGACGCGGCCTCCGGACTGGAGGCAGACGATGAGCCTGATTTGGTGAAAAGTTTCATCACCTCCTCTGATGCATTCTTCATCTCCTCCGGCTAAGATGGGCGGGGCTAGGGGCAGGGCCAGACAAGAACTAATAAACTCACATCAAACTGCATGATTCCAGTTGGCTTCCTCTGCTCACGAGGTTTTCGTCTAACAGCCGACTTTGTTCTTCCTCTCCTCTCATCCTCCCCGTCCCTCAACTCCATGTCTCTACAGCAGTAATACAGGCTTTAGTTAAACCACCTTACTATATACTGTGCTTTGTCACCAACCTGTCGGCAGGAGGTTGGGGTTGCTGGGTGATGTCGGGAGCAACGGCAGCTGTGGGTACAATCAGAAATGCTGCAGTCTGGTGTTACAAGACACTCTAACTCACTCTCAGGTTGGGTGGGTGTGGCTTCATGTCTGACGCGAGCGGCAGGTCGGGCACCAGGTCTGTATGTACTCTGTTTCTCCTCACTAGCAGGACCAGTGCCAGAGGCAGGGCCAGAGGATGCCTGCATATAGGAGAGAGTCTGTAACAGAATTGTGTTTCCACCTTTCAATGACACAGCAAAGGTGCTGGCTTACTGCGCTGTCCTGAGCAGCAGACGTGAGCTGTTCCACAAACTGCTTCCTCTCTCTCTCCACCTCCTGTTTCACCTTCTCCCCCTCTCTCCCACCCTCCTCCATCTGTGACAGCTGCTGAAACAGATCAGCAGGCACTGGCTGCGTCTTCTTCCTCGTCTCTCGAGATTTCTTTGCTTTCCTCTTACGACTGTAGTGGCGTATCATGAATTATGAGACCAAGATCAATTGCTGGGCACAAGCAAAGCAGATACGCGTCACTGTGTTTACACTTAATACACGCCGTCATGGTACACGGTATGGAAGTAGTTCACATACATGTCCTAATAAAAGGACAATCACAGGTGCTGGAGAGAGACTCACTTGGTCTCAGATTCCTCAGTGAAGGAACGGTCCGATCGAAAACTCTCAACACTTTCTGCTCGCGACAGCTCCCTCTCAACCTTTGCACCCTCCCCTCCCCTTGGAACACCAGTTTCCGTAGGGACACTCTGCGTTGGCATGGCTTCCGTCGTCGTGACGGTGACCTCTGTACAACAGATGATGAAATTTTCACAGGTGAATGCAAGAGAAAATGCACTGTACCTCCACCGTCAGCTATGTTTCCAGAAGGCAGGGTCTGAGGCTCCATCACCATTCGGGAATTACGAGGAAGAGAAGAGGTCTTAGAAACAGAGGACGAGGTCTCATTCTGACTCAGACTGGAGGCAAGTCTAGTCTCATCATACGAGTTCCTTTTTCCTCCTACGTTACCCGTCACTTTCAGCCGTTCATCACCCTGGCAACCAAGAATTAACGGTAGCCATGGTAACCACATAGTCATGACAACCCCCAAACACAGTTCTGGCAAAAACAGGTAACCACGGTCCACGTACCTTTGTGGAACTGACAGATCTCTGAACAAAGGGGAACCGTTTTGGCTGCGAGTCGTGAGGGTTTTTGGTTGTCTCAGGGGGTGTGGTCTGGGGAGTGTGCTGGGGAGACGAGGAGGCGGAGCCTGAGGGGGAGGAGCTTGCTGCAAAGGTCGGAGGGTTCAGATTGGTGGTAGAATGCTGTTCCCACAGACCCACTCTCTTCATCATCTCCCCCGACATCGCCCTCCGCTTTATCGCTGATGACATCATTATTACATCATTATCATTACACAACTAATTAAATAAAGGGGCTGACCAGTTTTCGGGGAAGCCTGGGGAGATGTGAGTCGTCCATCGTTGCTGCTGGACTCTGCCTTCGGCTGCACCTGGGGACTGGTCTGTGGACTGGATCCTGTAGAGGATTACATCATCTTACATCGTCATGATTGCGAGGCCCAACCCACCAGGAGGAAGGGGAGGTTTGCTGCTGGGAAGGGCAGCTAGTGTCCCACTCTCAGTCATCTCTCTGTCCTTCATGCTGTTCACCACCTCCTTCACGTTGTTCTCAGAGTGACTGTGGCTCTACAGAACATTGTACAAAACCTCACTTGGTTCTACCCAAAAGAAGGCATTATTAGCTTCTCTGAATAAGGGGCTCCCCTCTCACCTCACTGCTGTTCTTGGCTTTCTCTTCCAACACCTCAATATCTTGACTTCCCTCCAGTCCTCTGTGCCCATCAGCAACCTCGGGAGGAGTCCATTTCTCAATCATAGCCTTCTCACTTGCCATGTCAATCTTTGGGAACATTGACCTGTCTCTTGATGTCCTGCACACAATACAAACCCCTTCTTCAATACTCTTTACTACAGTGCCAGTAGCTAAAGCTCTAGGACTAGCTGAACTGTCAAGGTCTAGGGCAAGCGCTACTTACTGGCTCTAGCACTAGATATGCCATTACCCACTGTTCTTGGAAGTTCTGAGCCTCTGCTAATGGAGAGCTTGGTATATATCCAAGACAGACGGACCATATTAGGCAATCTCACCAGCATACCAGCGAGGCAAGGATGCCAACTCACTAAGACGTTTCCTTTGCCACTTGGCCCACGCGTCCCAGCCCCCTGATGCCCAGCCCCCTAATCAGCTATCAGCTAATGACCAACAAACCTCCTCCTGAGACCAGTTGGAGAAGGCTTTCCTCCATTAACCTCATCTCTGCTGGACTGGTGGAGGAGAGTCGGCCTCTTGTGGTGGTTGACAGCATAACATCGGTTTCTCGTCGCTTTCTGATGGAAACAAAGGAAATATCTAGAGCAGGGCACTTCACCAAAATGGGAATGGGAATACAAAGGAGTGGCCACAGATAGATTTCATCAACTTTTGTGTGCATGTACATGTACCTCGCCAAGTTCCTTCAGTTCAGTCAATTCATCCTCAAATTCAGGCCTGCACAAGTCATCGATTGTGTCTCCCTGGATACAGACACACACATATCTGGCCACACCCAAAACCACACCCACTCACAGTTTTAGTGACGAGATTGATGGACGCTCCCTTCTTCACCAGCATGACGGCAGCCTCCATGTTCTCCCAGTACACCGCAGCATGTAGCGCAGTCCAGCCATCTTCATCTCTACTGTCTATGTTGTTGACCATCGTCTGCTGACTCAGCAGAACCCTGAGTAATGGAGAGACATATTATCCTAACCCAGCAAGAGGAGAGAAACATCAACAGGAGAGAAAGAGAGGAGAGGAGAGAAAGAGAGAAGGGAATGTGTCTTACTCGAGAACCTCCAGGTAGTTCTTGGCAGCAGCGACATGAAGAACGGTGGCTCCCCCAGGACTGAGCACAGGAGAGAGGGAAGGATCATTCTGGAGCCTGTTAGCATCAGCCAGCATCAGTCGCTCCTCCTCTGTCTTCACGTCACTAACATCCACCCCTGAAACAAGGGAGGGAGAGAGGGTTCAGCAGGAACAGAGTGAGGGTATTGCTCTGTACCTTGTTTATGAATGACGTCTGTAATGAGGTCTCTGATGACATCATCCTCTACTAGATCACAAGGGGTATCTCCCTCGTTATTGACTGGGGCAGGAAACGCTCCATTGTCCAGGAGAAAGCTGAGAGAGAGGGTGTGAGATATTCCCTATCTTCCTATCCCTTCAGCTTACCTCACGATGTGATCATGACCACATGATGCAGCAGCGTGCAATGGGGTCCACCCTTCGTTGTCGTGGGAATCAAGGTTAGCCCCTTTCTCAACAAGCAACTGTACCGTTTCATAATCGTCATCTATACAACACTGCAGAGATAGGGAGGCCAGGGGTTAAAGGTCATAAAGACATGAAAAACAAGACAGAAACAGTGTAGAGGCTGGACTCCCAGCATTCCTGACATGCCACACATACATGGGGGTAGGTGTAGGCTTCAATTAGAGAGAACAAATAATTAACCATCCTACTTGCAGCTACAGCCACAGCCTTATTAGGGAAGAGATTATTGGACAACATGATAGGAGAGACATATCGCATGGCAGCAACAAACACCACTCCAATTAATGCCCATCACACTACTCCATGGGCTCCAATTGGAACAGCAGAGCTGGCTTCCAGTAATACCAGCGTGGAATAGTGACGGAGGGGAGGATGTACACTGCAAATAACCTTATGTACACCAAAGTTAAGGGGGGAGGGCAACTATCTATACTACACAAACCACACACACACACACACACACACACACACATTGGATCGAAGTTTTAAAACACTGTTTAGGAGGTGGAAATTCTTGTATTCCCAACTACAGGGAGTGGCTTGTATACACTGAATGTGTGTGTGTGTGTGTGTGTGGTGCTGTCAACTGGTGATACATTCCACTCCATTGTTGAGTGGTTTGACTAGCAAAGCCTCAGAGAAGGTAATCCCACCTGATGAAGAGCCGTCAGTCCGTCCTTGTTCACTGAGTTGATATCTGCCTTCTCTTCTGATAGTAGTCTCTCCACCTCTTCCACGTCTCCGCTCTGACAGGCCGCGAGAAACACCACACTTTCCGCGAACCGCACGCGAGGCTGTAGCCTACTCGACGAGACGTGCGCCGGCTCTTTGTTCGTGGCGCTCTTCTCCCACGACTGTAGTTGTTGGTTCCGCTTCTGTCCCGCTGTAGCTCCTCTGCCTAGCCCGTGGAACTTCTCTTTGCCCGACATCACCGTGTGTTGTGCGGAATCCCTCCTCCGCTTCGCCAAGATTGGTTCATGGCTCCGTATACTCTCCGCCACACCGCAAAAAACCAAACCCACATATACGTAAGTTTACGGAATTTCTCCTAGTCTGGGCAACGACATGTACGGAAGATTACGGAATTTCCTTGGAAACAGTTTAGAGGTGTGGCTGGTTACCTGCAGGAGCAAGAATGGCTAGGCGATCTCACGGCCCCGCTGCGCACGCCGTGAAGATCAGTCGCGGCCCAGACCCCTCTCCACTCCATTTCTACTCCACCAATTACTCCACTCACTATTGTAACCGCCCGGCTACGGCAGAGAGACGCGGTAGGTCTTACCCCAAGTTGTAACAGAACTGCAGTCGTGTTGCCTTCACAGAAGATGTGGCAAGGACGATGGGCACAGGGTACAGTGCCAACTTCAGACCAGCCATTTACTATTCCTCTAATGTGGATCTAAAGGACAACCCTCATATGATGTGAGCACTTCCCTCATCTTATATACTCCTCAACTCACTCAGCAAGGTGCTGGCTGATAATTACACCAGTTTAACAGCCCAGCATTTCAAAGGCTTTCCCAGAGAGACAATAGGTCAATTGCCTGTTCGCACCTCTGCCAACGCTGAGGAGGTGAGCTGTTTTAATGATAAACTGCCTCTCAAAATGTTGAAATAGGGGGTGAAGAAGCCAGAATGTGCCGGCTGTTGTGAAGCCCCGCCCCCTGACCTCTGGCCCGAGACACATGTTGTCTGAGACAAAATCAACGTTCACTTCCATACCATTCAGAAACACAGGTATATATGATGACTGGTGAGCAAAAGCAAGCCTGCCTATTGTCGTTACTGAATCCCCTGGCCACAGAGCTGGAGAGCAGCAGCCACAGTCTCAGAGAAGAGACAGGGTTCACTCATGCTCAGAGTACTGAGCCCATCACGTTCAGACCTCCCCAGGCCTTCTCCAACCTCCTACCCCTGATGTCCTGGAGGCCCACGGTTGCAGCGTTATGAAGAGAGACTTCACTAAACATTCACAGACAACGGTTAGCTGATGATGTGATGATTGCATCATCCTCCACACCTCACACACAGGGAAGAGAGGGAATTCCTGTGCTTGCTGGCAGAGTTGACCAAACTAATGGGTACGTGAAGGGCTCAAAACACAACTCCTCAGTCCAGCCACAGGCTAAGGAAATGGTGAGCAACGTTGCTTGTGTTTGTGTGTGTGGTTTACTAGAAGGGCAAGTGTTTCTAGGGGGAGCTGGGCACCCCCTGCCCCTCTCCTACATGAACTGCTGTATTTCAGTTGTGTTCAAGGGAGCCTGGGACGAAGCTAGGGCAATCTCTTTCTCGCTCTCAGGTTGGCTACACTTTTAGTCATCAATTACCTCCCTCCCTCCTGGCATCTGCCTCACAAAGAGATCCTGCCAACTTCTCCACTCTAACACGCCCACAACCATTCTCTAGGTAAGTATACCCACCTTTGACCAGCGTCTTTGCAAACCGCTGCGGACTCCATGTGCGAGATTTAGGGTCTGCTTTTTCTTCGAAAGTTCCAGACACTTTGTGAATAAGAGTCTTCGCATGGACCAATCAGATTGTGCAATTTTAATTACATACACATACACACTGGAAACGAACGTGATTACAAAATCTTGTACTAACTCGCATCTACCTGTGGTGCTAGCTGTTTCCCTGCACAAGCGTAAAAACCACGTTCAATTGGAGTACGTTAAATTATGCATCTTGTCCGTTGAAATCTATGAAACCAGAAGGTTCTTGGATTGTAGTGTACCAAACGCAGCACGTATATACTTGCTGTCGTGCCCAGCCATTTGTGGTCTGACAAAAATACTCTCTATCCCTGTGTAATCAGCTACACCCACCAGATACTGGAGGAAGGTAGGAGAGAGAGGAGAGAGAGACGAGGGAGGGAGGAAACAGGGAGGAAAGAGCTGACTGGTTACTCTGAGAACAACCATCCTGTCCCACAAGCTCCAGACAGAGACAGCAGACGTTTCTCCAGCCACTACACCTCCCAGTGAGGACACCTTGTTCCCTGTGTCATAACGACTCTCTTTACTTCATGCACATTTGAACAGTTGTTTAATGCAGCTACATATCCGCTCATGATCTCTCTGTCTGACCCATATTTTTAGGAACGTAGGATATTTTTTTACCCACCAAGTTCGAGGGGCAGCCCCATTCTTCAGTGAATTACAATCTGCAGGATGTTAGGTATAATTATCAATATTTTCTTCCTCTCCAGCTTCCCAGGCCCTCCCCTGCACCTCACTGCCGGGGGTGTGCTCAGCACAGACCCCTACCTCAATGGTTTCAGTAAAGGTACACAGGTAAGCTCTCCCTACCCACTCATGTTTCCATGGTGAGCAGTTCCTCCTCAGGTTCATGGGTTCACAGAGAGCCGAGTAGCAACAGCTCTCCACTCCATGCACCCCTCCCAGGCCAGGTGGAGTATTTTACTCCATTCACTCTAGAGTATATATACTCCATTCCTGACAGACTGGTGATGGAGAGAGACCCGTGCTACGAAGACCACACCCACTACAACAAACAAAGGACCACCAAAAAGACCTTAGTTGAGTAACCATAGCAACTACAACTGACCACCGACTGCCAAAGAAAAACAATACACTATGAAGTAATACAATCGGCAAATGACCTCATTAACTATTCAAGTTTGCAAGCCATTCTGGTCTGATCCCCAGACCAATCTACCTCCTGTGTAGCAAGCGACTAAACCATGAGGAAGGAGATGAAGAGGGGAGGGGTGGAGCCTGTTGCCTAGCAACCATGTCTCTGTCTCTGGCACTGCAGTGAAATGAGAGTTGAGAGGGAGAGCAGTTGTCAACTTTGTTTTGTAGCGAGCATATAAGAGTTTAGCTCTCAAGTCAAGTTAGACCAACACAACTGTGAACAGACCTAGCGTGAACTATTGACGGCATGATTCAGTGAACTGGGTTCTTACCTCAGAGACAGTGGTGACTGGTGGTAAGAGGAGTAGTTGTCACGGGGGAGGGAGGACGAGGCAAGGTGGGAGTATGAAGAGGAGGGAAGATGTGAATAGGAATTGGAGGGAAGATGTGAGTATGAGGAAGGGGGGTGTGGATGGGAAGGTGTGTGTTGAGGGGTGGAGAACTGGTCCGGCCCCAGTCTGGAGAAGGGACTCGGCCTGTCATAAACAGTCATCAGATTGGATGGGGTCTGAAGCAGACTGCTCAGAGACTGTGGGTGTGGCCTCTCCCACTGCCTCCCATCGTGACCCCCTCTGGGGGTCCAGGAATTTCTCCTGTTGCCAGACCCCCTCCAGCCCCCTCTCGTCCCCATTGGATGAGGTGTTCCTTTTGGCTGCTGTCTTTGACCAGTGTTCAGTCGTTTCTTTCCTTTTCCTTTACCTCCTCCTCTCCCCCAAACCCCTCCCTTCCCTCCCCTCCCTCCATTATTTCCTCCTTCACCACCTCCACTTCCACTGTTGCCAGCAGCGTTTGTTTCTTTCTGCTGTTGTTTATTCTTCCCTTTCTTCCACGTCCTCTTCCTCCTCTTCCCTCTCCCCCTCCCTCTGCCATTCTCCACTGTCTCGTCTATGACAACAAGATCGTCACCTTCCTCTTCATCTCCTTCCTTTCCTTCAATCCCTTCATTGTGATCTTCAAACGGCAGTTTCGGGTACAGACGCTGGTTCTGAGTAGCCGTCACAAACTGATCTGATTCGCCGCTTCCGCCAGTTGTCCTTTTCCACCCTTTGTACCCCTCTTCCTCCTCTTCCTCTCCCACCTCTCCCTCTTTCGCATCCTCTTCCCTAAACCCAGAACCCTCCTCCACAACAACTAAGACATCATTCTCCATTGCATCCACATCCTCCACTTCCTCTACTGCCGCTGTGTCTTCTCCTGTCGCTGTGGGCGGAGTCTCCACAACTCGTTGCTCACCACCAGCAACAGATGAGGAGGCTTCAGAGTTCAAACCAGTCTCCATGACAACAAGCTAAATAAAGAAGATAACCATGAAAACTATGTGACCTTCAACCTTAGTACCTCTCTGTCAATCATCTCAAACTGGCACTGCCAGGTTGTGTTGTAGAGGAAGGGTCGGAGGTCAAACCTGTTATCGTCAGGAGAGTAAGCCTCAGCGTGGTAGCACGGAGGAAGGACCGTTGTCTTGTGACGGTTGATACCATAGCAACGGAAGAAATGCTTCACTTTTACTGCCACCTGCATAGTGAACCATAACACTCGTACAGGACATTTTCTGCGAATTTTTGGGCTAAAAATCCTGTCTGCTAGGGAAAATTGTCAAATGGGTCACCCCATTGGCAGATGGGACAGACCTCTGCTGGAGTAAGCTTGTCTCCCCACAGGTGGACAAGTTTGAGGAACATGGAGTAAGGTCCACAGTGGTAGACCTTCCTCAGTCGGCCAAACACAGACAGTTCCGCATACGTCATTCCCATATCATCCTGCACAGAGTATGTTGCCATGGAGAAGACGATACCATGACTACGTACCTCATCGTTCTGGACGTGAGAAGAGGTAATAGGCTCCAGTTCTGCAGTGGGTTTGGCTGCCAATATACTGTGACATGAGGTATATAGGGGGGAAATGCCAGTGTTGGCATGCTTACCATCAGATTCACCACACGGAACATAAGATAGAAGTGCAGAGGAGGAAGAAAAGCTAACCTTTTCAGCTCCGGATAACGAGGAGCCATAAACTTGCAGAAGGACCGAAGATCAGTTTTGCTGATTCCTCCAATCGGGTTGAGGTCAGCAGAGGAGCAGTCGTATTTCGTCAGGTAACCCCTCAGACTCTCGTCCACATTGGCCGACGACAACACCAACAGATTGCCACGGTGACCCTGTGACCATGGCAACAGCTGTGCGAAGAGGTAGGCGAGGACCATCCTGTTTCTGGCCTGTACGTTCTGCAAGGCCATGTCTTCCATTGATGTCCCTCCATGGACTTTGAACTTTGGGTTGGCTTTTAACTGTGTGGAGACAGTCGCCACTGCAGCACTGACCATGTTATCAATGGAAACGGAAATGTGGGAGGAGCCAATCTCTGCAGCGAGACTAGGGAAAGGACAAAGGTCAAAGGTTGTAACAATACAGTCCGTGCTCCATACCGAGCAGCTCTGGTTTCAGTCTCTGACGATGAGTTGACAGTCTTCATGTAACATGTGGTGAATATTAGTCTGGGAGAGTATGATGTCATTATTACACCACTGGATACATAATCAACAATCACTTTGCCAGATCTTTGGCTGATTTGGGAAGTCCCTCCTTTTCTTTTCTGCCTAGCAACTGCCGTAAGTCGTTAGCAACGTGGCCACACCCCTCGGCAATGGCATCAACCACAAGTGTACACATGGAACCGACCTGCACAAAAAGGTTTGCATCGTGCATTGCTGGCCTTCCTTCAGGGTTCTCTACTAAGAGAGAGGAGAGAGTGGCTCACCAGGCAGGCGACACTGGCGCTGTCCAGCCCTCCACTGAGGGGCAGGAAGAAACCACGGAGACCACTACGTCTGAGGTAATCCCATAACCAACACGCAGGACCTAAACTGGAGAAAGAGAGATGGACAGTTGACGACACTCATATTCCACACCAGCTTTTCGAAAAAACCAAACATATGTACTGTGTTTCATTTAAGTGAGCTGCCTTGTTAGACATAATTGCCGAGCGCATTAGCGCGAGGCAACTACTCCGGGTTGTATTCTCGCGATATGCGTACGTTCGTGTCGGTCACGCTTATTAGTCACGCTTAGGGAATGTCAATTAGTCACGCTTAGGAATGTCAATTAGTCACACTTAGGAATGTCTAGCTTCTGCTGTGCTCACAGATTCGTGGGAAGTCTGGCTTCGCACACAGTCAGTAGAGCGCGCGCAAGAGCGACCTCAGTCGGACTGTTTACGCATTGGCTGGCAGCGCGAGGCAAAGTATGCGCGTGCACATTCCTAGTATAATAATACCTGATTTCCTCTTCAGGCATTAGGTATTGGACGGAGAGTGGCTGGGAGATGGGGAGGGAGAGAGAGGAAGGACGAGAGACCGACACACCAGTCGATACTTGAGGGTACGGAGCTGCCAGCGCAGTCTGCATTCCACGACTCAGACAACTCCCTCGGAATGACCTCACGTCGTCGAGGTCAACCGTTGCCGTGGTAACTTCTACTTCCCTGAGTGTGAACTGTGAGCCCTGAGCGACGATGTCACCGTTGACAGCGATGAGGCAAGATCCGTCGTAAAACACTCTCTCCCCGTCGCAGCCAATCAGATTGGAGTACATGTAGACTCCGCCCACCTGGAAGAAGGAGAGGTGGAGATCAGGGCTTCAGTTACGCATGAATCCTGGGATCTGATTGGTCGACTGAGGAGTGTGTACGTACCTTGCTGGTGGCTGATCGTATAAGGTCAACTCTCCTGTGGAGTTTCCTCAGTTCATGATGGGAGCCACTGCCATTTGTGAATATTTCCACTCCGTCCAGACCCATCGCTATGTGTGGACTACAGGGGGTGAACACCAGTTGCTTATAACCAGACACTGTATATGGTAATTTGCCTCTCAATTAATGGCAAGTGGGTAGAGAATGACAGGGATTTGTAAGGCAAGACAGGGATGAGATGGTGCAGGGGCAGGGACATGAGTAAAAGAAGAGTTGTCGAGAAGGGAAGAAGAGGGCAACCTGTTTCCAGTGAACAGCTCTTCACAAGTCTCACAGCCAAAGACTGTGTCTCCAGTTGATATGACTGCATCTCCAAATGGCACCTTCACCTGCAGTGCAACAGATAGAGTCAGTGAGAGGATGTAAATTGCAGTATAGAGAGAGGCGATAATATTATGATGTCGTGCCTGGAATGTCAGCACATTGTGCAATGAACACATGATAAAACAGTACAATGGTAATATGAAAAGACTAAATTCAAGAAACAAAACAAAGCATGCAGATAAGTTCTAAGAGACAATGGGAAGCACATTAAAACATACCTGTCCAGTGATATCAGCAATGAGAGGAGGGAGATAAAACTGTTCTGTGTGCCTCAGCTTCGTCCAGGGAGTAAACCACCTCATCTCTCTATAGTTACCATCCATTGCTAGATACATCTTTGGTCGAATGAGCAGTATTGTTTGGTTCAGGAAAATGACGCGACAATTATACAGCACATTCTTGTGCATTACTGGCCTGGAGTAAAAGACAAACAGACTCTTACACTCTTCCCCTCTCCCCCCTTTCTCCTCACATCCCAATGTCACAGATGATGTTCCTGGTAAGAGGGTCCTCCAGGAGAGTGGCTAAAGACTGCATACTGAGCAGTTGCGTGTCTCCCTCCAAGAAATGGTCTCCACAGCCATACCCACACACCTCTAGCTCAGGACCAAGCCGGTACGCCGCTCCCTTCTCCTTTGCCAGCCTCACACCTGAAAAAGGCAACAAGGCTTGCTCGCTAGGAGGGACAGAGATGACGTCACTCACTCTCTAGGATCCTCTGAAGGTTTCCATGGAAGTCTAGCGCCCACTGGTTGAGTGCACAGCAAGCTAGAGTGACCGTGTGCCCCATGCGAAACTTCCCTCTTGTCGCTCCCTTTCTCTTTGCAAGCCCGCGGACTTCTTCCGTATAATATTCCGTAAACTTCCGGATACATTTGGTGCACGCAATGCGCATGCGCTGTGATGGTAAACTAGGCTGGTCATTGTATGTTGAAACTTTTTACAAATACTCAATGGAGGAGTTCGAAAGGTTCATCAACAGCAGTTCCGTCTGGTCTGTAGTGACGAATGTAGCGACAAGACTTGATTTTTTCAAACTTCTGGGCAAGCGTCACTTCCTTCCCCTCCTCCTCCTCCCCCTCTTCCCCCTCTTGATGCTCACGCATCTCTCCTCCCCCTCTTCCCTCACCACTGCTGTAAAGAATTTGCAATAAAATAGACGCCTTATGGATATAGGTAGCATAATCACACGGGCAGTCCTTATTCAGAGATTACCAAAGAAACGCTGACCTCATGCTCTCATCTTCCCTCCTCTGCGCAGCTCCAAATCTGGCCAGGGCTCTGTCAGTATAGAATCCCCGGAAACTCTTTGGTCCTGTGCTCTGGGTGTCCAGTCCCATCATGTGAGACACTTTCAGGAGGGTGTCCTTGTTGGTAGTTGCCACTAGCGATGGCTGCGGGTGGAGGAAAAGCAGCAATGCGACATAAAGAACATAAGAAGTTTTTATTTCATGCAACTTTGCATGCCACAAAGTCATAAGTTGATGAATGAAAGATTCCAGCTGTACAGCATCTCCTCTTGTAAGGAGCTACACATGGTTTAACACCAATAACATGTACTGACTCACCTGAGAAGAGGAAGAAGGGATGGGAGGAAGTTTGAATGAGGCAGAAGAGGAGGCGAGGGGAGAGGGCGATGCTTCAGACCCTCGCCTGCCAAGAGAAGGTAGACTTTGCATGCAGGCTAGAAACACTGGGTTGACCTACCTGTACATGAAGGGACTGGAGACGTACGGAGAAGACGATGTTAGTCGTCCACTCTGTCGAGAAAACCGCCCACCGACTTCGGTGTCGTCTGCAATGAGTGAGGCGTCTACAAGAAAGGGGCGGGGCTGAGCTGTAGCTTACCTTGCGCCATTCCGCTAGCGCGGTGACTACCGACCGTTTCTCCCTCGCTGTCCGACCCTCTGGACTGCTGCTCTGAGCTCTGACCGGAGTAGATATTAGGTGTGGCCGACACGTACAGTCTCGTCTTGTTGGAAGACATGAGGAGACCTTTCCTCGGGGCCGCTGGCTGCTGGTCTGAACATTCTACCTTTGCTCGCGTGGATTTCGGACTGTTCCTCTGAGCCTCTAGTCGTCTCCAAGACATCTTCATTGCTTGCTGGTGGTTCGCGATGTTGGAAACTGCGGTGAATGCCTGACGGTCAATCTTGTCCAGTTCTTGTTGCAGCTGCGCGTTTGCTCTGTGGAGGCCAACCATCGTCTGCGTACTGGCTTCAGCTCTCACTACCCCTCCTCCTTTACCCCGGCTCACCGAGGGACTAATGGAAGCCATCAGTAGTCGACCGTATATACACTGTGAGGGGCGTTTGGACCTATTACGTAAGAAACGTTAACGCACAATTATGAACATTGACCCGGTCGGCGGGCGGAATTGCGGCCCTGTGGCGGTCGGAGCTTTGATGTTGCTGTCATCTACCCTTTCATTTGTCTCTTTTTCCACCCATGTGCCCACAACAAATGCAAAATCGTTGACACCCTTCTTTTGGGCGAGATTAAGTGCAGCAAGATAGAAAATTTACCATTCCATAAGTCAAAATATAAAGTATATTATATAGTTGGTTTGTCTCTTATTCCACTTTGTGCCTACAATAAATGCAAAATCGTTTACACCTATATTTAGGGGGATATTTTAGCGAAATTTGGGCGAGATTGGGATAGGTGCAGTTAGATATAGGATGTTACCATTCCATACGCTAATTGTAGTCAAAATATTTGTGTGCTGCGAGGGACTGAAAATTTTGATCGTCTTCAAAGTGAACGACTAACTGTCTGTGCTGAAAGAGCTTTGTCTTATGTCATCTTATGTCAGGTTCATTTTCATTTTTTGGAATTAGTAGGCCTATGGCAGCTTTTAATTATTGCCCTTGTGTATGTTTGGAGGACCGCATAAGTAAACAATAAGGATGTATATAGATTACATAAGCAGACACAATGAACTAATTAGCGGTGGAGTCTCATAAAGTAGGCATGTCTAGAGTGAGGGTGAGAGGGAGGATAGTAACGATCGTAAAAATCCAGACAGTATCTCTCCGCCTTAAACCCAAAGCTCTGGTACAACAGCATGGCTGGGTTGTCAATGGAAACGTGAAGAGTAACATCTTTCCCTCTGCAGGATTGAATGAGATGGTACAACATCATTTTTCCTATTCCAGCTCGCGAGAAGTGAGGATGAACGAGGAGAAACGAGATATAGGCTTCTCCGACCTTCACATCAGGAGTCATGAAGGCACACCCGACCACCATCTTCCCGTACAGAGCAACACAAGTGAAGTCTGGATGACCCAGTGAGTCAGAGATGTCGACACACCAGAAGAACTGAGAGAGAAGACCGTTGCACGCAGACACGTGGCTTCGCTGGAGGTAACGCAGATCCACTGAATGGGCAGAGTAGGGGGCGTGGCAGTGGGCGTGGTCAGGGTGTTTCCTGATGTAAATTGCAACAACTTCTTCTAGTAGTCTTACCTAGCGACACAGTTGACATGAAAAAGCAAAATCAAAACTTTATGTTTGTGCTCTAAAGGCCCTAATGTACTCAGAAGTTAAGGACAGACAGTGATCTTGTCCTACAGGACAAACCTGAGGTGGACGGATCTCTCTGCTCCTAAAAATGTATGGCTTCAGAAGCCGCGATGTGTAGGGACTAGGAATGGGGTCAAGGTTCAAGACACGCCCACTAAAAAAGGTTGTTAGACTCGGAGAGTGGGTGGGACTAGAGGGGAAGAGGAGAGGGAAGGTGGAGATGTGATGGAGAACAGTGTGATATGTGTGGGAGTGAGATTTGGGAAGTGTGGGGTGAGGGGTAACACCTCGCTGGGTTACTGCGACAACCTGCTCACTGTACGGCTTCCCCTTATCAACGACATACTTCACGGTCGTCGAGAGAGAGTGAATAATGTGCCGATCGAGGTCAAAGTTTGGGTAGCCATGGTTACGTTGTCTTTGGCGGATCATTAGTTTCCTGCGAAGTCTGCTAGCTCTGGGGCAGTAACCAATGGCAACAGAGGCTCGAGTAAGGTGGGAAAGTAGAGTGGGCAGTGGTTCTGTCGAGAGGAGATAGCGGAGAGGAGGAGAGAGGGGTGGGAGGGAGGAGAACGAGATGTGTGAGGGCAAGGAGTGGAGTGGGTGAGGGGGAGAGGAGGGAGAAGGCGAGGAGCCCACCTGTGAAAACAAATATCCAAGCAAAGATGTGGATGTGCATTTATGTTTGTACAAGTGCAGTGTTGGTGTGCTGGACACGGAAAACAAACCTCCATGGCAACGGAGGTCTCGTGAGCTCCAGCTGCTTTGCCTTCAGTCTCAAGGAGAGGGTGTCTGATGGTGCGAGTGCTGGTCCTCATGGCTGGACTGAAGTCTGGAGGAGTCACCGACGACAACGTCCAGTACCCACTCTCACCCAACTGCTTCGCTCCTGCAATTTATATACTCTCAACTTTTTGCTGCACGATGAAGCACCTAAGGCAGACAACCTAACTTCACGAGCGGACAACAGTTGATGAACAAAAAAGGTGACAGCTGCCATCGGTGGTAGACTATTGGAATGGAATGGGGACTGACCAGACTGGAACAAGGACGGACAGTGAACGGAGAGTGTCCCGGCAACAGTGCTGTGCCACGACTGAGTTCTCTTTCTCTGTGGCATCAGAGTCTGCCAGTTTTTCTGAAGGTATGAAGTGCAAACCTTCAGCACACTAGATTGTACTAACACTGGCTAACTACACCAGTGGATGGTACGTGGGACACTGTACACTTATACATGCCTCTGTTATAACTCCTCCAAGTTTTTAATCCAACACACACAAAGGTAAGCAATCACAAATGGACTTGCTACCTGAAAACATTCACAAAATTATTAATACTAAGTTTGCCACACTATGAGTTGGATGTTATAATATATGAGGAGAAAGCCAAAAAGGTGATTAAATGTTCCACACCATTTCAATTTATCCATGGATTGTTTTATGCAATAAACATTATTATAAAGTCGAAAAAAATCTGCCAGTCATAAATCTCTTCATACCTGGATACATCCACAGATGTCTTCATTCCACCTAAAGAAACCGTCCCTCCCTTCTTGTGTTACCATTAGATGGTACAGCACAAGGTGGATCACGTGCACCCTGCAGGGAAACCCCCTAGAAAGACACACCCACATAGAACGCCACGCTTACCACTGTAGGTATGGTCGTGTACAGGACTCCCTGCGGTGTGGGTGGCAGAGAGCGCAGGTGAAAAGCCAGAGACAGTCTCCGCGCAGTTCCGTGGGCCGCGGACCCTGCCACATGGCAACTTATTGAGAGTCAGAGAGAATAGCGGCCCGCCTACCTTGAGACAGCGAAGGTGAAAGAACTGGTGACACGTAGTGCACTCGAGCGGCAGCCACAGCTCGTCTTTCTCTCTCACTCTTTCTCCACAGTAGCCGCATTCTCCTCGTACACTCTCCAGCTCCATGTCGGCGTCCCTAATACGCATGCGCAATATTGATAACGTTAGCGCATGCGTACTATATAGCGCGAACGAAAAATAAAGGGGAGGGCAACACAGAGCAGCAGTCTAATCTACTACTAAACACAAACAAATGGAAAATGATAAATGGACATATATAGAGCTGTCTCAGCAGTGAAAGTTCAGAGTCTCTGGACGATCAGGGAAGATCTCATCTCACTATTCGCCACTTCCGTCCTCAGATGTCACCTCCAGGATGTGGCACACAACCCTGCAGACAGATATAAGACCCCACCTACTAAAGTGCACGATACACGTGACATTGATTAGCTGTTCTGCTATTTGATTGGAGATCTCAATTTCAAGTGTGTCAAATATTTACGAGACTCGTTGCACGTGTGCTGAGTGTGTGCTCTCTCAAAGTATAATGTGTATATACCTGAAGGTGAAGTATGTGAGGAGGGTAACAAGGCCCGTGGCAATGGCTGCGATGCTCCAGTTACGAGCGAGGGTAGAGGACCTCGTAGCTCCCAGGAAGTCACTGTTTGTATACTGGCTGTCCACCTGGTAGGAGGAGAGAGATGCAATATGTGGTATATACTCCAACAAACCTGCTGTTGAGATATACATAGTTTTAAGTGTAATATTTGCACATATCAATTCTGCATCTCACTTATGGTTCATACAATCAACAATGAAAATGGAAAGCAAGAGGTTCCTGACCTGAAGGGAGAACACGATGCCAATGATGGCGAAGATGAAGGCAGGCCAGCAGCAGCAGCAGAGCAGAGCAAAGAAGGCAAGGCTAAGGTAGTTCTGGGGTCGAATGTTGCCAGCTGTTACAGAGTGAGGGAGTATTCCAGGCTCTTGCACCTGTGGGGTTGTACCATGACATGTAATATATACTCCCCTAGTGTGTAGTGTACAGGTATGCCACTGTCATGAACACGCTCCATAGAAGGTAATCATGTGATCTGCAGCATCCCCACAATATCATGCATTAGCTGCACAAGGCATAAATATTGTTAGCCCACACAAAGGAAGGAGTGTAAACATACACATGTATACACTTAGTTCATATGACAATACACCCTACACTCAGCACTTTTACACAAAATAGTAGAACTAATATCTTCGTGTCTCCATCGAAGTCTAGGATCCAAATCATACGAAATTGGCCACAAACCACATCCCGCAATCAACTGAGCGGCTGTAATACTTACGGTAACTCCGGGGTAGCTGGGAGGGCTATCAGTAATCAGTAGCTCCTCTGTGCGTCAAAACAGAACAAACGCGTTACAGGTTTTCACCATGTCACCACGGACAACTCACTGTCAGTCATAGTGACTTTTTGCTCGCTGGTGTCGCGGCAGTAGAGCCGGGATCCAGGAGTGGATGGAGTAGGAAGGTGACTTCTTGCTAACCGAAGAAAAATAGGGTGACGTAACCGCGATTACGTTTTATAGAGTGCGGTGGGCGGGGAAGGTAGGAGTGGCCAAGTGTTGCAGCTAACCAAGTGCAAGAAAGATGGGTGAAAGGAAGGTTTTGAATGTAAGAAAAGAGTTTGTAGGAAAAAGACACCATCACGTGACACTTTTGTCTCGTACAGAAATACTATCCTCCTGATTTTGACACCATAAGACTGCCCAAGTTGCCTGGAGGCAGGCCAGACCAGTATGTGATAAGAATCATGGCCCCTTTCACTATGAGGTGAGTGGGCCCCTGCCGACTCAGAACATGGGGACATGAGCACACTTGGAGATCAACACAATACCCATTAGTATGGCGCAGAGCCAAGTGTCCTTTGTGGAGAAGTGTCTTCCTTCAAAGTATCATTTTCCAGATGTTTCCTTCCCTACGTACCTCCCGTCCTCCTACAGATGTCTGACATGTGGTAACTATGTCTACAAGGGAAGAAAGTTCAACTCCAGGAAGGAGGATGCAAAAGGAGAGAACTATCTTGGACTCCAGATCTACAGGTTCTACATTCGATGTCCAGAATGTCTCTCTGAGATTACATTCAAGGTTGGTGTGGCCTGAAAAGGTGGCTCCCTCTGACTACATTTTATCACCAAATTACGTGGAGTATGTACAGCTAATTTTTTTTGTGTGAAAACTGCTATTGACCCAAAACTCCTTTGCTTCAGACGGATCCTCAAAATTCCGACTATGTCCCTGAACACGGAGCAATTAGGACATTCCAGGTGGGCGTGGCTCATGAATAAATCATGAGTCACTCTACTGTGGTGTGTGTGTGAGTGCAGGCAGAGAGACTGGCGGAGTTGGAGGAACAGAGAGAAGCTGAGGAGAAGGAAGAGGAGGAATCCAACAACCCCATGTTGGTAGGGCAACTAGAACGATAACATATATTATAATTATAACCTCTTAAAGACTAGAGCATACTCATTAGCCTATAGATGGAAGGAAACTGAATATTAAAAACACTATCCAGATCCAACTTAGTTATGACCCAGCAAACTGAGTCTGTCGTAGAAGTAAATCCTCATCACTGCTGCACCACCTCTCACTCAGGCACTGGAGAACAGAACAGCTGAGTCCAGGATGGAAATGGACGTTCTCGATGCTCTAGAAGAAATCAGAGACTGGAATTCCAGGAATGCATCTGGTACAGTCCTATAAGTAATGTGACTGTCACATGATCATCACATGACCTCTTCCAGTGAAGCATGAGCACCTGTTAGAAGGGCTCATAGTTGAAGAGAACAAGGAAACAGAGGAAGGAGACGCTGCACTAACAGCTATGGCATCCAAGATCTTTGAAGAAAAACGCTCCAAACTTCGCAGATTGGACGATGAGGTAATTAGGGGTGTGGCCTTGTTCATTATTTACCTTTGATGGTGCAGGAAACCCCGCCCACTAAACGAGTTCATTTGGAGAGACCGTCGACTTCAGGTAAGAGGAACAAGTTGCTGGGTCTGGTAGTGAGAAAAACTAGCAAGAAGACTGGAGGGGAGAAGAGGGAGGAGAGGGGGGAAGGAGCTGCTACTTCTGAGGAGAAAACCTGTACAGCAGGAATTTCAGGAATTTCAGAACTCGGTGGGAGCAAGGTCCAAGGTGCAGCAGAAAAAGAGGGGCCAAAAGATGCAAAAAACAAGGAGGGTGAGGGGCCAAATATTGGAGAAAGCGAAGGGGGCAAAGGAACAGAGGGGTCAGGCGGTCTGGGGCTCCTTTGTGGTTACTCCGACACCTCCAGTGACAGCGACTAGCATCGTTACCATGGCAACAATTTTCCACCACACTCAAAAACAAAACAATAAATTTTGTTGTTTAAGTGTTACAACGAGAGATAAGACAACTGCTGATGCAATTGTCAGTAATCGATGAAGGAACATACACACCACATAGATGAGACAGAGATAGAGAATTTGGTAAAGAAGGTGATAATACAGGGAGAGACAAGTCGTATATAGAAAAGGCAAAGAGAAGAGAGGGAGATGAGAGGGGTGGAGGTGCTAGGAAGAAGGTGACCCAGGAGTGGTGGAGACTGGGAGACCTTAGGCATCAGGGAGATGAGAGGGGTGGAGGTGCTAGGAAGAAGGTGACCCAGGAGTGGTGGAGACTGGGAGACCTTGTGGTAAGTTAGGCATCAGGGAGTGGAGGCTCTTCAGAATACTGCGGATTCTTTCGCAGCAAAGGGCACCTGTCAGTAGTAACAGATGATTATGCAACATCAATGTATGGCATGTCTGCTGTAAATGCATCTCCACACATCATAATAATAGTGGGCATCGTAATAATAGTGTTTGGGAGAGTAAGACTTGCAGACCTGCAGTGGTATGATCGATCATTGGGTTAGGATAATCGGCACCAATAATACAGTTAGCTGCCTTCTGAACATGGGGTGGAGCCAGCCAGGGGGAGAATATGTATTCACCTGTATCGTGACAGAGAGAGATGCACAATGAGCCAATAGAACATTGTTGCACTCATTGGCAGCAAGTCTGTTCAGTACATGTGCACGACTTAAGTGATGCTGTGCGATTATGCAATTCTGAATCTCACAGCGCATGTGTGTACCATGGCATGAAGGAAGTATTAGTGTGGCATCCTTCCTAGGAACAGGGGTTTAAAATGTGGGCGTGTAGCAGACAAGATCATGTACAACAGTATAGCCAACATAGGACAGCCCCGTGCACCATTAGAGAAAATGCTTGTTTCCTTGCCAATCAACACAACACTTCACGTGCTCACCGAGACTAGGAACACGACAAGACACGTCCTGATGTTGCATTACGAGGATACGGCTGAGCGTTGAGCAATCACACCTATTATGTAAACCTAGCCTCAGACGGTACAGGTACATACTATACAAGGTGCATCAACTAACTGGGCATGTTTCGTAGCTCAGGACAGAAGGTCCGGATATACTGTCCCTTTGGGTCTATCTTCTGCCCAAATGTAATGGGGCAGTAGTACGGAATGGGTCCGTGAAGAAAGGTTGAACAGCTGCTTTTCATCCACAGACCACACGACACCGTGGGCTCGTAGTCCAGCAACAGCTCCTCAAACGTGTCTTTCCCCGCCACCCATGATATCCACAGGTCCCCACTGGTCAGGAAGGCAGCCACTGATTCTCTGGGTGGGCGAGGAGAGATAGGGAGAAGGGGAGAGGGAAGGGAAGGAATAAGAGGAGAGATAGGGAGAGGGGGAGAGGGAAGGGAAGGAAGGGCTAGCTTCTCGATTCACTCGGGCACGGCCTGGACAGCTGTACTAGACTGAGGTGAGGTGTGCATATTAGTGCGGAGCAGCAGTGTGGAGCAGCAAGCAAAGGGTCATTATATATTTTGCAACTTTCCCAAGATGCAAACATGCAGTGATTAGTTCGTAATTAGCTATTTTAGGGACCTCAGTGCGTGCACTAACCATAAGGGAACTGGAGGCCAGTAGGTTGCAAAACGTTGCACAAGTGTAAACTCCACAGAGGCTGCACAGTGTAAGCAGCCCATATATATACTATTGTTACGTAACCCTCACCCTTCGGCAGCGTGCTAGGAAATAGTTACACCAGATTGCGTCATCTAGGGGCAGTGAATTCCTGTTAGTGGCCCAAACGAATTCCTATCCCAAATAGTGTGAGGATTTCTGCCCCTCATCCTCATATTTACCCTAGACTAATTCACTTCCAATGATCTACCGCCAACCACAGTAATTGGCTATAATGCTAAACCCAGAACACAGCACTACTTCTTCTGTAGCTATGGGAAAGATGGTACACTATGGTGTATGCAGCAGCTAGCCAGGATTACAGAAGTATGATTAAAAAAATAAGCTGTTCCATACATCACCTGAGGTAATAGTGTATCCATCCTTCCTTCCTCAGTTGTCTCATTGCAGCATCAATCCATGGATACCCTGTTTTGCCTTCTCTCCACAGGGGAAGGAGAGAGGTGTCCGTCTCCCACGGCAACTGGAGACAGATTGGATTGTTCTCTGTGATGTCATAGTTTGGTACCTAACCAACAGAAAAAGCAGTAAGTTAGAAAGATGATGACAAGTAAAATAAGCATAATAGCAGCATGCAGATGAACCAACTTCTGCTGGAAGTCCAGTGCACCAGGCAGCTCCCTGGTTCTCCCAAATCCCTCGAGTACAAGAATGTCCTAACCTGAGAAGCAACGACGAAGTAAAATTCTCGATTCAGCAGTTTCTGTGTCAGTTGGCGTACTACGCTTTCGACAGCTGGATTGCTGCTTGAAATGGCTCTAGTCTTCCAGAGAAAGTAGCGCACAGACAGACAGCCAAACCTCACATACGGACTTAGTGCAGACTTGTCGAACAACATGTCGACCTGTGCAGGAATGGGTGGGGCTAGTGGGTGTGGTCATGTGACAGTCACGTGATCTACTCACCGTGTTGTCAGTGTTCTGGGATCTCAGCTGGCAGTAGAGAGGGAGTCTTCTGAGGGCCTCAGTCTCTCCTCCAACCCATACATTGGTATAGAGGCTGCAGTCCTCAAACCCCATCTCACTCATTGTGGGGATACTGCAGTGAGGGGAGAGGGGAGAGAGGGGAGGGGGTAAGAAGTGAGTGTGAGCTAAGAATGCATTCACTGTTACAAAACAACAGCTGTTTTCATACCCTAAGATGTGATCCACATCACTTGGCCTTCTTTTGAAAGTAAAAGATTCTAGGGCAGACAGTGCCCCACTTACCGATACAGACCCACATCAGGGTCTTCCTCACTGTACAGTTTGGTCGAGAATACCTCTGAGTCAGGGTCTGGCACGGCTGCAGCAAGAGAGAGAAACACCAACAGCATTAACCCTAATTGACAAGCTGTACAATACACACGACTGGATTTGGCCCTCATCAAGAATTGATCATGAATTTGGATTTGAGGACAACGAACAAAATGTCACACAGTCTCATGAGAGAGATTTGCCTTCACTTCCTCTTACCAATTGGCTTGGTAGGAGCTCCCAACTTTGGAACCAGTTCTCTGAAGGCCTTTTGAGTGAGAATGGGTTTGTTGCCGTTGGCAGCGAGCATGGCAGCTGGATGGTAAAGAGTGTGTGCTGTGAACGGGAACGCCTTCAGACCACGAATGATGGGTGAAGAAAGAGTGTGGGCAAAGGAGAATGGAAAGAGGGGAGAGAATATAAATCGATTATGAGACGAAGATGTGAAAAGGAAGCAATCACGGTAACTCTACTTAGTAAGTGCCTTTCGAACCTAGTAAAATGTGGTTAGTTACTGAGAGATACGAGACACTTACTTCAACTCCAGATATTTTGGCGACTTTGGCGACACTCTCCTCCAGTCTCTGACTGTATGGCTCCATGTCTTGCTGGAACGTCAGCTGCTGCACGTTCCACTGTCTAATGAGCTGCTCCATGGCTGCAATTGGCTGGCCTTGCACCACATACAGTCTACTGCAGTAGGCCCTCAACTTCTTGTCCAGGTCGTGAAGACTTTCCAGAAGAAATCGACACCTACAACCATCAGTACTCAAGATTACAAAACGTAGGAACGAGATAGGGGGGAAAGGTCAAAATTGTAATTCAGGGAGAGAAGTACAACAGCTGGGACCCTCACCTGTTCTCTCCAATGCGGCCTCGGATGAACCAAGGATCTATAATGAAAACACAGCGAAGTCTGCGCTGAGTGTCGAGTAGTGCTTGCTGCAGAGCCGGGTTGTCGTGGATCCGGAGAGCGCTCATGCGGACCCAGTGCAGCACGGTGGGCGGCTGGCTCACCGCTTCCCGCGTCTCCGTGCCGCACCTGAGGGAGAGGAGGATTGCAGGTCACAGCGATCATGAATGAAGGCCTCACCCCTCAGAGCTGATCGCGGCGGGGTGAGGACCGTTCAGACTCTCCCCGCTCCCCGTTCTCCCCACTGTCCCATCTCCGCTATCTTCACAATCTGCACGACCCCACGTATCACACTTGTCCGCACACGTACACACGCCACACTGACCAGAACTGTCTTCGTCTGAGAAATATCCGTACGTAGGACTCTCTTCCCCGCTCTGGTCACCTTCACCTGGATCTTCCATCCTCTCCCTCACTCTCAGTGTGCAACATTCACACACACACACACACACACACACACACACACACACACACAGTGACACACGATGCGTGAGCGTTCGAGTTCCGCGAAGTTGCTGCGCAGTGCAGCACGCGCAACGTTGCCGTCGTCCTTGCGTAACGTTGCTAATTTCGGAGAGCTTCCACCTTGCCCCGCCCACCTAATTAGGGGACTGTTTGTTACACACAATGCGTCTTCTATTGGGGAAGGCAAGGATTTAGGTTGCCCAGCCCTGAAGCATCATTATGCAGTGTTGAAGGAAGTTTCTTTACCAAACACGCGTATCACAACAAAGAGATGAACAGTGTGCCTCCAGCAACAACAATCTTCTTTACACAACGTAACATTAGGTAACATGTTACCATATTACACCATTACACATGTTGGCATAATACATAGCTAGAAAAATGTCAGGAACTAAAATGAAGTGTTCGGCGCTAGCCCATAGACGAGAGCTCCATGGTTACTGCAGCTTTGACCGTATCAGTTCTTCCAGCTTTCGGGTGTCGGCAGCAAACTTGCGGATTCCGTCAGACAATTTCTCGACGCCCATTTGGTCTTCGTTGTGCTCCCTGCGGAAGTCCGGTTCCGTCAGAGAAATCTTCTCCAGGTCACAAGTCTGAGCTGCAGAACGAGGAAAGAATTGAGGGGTTGGGAGAAGAGGGGGGAGAGATAAGTAAACCAATGGGGTGTCCTTATTTCAGGGGTTGAATTGCATGCAAGAACTGTTTTTGGGGGAAAGAAAAGGTGTCCTTATTAGAGAGGTGTCCTCATTTCAGGGGTTTTCTTAGAGAAAGGCTCCACTGTACAGGCTGAATCCAATGGGTGGCAGGCAAACCTCCTTCAACGGAGAGTTGTCTGGTGACTTGCTCTTTGGATGACTGCAGCTGTTCCAGGAGCTTGGGTCTGCATGTGCGGGGGGAAGAAGCGAGAGGGAGAGTGACAACAGAGACATGCTCCGGGGAGCAATTGCACGCCGTGTGACCAGGGCAACATGCAAATGGCCACATCTGGCAACCGACAGCAGTGACATATGGAAATGAATCTACCTACACCATCTGTATTATGGTTGGAGCACCCCCTAACTCCCCCAGCCTCCTCACGAGATGGTGAGGTTGTCACAGCCTGCCAGGGCTGTTATCTGATCAGTGTTTCTAAATGAAGCTCCCATCACGATGGTCTTGTAGCCAAACTTCTTGTAGTAGTTGTAGATCTTCGCCACAGATTTCACTCCTGGGTGTCAGTGATGTAAGACAAGGTCATTGACTAAAAGGCTCGTCATGTGACTGGTCATGTGACTCACCAGGGTCCTCCTGAGGAGCATAGCTCTTCTGGCCTGTGCTCTTGACATACCAGTCAAAGATTCGGCCAACAAAGGGAGAAATGAGAGTCACACCAGCCTCCGCACAGGCTACTGCCTGTGAGAGAAAATGGTTTACTGAACAATCAGAAATCTTGTAACCAGGGAGATTTGTATTAGAAGGTCAGCAATCTTATCTCTTGAAATTCGCGTTTACCACCGAAATGTTATTCCTCAAAAGAAGTTTAGCTCAAAGCCTGATTTACCATGCGTACCTGAGCAAAGGAAAACAGCAGAGTCAAGTTGCAGTGGATTCCATACTTTTCTTCCAGAGTCCTGGAGTAGACAGAAAAAGAGGATCACCTGAGTTACGCAATATGATGCAACGGGGTCTCACTTTGCAGCCTGAATGCCTTCCCAAGTAGAGGCAAGTTTGACGAGGACTCGTTCCTTGCCGATCCCTGCCTTCTCGTAGAGATCGATGAACTTACGGGCCTTTGCAATGGAGGCCTCCTTGTCAAATGACAACCTGTGGGGGGAAGCAGAAACTATAGCCTCGACTTCCTCAAATCCAGGAAGTCTAGAATGCCACGTCCTGTCCGCCAACCGCTATTTTTCAAGGCTTTCACATGTACGATGTCCCATTAAAAACTTGGAACCAACAATGAGGACATGAGGAGCAATAACAAAGCTACATAAATAAAAACAACTCAATTCATGGAGAAAGTCTCTCATACACATGTGGCTCTCTCAACTGTGCAACTTGCACGAGTGTTGCTCCCATATAGAAAGTTTCAGTACTGGGCGTACGTCGTACCTGGCATCCACCTCAGTTGATACCCTCCCTGGTACAATGCTGAGAATTTTGGCTCCAAAAATCACATACAACTTGTCGATGGCCTCGGTCACTTGTTCGTCAAGGTTACTACACCAAAGCAAACATCATTTGTCAATTACAACCGGTGAGAGGAGCCAATTAACTAATCAGTAATGGCAGGAGTGCTGGAAAATGACGAGAAAGGGGAATCACCTTGATTGAGACTTGGCATATGCAAGAGCCTCTTCCACTAGAGCACTGTACTGTGGTTGCTGGGCTGCGGCGTACAGCAGGGAGGGGTTGGTGGTGGCATCTGTGGGCTTGTACTGTCCAATGGCTGCAGGGGAAGGATAGCAGAATGCAGCAATCCATGGCAGGTCGGATTGAACTTACCATTGATGTCGCCCGTATCAGCCACCACCACCGTGTACAGCTTCAATTGGTCCAGAGAGCTCGCCATCCTCTGCAATTGGAGGAGGGAGAGAGGGAGGGGCAAAGAGGCGAAGCTCTTATTGTACGGCTCTTGCTGAATCAAGCAAGTAGGGTAGAGGTAGATCTATTGTTCTTGGCTCACCTAATCTTCAAGACTGCTTGCCGGAGGGAGAGAGATGATTGTGAAAGGTCTTGAGAGTGGGCTCGTCAGCAACTCGACTTTCTACGAGAGAAACTTCCTGCTAAAAATCGGAAGTAGGGGCACTGTTGACTTTACGCCCATGCGCACACTTGGTTGTCGGCGCGCGCATATTTTTGACTTTTTCCGCGGGAACGTGTACAGAATTTAATAATATACATGCTTGTTGCTATGCTTTTTCTCTGCAGCTGTAATAATTATACAACAGTGGTAAGACTACAAGACTCCAATCGTGTACTTGTCTCAGACATAGGGAGCCGTTAGCATGCAGTCAACCCAGCTAAGAACTCCGTTCCTGAGAGTTGTCCAACATGAGAGCTACCAGAGCAGAGGGCCCCAGGCAACCAGTTTCTTTAGAAGCCAAGAACAGAGTCAGGAACAAGTTGCAAGGCAGAATATGGCAGACCAAACAACACTCACTTACGGTCCAGCACTGGCAAAGCTGAAAATGGAGGCCGACAAGATTCGAAAGTGGAAGACGGCCACTCAGTTTGAGCTAAAGAAAAAGGTGGGGGAGTGGTGATTTTGGTGATGGTTGTGACGTGTGAGGTGTGCAGGAGAGTCAGTTGAGTGAGACGAGGCAGCAGCTGAGTGTGGTGAGGGAGGAAGTGACGAGAGTAAGGGTGAGAGAAGAAGCACTCAAGACTCAGCTACAAGACCAGTTCTCATCCCACACTGAGCTCCAACACAAGTTAGACCTACATATAGAGCTTCTGTGAAATACCTCAATTCTTTATGGGGTTTATTCTATATACCTTTATATAAAGGTATAATGGTCTTGCATTTTTTGCAGGAACGCAAGTAAACGAAATGACAAACCAACCATCCCTAATACTTTGACTATAGTTGGAGAGTGGAACAGCAACACTATCTCGCATTACCTTGCCCTACCTTGCCCTATCTTGCTTCTGTCCCTTGAATATATACCCTCCCTCGCCAATAAGGGTATGAATGGTATCGCATTTTTTGCAAGAACACGAGTAAACGAAATGATAAACCAACCATCCCTATTACTTTGACTATAGTTGGAGAGTGGAATAGCATCACTATCTTGCTTTACCTATCCCCATCTTTCTCTATTTCACTTCTATTTCGCTGTCCCTCAAACATCCTCCCCCACCAATAAGGGTATGATGAACGGTATCGCATTTTTTGCAGGAACATCAGTAAATGAAATGACAAACCAACCATCCCTATTACTTTGACTATAGTTGGAGAGTGGAATAGCAAAAAGTATACCTATCTTGCTTGTGTTTCGCTGACTCAAGCCCATTTCTCTGTAGAGTTCTGGTGACAAGAGGACTGTGCTCCACTCTAAAGGAGAAGGTTGGGAAGGTTGAAGCAGCTCTGAACCAAGGGAGGGCTGATCAGGACAACAACAGAGATCTGGACAACTTGAGACTGGAACAGTACAGGGTAAAGGCCAAGACATAATGCAACTTGAATCAATTGGTATTTGATGGCCCACGCAGCATGTATCTCTATGAAACATGTATGTTTGTCCTAACTAAGTAAGTGTGCGTCACTGTCCACAGGCTCTGGCTGCCAAGTTCAGACAGCTGGAACAAGAGCAGAGGAGGGTTCACCATTCACTTGAGGAAGCTCTCTCCAACGAAAGGGGAAAGGGGCGTGGTCTGGAGGAAGAACTGACCAATGAGAGGGCTGGGAGTCGGCAACTATGTAAGGAGGTGGAAAGATTGCAGGCACAGCTACAGACTGCCTCGTCTGAAGTTAGTTTCCTTACATACTGTATAGTGTGTTTTTAACATCATTGATTGGTGCACAGTGTGATGGTGTGAAGGTGAAGATGGGTGAGGTGGAGAAGAGACTAGGGGAGGAGGTGAGGAGGAGGGGGTGTGCCGAGGAGCTCTGCAATAAGCAACAGGACCAGCTGGAGAAGGCTCGAGATGATGCCCTCTCTCTTCAGAGGAGCATCCTCTCTCTTACTCAACAGGCCAGTCTCCCTATACGCTTGTTTTCTGTTCTTTCTTTTGCCCCTTTTTACACAGTTTGAAAACTTCAGTTCATGAGCTTTCATCCTTTTTAAGCTGCTTCAAGAAGGCAATTTGTCGTGCAAACTTTGTGTGTCATTACCCTCGGCGCGCATGCGCAGCGAGGGTAGTTGGGTCTGTCTCTCTGTCTGTTATACTCTACATCTCACCTCTCGAATGTCTGTTCGTCCCAGAAACGATACCACCTACCCAACGGGCGACGAAGGTCAGAATATATGTGGGGTTTTCTCCGAAAATGCTCCGTTGCAGAGCTAGAGCGCTTCCAGCATTGTATGGCTAATTCCGTAGTCGCCATTTTATCGCTGGCGGATAATGCGCATGCGCTTATATTTAGCTCAAGTTCGACCGGGTCCCGCTTGCACAAGAAGTCACAACGAATGGCGTGTATCGACTCTCGCGTGCTATCTACTACTGTAGCTAGCCCGTGTCAGACTCTCTGCGAGCTACTTCGCCGAGGGTTTGCACTATTAATTTACACTGTTCCCATTCAAGTAATGGTGGTGGTCTGATGGATAAGCACCCCGTCTCTTGATCGTGAGGTCCCTGGTTCGATCCCGGGAGGTGTGCGCCTTTTTTACAATGATGTAATATTATATAGGAGTGTCGGCTGTTGGTATATAAATGGAACGTTTTTTCATCACCTCTCCAGCCCGAGTGGCTAGGTGGTTAGAGTCGTGGGGACTGACACCATAGGTGCGGGGTTCGTATCCTCGATCCCGCACTAAAATGTCAGATGGTCCAGAGCATTGGCTGGGAACAGCTCTGGTACCTCCCCTTACCCATACAAATCTACCACTGACCCATGTTTCTCAAAGGGCAGCGTACAGTTCGGCATGGCCGTTTTTTTCAAACCTTGGGTTTTAAAAATTTTTTTCCACTAAACAATCCACGGGTAATACGAAAATTAATAGAGAGATGAAAGGTTGGCAATTTTTCAACCTTATATATATTTTTTGCCTCAAACAGAAATAGGGCTGGCCATTTTTTTAAGCATAACATGCTGTTATTTTTGATGCATGGTCAAGACCATCAATTGTGGTGGTGCCACACTTGTGTATGGGTTCCACATTTCTATACAGTGTGCCGAGGGTTTGCACTTTAGTGCTTTTCATTTGGCAATGATCACAGTGAATTTGTAATGAATTCTGGTGTTCAATATGCCTGGACCTTTGCTCAGATGTCTTCACAAGAGGCAGACAACAAGTCAGCAGAGTCCAGGTATCAGGAACAGGTGAGGGATGGAGAGAAGATACGTGGGCAGCTGGAGGACAGAGTTCACCAGGTGCAAATGGCTCTCCAACAACACCAGACAGATCTCGCTAGGGCTGTCAGGGACAAGGAGAACTTGGAGATTTCTCTGGCCGCAGTCAGAGAAGAGGTATATACAGAGTATGGTGGGGTACAGTTACCCCGCTCTGTCTTACCCCAGCTGTGTGCCATGGAGTACAGTCGCCGAGACGACGTGGCGAGGCTGACGGGGGAGATGGAGGAGAAGGAAGAGGCACATTCCCTGGAGACTGCAGCCCTCAGCTCCAGTCTGGTCTCAGTCCAGTCCTCCCTCTCCTCCCTGCAAACCAAGGTCACCCACATTGGAACCACACCCCCAATACTTTTGACTCTGGTGTATATATGTACACAGCTGGAGGAGAGTGGGGAGAGGTGTGCAGCAGGAGACCAGGAGATCGAGACTCTAAAACTCTCTCTCACCCAGTCACAGGTGACACACACACACACACACACACACACACTGGGCAATTCACTGTATCTACACTAATTCCAGTGTCTAGGACATTCTGGAGATATGCATATTTGGCAATTAGTAAGTCCTGAACATTCTGGTCGATTTCTGCAACTGCCAAGTTTATACGAGTGCTTGTTTGTTTGTAATTAACCTGGACCATATGCCAATTGCTGTGTTGAGTGGTGTAAGAGCTGGCACCGTAGTCACTACCCTATACAGACGGCCAATACTGGACTGCTGTCAGAGGTGGAAGAGCTGAAGAAGAGAGCCACGGAGCTAGAGAGAGAGGGGGAGGAGAGGGAGAGGGAGAGGAGCCAGAACCAGAGCACTGTGTCTTCACTGAGAGGTCAACTGGAGACCCTCCAGAGCCAGTTGGAGGGGACGAGGAAGACAGAGGGAGAGAGAGTGTCATTGGTAAGCACTCTCGGTCTCTTACTGGGATGACTTTGCAAAAGTTTTTTTGTCGATATTAAACTAGATGTTAATCTTATGCCATAATTCAACTGCCTATTTGTCATTTCTGGCTACACTACAGGTTTCAAATATTTCGGGCAAAAACGTATTTTTCATGATTTGTGCTCCCATTTACCTTAACTCCAGCTGGAGAGAAAGAAGAGTGATGTTGAGAAGGAGCTGTTTGGTGTGAGGAAACAGTTGGAGGAGGTGGAGGAAGAGAGGAAGAGGGTGAAGGAAGAGATGGAGGGAGTAAAGAGGGAGAGCGGGGAGGAGGTGAGGAGGTGGAGGGAAGAGGCTGAGAGAGCTAGAGACACTCAGACCAGAGAGAAGGAGAGCTTTGACATTCAGGTCAGCAGCCATCTTATTCCGATGTACAGAGGTACAAGGACAGGACACCTCCCTAATACGGACAGTTTCTTCTGTTCCATTGGTGTCTGTATTATAGTCGGGTTCCACTGTACACAATACAGGTGACGGAGCTGTGCGGGATGTTGGAGAGATATCGCAGTGAGAACCAGAAGATAGTGCAGCAGAAGGAACTCCAGATCCAGAGTCTCCAGTCGTCCCTGGCCTCAAGTAGAGAGAGGAAGGCTAGTGTATATCTCCGTTACATTCAGAGTGTAATAATGTATTTTTTGAAGAATACGGGAAACACTTTTTCTATAGTGGGAGTCTAACTTAGTGTGACAATTTCTCAGTGCAATATATGTGCATCCTCTTTACTGTGATATACACCATTAGGAGGAGATAGAGGGTGAGATGAGAGGAAGAGAAGAGGAGGCCAGGATACTGAGAGAAGAGGTCTCCAGGCTCCAGGCAGACCTCAGTCAGAGAGATGTGGACCTGAGACTGAGGGAGAGCCAGGTGAGGGAGAAAGACGACGAGATGGCAGAGCTCCTGAAGGCTGTCGACACTCTCAGGAGAAAGGTACGTTCGGATGTCACTAAGAATTATTCTGATGCCAAGGACCTATGTGGACACTATGAAGTGGAATCGTTACAATCTTCTCTCCCAGCAGCAGTCAGCATCCAGCAGTATTCCTCAGAGCACAACCCACACACCCCGTCCCTCTCCCTCCACCCTACCTCCTCACACTCCTCTCATCTCCACCAGTGAGCCCAGTGGAACCTTCTCTAATTAATGACACCCATGAAATAACCTCACTAATATGAAGGACCTTTTCTTCAACCAAAGAACAGTTTGCATGCAAGAAAACGCTGAAAATAAGGCCACCTCCGTACTTTATTCTGTTCCATTAGTGTCTGGATTGGAGGGGCTCCAGTTCATTATACTTTCGGCTACATAACTGTTGGTTGACTCCTCTGAACTGTAGTGTCGGGCACAGCTCCTCCGATGTCAGCTCCAGCCAGACACCCCGCCAGCAGACCTCCGGTGAAGAAGACTCACCACTGTGGTGAGGACGAGGATGACGAGGAGGAAGGGGGTGTGGCCACATACAGCCATACCGACTGTGAAGATATCCTCTTTAGAAAGCCACGCCTACTAGTCAGGGAATTAGTTAGTCTCATGCTCCAGTGGAAAATCGACTAATATCTCTGATCCCCCCACACAGGTAGCTAGATCTTCACACAGTTCATTCAGACCCCCCAAATCTAGTGGAACCCCCGGATCTGCAGGGATCCCCAGACCCCAGAAATCAGGAGGAACTCCCACAACAGGGCCCCCCAGATCTGCTGGAACCCCCCTCGAAGGGGGTCGAGATTACTGCAGCAGTTCAGTAGGGGAAGTGTCCTCCACTGCTCCTAGTGGGACACGGAGTGACAGGAAAAGACACACTCCTTCCAGGTATACATAATAGACTTTGAACAAGTCAGACACATGCGTGCCCCAAGTACATTATATAACCTCCGATTGTTGTTTGTCTGTTGTGTTGTGTGTGTGCAGCAGTGGAAGCAGCAGGGTGGTACAGGGAAGTGGCAGAGGAAGGAAGGAGAGAAGGGGAGAGAAGGGACGAGGAGGGAGGAAGCCAGCAGCAGGTACTGCCTGGTTTGATCTGGACGCCGTCTTTGGCCTCGGACCTGACGACTAGCAACACACACTACCACACTACCTCATAACAGCAGCTCTATCATAGTATATACACCGCAACTGTTCATCTACCAGTGGACCTCATCATCAATCACTGTACATCAATCATTTCTCACACACTACCCCACATTACTATGTCCATAATGTTTCATCAGTCATTCTGTTCAGGTCTTTCTGCAGATGGCTGTAATCTGTGAGCATGAGAGAAGGTAGAGCTCTCAAGTTATCCTAGCTGACGACATACAGACGCGGGGTATCATGTTCTTTGGATGTGCATGTATTTGACACAGATTTCTCATGATCTGATAGAACTCTCTGACCTGTTGAGTCGGTCAGCTAGTCTGGCACTGAAAGAGGAACTGTAACTAGGACTGATGCAGTTGAGTAGGGAATACACCGTCTCCCACGTCCCCCCCTCCTCTCCAGACACCTCGTCATGAGAACGACCTACCACCTGTCCAGCACAACACTCGAATAGTGTAGCATCGTGCTATTCATTCTGTACTGCTATATACCTGGAACCCTCGTCCTGAAAGTCGCACGCAGTACTCCTGTCCCTCGCGAGTAGTGAGGTTCAGGTAGGCGTACTGGCTGGAGCTCTCCAGCCGCTCGCTGACCCAACCCTCGCTGAGTGCATAGCGAACCTCGTCCAGCGACTGCTGAGCCTCCTTCTTGAACTCCAGTACTTCGAACTCCATCCAGGGATAAGGGGGCGGGGCTTGAGTGCACGTGATTATGCAGAAACGATGAGCTCCAGTGAGGAAGACGATTTGGTTGAAGAGGTGGATGAAGAGGGAGAAGAAGATGAAGAAGAAGTGGAAGAAAATGAAGAGGAAGGGGAGGAAAAGGAGGTAGAGAAGAAAGAGGTGGAGGGGGAAGAAAGTGACACGGAAAGTTGTAAGCCAGTGAAGAAGAAAAAGGAGAAAGAGAAGAAGCCCACACCAGGGGTGGTGTATTTGTCAAGAATTCCTCCGTTCATGAGACCACGTAAGGTCCGCCACCTCCTCTCGAGGTACGGGGAGGTGGGGAGAGTGTACCTGGCCCCCGAGGCACCCCAGACCCAGCGCAGGCGACGCAGGCTCAAGAAGAACAAACGACGGAAATACACCGAAGGGTGGGTGGAGTTTCTGGACAAACGGGTTGCCAAGGCAACGGCACAGGCCATAAACAACACACAGATTGGAGGGAAGAAACGGTACTATTACCATGACGACATCTGGAACATGAAATACCTTCCAAAATTCCGATGGTACCACCTCACAGAGAAAATTGGTAAGTTTGCCCTTTACTTATACTGAGCAAGAAAATGACTCTGTCATTTTGGACACTGTGTAATGTGTAGTTGCATGTAAAGACACAGTGTTGCATAAACAGTCGTACAGATAGAGGTTTGTAATTCTGTTCAGCCTACGAGCAGGCAGTGGAGGAACAGAAACACAGACTGGAGATGTCCCAGGTGAGGAGAGAGATGGAGAAGGTGATGGAGAACTTTGAGAAGAAGCAGGAGGTGTCGGCCATCATCGACCGCAAGAGAAAGAGAGGAGACGAGCTTCTGCAGGTCATACCCCACTTTTGCAGAATGAGACAAAGTGATGTACCCACCCAACAAGTTGCATGAAACATATAGCTAAGTGCCTGTTGTGTACAACATGCTCCATGGCATTTCATTGTCTGATGTTATGTATGTTGGCTTTGAGTGAGAGAGATTCATTGTCTCCCCAGCCAATAATCAGACGGTTCAAGCAGAGGAAGTGTGTGGTAGTTCCACGACCTCTCCCTCACCCCTTCTCTGACTCCCAACCCTCCACCTCGTCTGCTGCCACAGCTGGTGGTGGAGGCTCAGAGCTGAGTGACAGTCTCTTGAGCAAGGTCTGCTTTTTTGGGTTGTGTGACACTTTTAACCATAATTCTCAATGCCTTCTGTTGCCTAATTTGTTTATTCCTCTCTCAGATTTTCCCCTGATCGCCGCCACTGATAACAGAAACTGCTAACAAACATTTTTGTCATCTTCCAATCACCACAAACACCAAAAGTACAACTTCAAAAAAGTTTTGACGAAAATTTTCGAAAGTATCAGTGAGCAGTCTGGGCTCTCTGGGTGTGGGTGTGGCCAACCTTTGACCTCCATGCCACCAGGTTGGACGGTGGAATTCCAATGCGTCGCTTCCTAATATAGAAATTTTAGTCGGAATTAGTCGTAGTTCCCTGTAATTAGTTTGTATTACTTGTTATCAGTGTCGTGAGCGAAGAAGTAGCCACAGGTTGGTTTCATGGTGGTATGGAATGGGGACAGGGAGTTCGAGGGGTATGGAGTGGAGGATCCTGGTCTGGAACCAGAACGACCTGTGGAAGGCTGTATAGAAAAGAACAAGTTCAAGGAAACCGGCTTCATGGTTCCACTGTATACCTGGTTTAGGCTCCTGAGGATCTGCAGATGTCTGGAGAAACTGGCGACACGCGTGGACTCGACGGTGGTGTAGCCAGCTCGCGAGGGCCAGGCCTCCAGCCAGTGAACTCTGCTCCGCTCACGTCGACTGCTCCTACACACACAGCAGAGAGACAACAGCGCCTTAGTTACTGCGGTAGAGTGATGACTGAAGAATGGTAGAAATGCAGAGACTGGTAGGGCAAGGAAAAGAACCATCTTTTGTCCAGACAAAAGATGGTCTTCCCTATTCCCTCTAGTGAACCTCTTACTAACAAGCTGACGTCATTACCCGTATGCACGGTGATCAAGCATGCCTGTGTTGGGCATGGCGATCCTCGTCTTCCCTGCGATCAGAGAGAAAAACTGCAGCTTAGCGTCGCGCGTCTCTCCGATGACGCTCGTCTGCAAAAAAAACGCAGGCGGGGCTGGTAATATTGCATTCCTCGCATTCCCGAAATTCAGTGTTTGCGCATGCGCGGTTGTGGAGGTCCCGTGTCGGAGAAACGGGGCGTGGCCTACATCTGGCCTATTCTAGCTCTAAGAGAGCTGTGCAGTGTCTTTAGAGAGTTTGTGTGTCCGTGTCGTTCAAGATGTGGGGTCGTAAAGACAAGCAGAAGCGAGGGGAGAGACGGAAAGGGGGCGGAGCCAGCAAAGGAGGCGCAGGCCTGCCGTTTATGGGACTGGGTGTCCCTCCAGGTGAATTCTCCAGTATTTCATCGCAAATCACGTCGTTTCTCACGTGACTCAGGTGCAGAAGAGTCTGAGGAGGCGCTAGAGGCAGAGTTGCTGGCCCTACACGGGAAATCCCCTGTTGCTGGGAAGGGGAAGAAGGGTTCGGGGAAGGGTTCGAAGGTGATGTCGTTGAATGAGATTGATTCCATGGTGGCAGGTCTTGACAATGTGGGAGAGGTGAGGAAATGTAGCTCTGCACCGAGACAAACTTTCAAGGCAGTTTGCGAATTTGTTTTCAAGTTTTAGTTCTGTAAATTTAATTCAGTTGTATGTGGTGACCATCTAGGTAAAATTTCATAGTTCAAAATACGATGACACAACTTGTGAGAATTTTCAGTGCAAAATTTCAGTTTGCCACTGGATATGATGCTCTGTGTATTGCCAGAGTGAGGAAGATGATGATGAAGAAGGCAGTGAGGCAGAAGATGACAGCGACCTGCTCGCTGAGCTGCAGGAGATCGCTAATGAGGACGAGGAAGAAGCCCCACCCACTGCTCCGCCCACTGCCACACCCACAAAACCAGCTACTATCACTAAGATGCCAGTCCAGAGTTCACAAGTAAGACTACATGCATTCACCACTCTATTTGGAGGTACCATTTTCACAAATACTTTTGCAGCTTATGTTCAATGTGTTGTGCTATTAGAAAAGGAAGGCTTATGATGCAAAATGTTATGTTAAATCGACTATTAGAGAAAGAAGGTTTATGGTGCACACAGGGGTAGAAGACGTCCCTTCCAAGCCCACCCCATTTCTTGTCTAATTCTTTTCTGTCAGCTAACAGCAGTATCAGAGAGAATGGCGATGTACGAGAAAGCTATTGCGGAGGCTAAGGGCAAAGGTGACAGTTCAAAGGCCAGACGCTACACAAGAGCTCTGGACACCATCAAGACCCTGCAGAGAAAGGTATGATGGAATGAAAGTTGTAGAATCTGACTGGTGACTGGTGTACATTCTGTTCCAGGCTCAGAGTGGGAAAGATGTTAGTATCGACGATCTACCACCACCAGTGCCACTGTCAGGGGGTGGGGGTGAGGGGCCAAAGACTGCTACCACAGTACCACAGCCTACCACTGAGATAACAGACGATGATCTGATGGCGTGGGCCAATAGTAGGTGACATCACGTGATGTCATACTTGGTCATGTGACTCACATGATCTCCAGGTTCGTCTGACCCTTCACCTCCGGCACCTGCACCGAAACCACGCCCAGTTGCACAAAACACACCCCCTCAACCAAAACCACGCCCACCCAAGGAGACCCCACCCCCTCAACAAAGGCCACACCCAAAAGCCCCGCCCACTAGTAGTGACGGTCGTATCGATCTGGACGCTCCGGAATTTGATGAGTTCAATTTATCAGATGAAGACATGGCAATGTTGGCAGCACAGATGGACAGCCATAAGGATTCAGTGGTGGTTAGTCATGTGATGATCATGTGATCTTGTTAATCAGTAGATGCCCTCAAAGGGAAAGGGTCTGGTGACTAATGAGCAATTCTTGCATAGCAAAACGCTGAATAGTTTAATGCTCTGAATGTCACGTGTGCATGTGACATCAGACGACTAAACTTTACGCACTCTGATGAGTCTGTCGGCAAATCGACTACGAGACGCACTATCACATGACATGTTGAACTACTTATTGTGCAAGATTATCGTACAAGATCCATTAGTGTATGCATACTCAGTAGAGTGAATAATTCTTCCATTCTAGAAGACTGAGCATCAACCTCCTCCACCTCAGCCGAAACCAAGACAACAGGCCACACCCCCTCAGGCCAAACCACGCCCAAAAGCTCCGCCCACTAGCAGCGACGGTCGTATTAATCTAGACGCTCCGGAATTTGATGAGTTCAATTTATCAGATGAAGACATGGCAATGTTGGCAGCACAGATGGGGAATGACAGTGCAAAGGTAACCAGCAGAAGGTTCCATGAATAATGGGGCATCAAAAGTCTCCTTTATTCAGAGACAGTCCCTTGGTCTGAAATAAGTGTCCTTCAAATATTCTTCCCCTCTCTCCAGAAACAGAAACTGGACTCACCGGCCAAACCCCCAACTCTCCCCGCACCATCTCAGAGTTTGCCAGTCCCCCTGATCCCCGGGGGGCCCCCCACGAAGGAGAACGTTCGTGCAGTTCTGGGGGAACGTCGGGACCAGTACACTGCTGCCATGAAGCAAGCCAAGACCAGAAACAACACTGGGAAGGCGAGAGAATATGGGAAAATGGCTGCCATGTTTTCAAAGGTCCTGAAGGCATTTGATCAGGGGCAGCAAGTTGACCTGTCTAATGTTCCTGCACCACCTCCCGGGTACACCGCACGGTTAACCTTCGACCTCTCGAGGTACAAGCCCCCGAATACACAGCAGAGTCAGGTTGTCACGGAAACGCCCCAAGGTTCAGTAGTCACGGCGACGTCGCAGGAAAGGGAGGAAGGGGAGCAATCAGATCCAAGTATCCCAGTCCCGCGGACGGTGATGGAGGCTCTGGAGCAGAGACTGGCCAAGTACGTGGACACCCAGAGAGTGGCGCAGGAGAAAGACGAGACCTCACGAGTTAGGAGAATGGGGCGCATTGTTAAACAGTACCAAGAAGCCATACGGATGACAAAAGCCAAGAGGCCATACAACTACTCCGAGTTGCCGGACCCCCCGGGATATCCCCCGATTCCGGTACCCCGTTCCCCCATACAAGCTCCGCAGACGTCTCTCCCTCCCTCCCTCCCCAAACCAACGCAGTCGCTCCCTCCCACTGGGTCAAAGTTCATGCCAAACCCGACAGTGTCACATGACCAGATGGAATTGCTGACTCAGCGACAGAAAGAGTTGCTGAGTGCGACCAAAGAAGCAAAGGTCAAAGGTGATCGCGAGAAGACACTTCATTTTCTTCGCTTGTACAAGGGGGTGGAGCAGATGGTGGTTGCCGCTGGCAACGGACTCCGAGTTGACCTCTCTCAACTTCCTCCATCTCCGTATGCTGATCTCAGCCAAACCAAGCCGTCTCCGACCGTTCTCTCTCACCTTCGACCTGCACAGGAAGGAGACAACGAGACGTTCGAACGCATCAAGAAACAGCTGCAAGTACAGATCGACCTTTGCACCTCAAACACTAAGCTGTACGAGGAGATAAAGAACGTTGGCACGGCGACGCAGTACCAGAACATGGGTAGAGAACTACAGCAGCAGTTACTGGCGATTGAAGGAATCCAATCGCAAGGCCTGGCCCCGCCCAAATTCACCATGGAAACGAGGAAATTCACCATCGTCCACAGCCACACCCACTTGAGTGCTCAGCAGTGCGAGGTGGAGGTTGTCAAGGCGACGGCGATCCCCAGACCAGAGGGGTACGAGGACAAGGACCTCAACGTGTACGTAGAGATAGAGTTTCCATGGCCAAGTGACGACCCTCCAAAGATATGCACTGAGTGTGTTAGGGGAAACGCCAGTCCAGAGTTCAACCATAAGGTTAGTGATACTTATTCTCTCTCTAAATCCGTTTGTGAAAGTGTTTCAACATTATTATGCTGAAAGTGACAAGTTCCTTCAGTGAAGTGTTCGCCATGCATATATACATAATGAGAGAGTATTTAACCCCATTTCCACTGTATAATACGTCTGCATGAGAGGTTAATTAACCCTATCCCCACTGTATATCCGTAGGAAAGGTTTGAGATAGAGAGGAGACATGTGCGGAGTATAACCAGGATTCTAAAAAGGTCACCTCTCAAATGTGGTCTCTGGCAGAAGAGAACTCTGCGGAAACACATCTTCATCGGTCAGTCTCTCCTCCCCCTCTGCCTGTCGCCGTGGGGATGACACATGTACTCAACAACAGCTGAACGTGGGTTGTGATGTTCTCCTCCCTCTCCGACAGGTCAGGGTGTGCTGCAGTTGGAGAAGCTGGAGACAAGGAGTGAGGTGAGAGGAACCATCGACCTCCTCGATGAGAAGGCTCGGAAACCAGTCGGGGGGAAGATGGAGCTGGTTGCTAGGCTACGAGAACCTCTCTCTGGTGAGAAACAATACCTAATGTAACATGTATATACAGCACCATCAGAAGTCAGAAGACCAAACTTCAAGGAAGAAGCCGAAACCACGAGTCGTGTTCTTGCAGGCAGAGACGCGGAGGAGAAAGAGGAACAATGGCTGGTGTTTCAGGAGGCCATAGCAGTGACATCATCAGTCAAGATGCCCCGCCCCACTCCCTCGGGCCCCGCCCCTTCAGTAAATCTCGCTTCCCTGTCTCCAGTCAAGATTGACGCCACCACAAGCATTGAGGCTCTCAAGGTCAGAAGTCAAACATGCCTTCAACAATCTGTACTGCTCTTCTTCGAACTGTTTCCATGGCTACAGATAGAGCTGAATTTGGTGCAGAATGCGATAAAGAGAGGCCATAAAGACCCGGCCACTGTCCAGAAGGGAAGACAGGTAGTCATTACACAACGTTATGTAATGTACATACCAGTATATACATGGTACAGATCCAGGCGAGGCTGCAGGTAATTCGCCAGAGACTGCAGAGTGACCCTCAGTTCAGAGCCATGTACAGCAGACAGGTTGCCAAGGAGATGCAGCTGGAACAAACACTGGAGGCCCGGCTGGCCAAAGAGGGCAAGAACAGGCAGGCAAAGGTGAGAGGGACAGAGAGGGGAGCCCGGCCAACTCTGTTGCATGTTAAAACTACGAGGTAGAAAGGCAAAGGCACAACAAACAAATCAACTACACCCAGGACAGCTCCTTTTTTCCAAGGAAAAATAAAGAGCTGCCCTAGGTGGGATTCGAACCCACGGCACTGCAGTCTAGGCGAGCGCAGAAGTATTGCACACTCAAGGTTGTGATAGGCTTTTGACATGCACTTGGCCTTCTGATACTCTGATACTCTGAGATGTGCTGTTCCACAGATCTTGCAGTTAAGGCGGCAAGCAATGCAGCAGGAACTAAAGACTCTACCTGGCAAGAAATGACTTGCCATATCTATAGAGCCATATCTATACTAACTGCAACGATATGTATTATTGTGTTGATTTCTTGTCCGTCTTGAGTGTTTTTTGGTTGCATATGACAATGTACATTTGCTGAATCAGCAATTTAGCACAACAAACGATACAACAGGAGTGCATGTATAATTGGGTAGCCGTAGCAACACAAATACAAACACAAACACAGAGTCACACGTTGAAAGATACATACATTGAGAGTGACAAACATGTTGCTAGGTAACGAGTCACATTGGTCATGTGACACAATACGCAGGAGATACACAATAAAATTACAGCAATGACGAACGACAGGCGGTCGTGAAGATTCACATGCAAAATTGAGTGACTTACAAAAGAGAGAAATAATATTCACAAATTGCTATAACGAGGAGTTAGCTCAGTGTGTGTAAGAGGGAGGGGACAGACGAACGGACGAATAGAGACAGACTGTCACACAGACGGACAGAGGGCCCCTGGGGATCGAGGGGACAGGAAAACAAGACAAGTTACAAATGTCTTACAAGTTACAAAACAAGGAAACATTATCTACATCACCCCTTACAGATAACATACACACATTACATCATCTTCTGTACAAAACATGGAGCCGACACCCAACATACAAGATAACATTCTCAATTGGACAATTAAGGATTACATCATCATCATCATTTCATCAGCCCTCTGAATCAAAACTGCCTCAAAACCACAAAATCGGGGGGCAAATGGTAGATATGCTACCTCCGAAGTGCTGGAGAAGCAGTGAGCAGCTCACCTGCTAGTATGGCTTGCTAGCGTCCTTGGGCCTCTTGAGCTGAACTTTCAACCTCTTTGTCCCGATTTGGAACCCATTCATGGCCTGAATGGCACTCTGAGCCGAGAGCGGATTGTCGTAGCTCACGAACCCGAAGCACTTGCTAAGATTTGTATGTTTGTCGATGAACACCTTGGAGCTGATGACGCTGCCAAACGGCTGGAACATCTGGACCAGGTCCATGTCCTGCACATCGTTCGGGAGGTGGTAGATGAACAGATTGCAGCCTTCCGGACCTGGGATTTCATCATTATTACATCATTTGAGAATGACATCATCACATAATTGAGATTACATCATATGTATGTACACACCTTCACGTTGCTTTTGGTGGACTGTTGCTGTATAGATAAAGAGACGATGACATCACAATTACATCATTGTACATTAATTATGTAATCGCTCACCGTCCCGTTGTTTCTGGTAGAGGTAATTATGGGCGGCACCGACAGGGAAGCCGGGCGTGGTCGACTGAGGGGAGGAGAGGGTGGGAGTGGTGTAACCTGCGAGGGAGGAGGCGGAGGCTAGGTACGGCACCAACGGAACAGGGGTGCCTGCTGCCAAGGCAACTGTTGCCATGGTTTTGACAGTACACAGCATCGGGAGACGGGAAGACACAGCACAAGAACACATCGGGCAACGGGACGAACACATCGGGCAATGGGACGCACAAACAGAGCCATCAGAAGACGAGACAGCATATCACAGCACACACAGTACGTAGAGGCATCGGGGTATGGGACGAACAAACAGGACGGCCAATTCACGATGGGGCGAGACAAAGAGAGACATAAAAAAGGTGAAAAACATGCATGTGAAAGAATATACAATACACATACAATACACCAATATTGATACATCTAAAGATGACATCATACACAGTCACGTGACAATCACATGACCATACCTGCGGGAGTCGGCATACCGACGTATGCCTGCATAAGAGCATCGTTGCCAAGACCTAGTTTATGTTGCCCTGCGGTGGCACTGAGGACCGCTGACCCAAGATTACCCATACCTGCGATTTTACGGTGACGTATTAGAGATGACGTAATGTGCAATGGTGTCATTATGACATCACCTGGAGGACCTGCGGCAGCTGCAGCTTGATTGACCTGGGACTGTTGGTTCAGAGCAGCCAGAGCCTGGAGATCTGCAAAACCAAAAAATTGATCGAAAAACACATTAACTACTGTAGCTAAACCAGTAAGGAACGGGTCAAACCTGCTGTTCCAAGTCCGAATGAGTTGGAGGCAGTAGGTGCACCTTGAGTGGCCTGCTGCAGTTGTAGTAGCTGACCAGAGGGAGAGGAAGATGAGGGTAATGGGGGAGTGAAGGAATAGAGTACTATGGAGGGAGTATTGAAACAGGGGGGGGAGGTGGGGGTGGGTGGGTTTTCCCATTCCCGCAACGATAGAGTAGGTTTTGGTAGGAGTGCAACTTGTACTACAACATTTAGCATGTTGATTTCTAATCCAGACACCAATGGGACAGAAGAAGTGTTCATATTAGTGAGGTGTCCTTATTTCAGAGGTATACAGGAACTGTTCTTGGGGAAATCATTACAAGAGAATGTCAACTGAGAATGGTTCTACTGCAGACTCACTGCCTGCTGGTAGTAAGCTGCGGTGTTCATCCCAAGACCAAACGCTGTGAGGTTGTTCAACCCGCCAAACTGGTTTCCTAAACTGGTCATTGCCTGTTGGAGTCTCCGCTGGGCCTTCTCCTTATCAGTGTCCGCTATCTTGACCACCAGCGGCGCCGAGCAACCCTATATTGAGGAAGACAAGGGAAAAATTGAAAGATCAACAAGTTAGGTGGTGTTAAATTTTCAAGAATCTAGTTTTGTTACCCACATTGTACTCAAACATTTTGACACACTCACCCACAAATATTTTGCACCTTAAACTATGATAGTGGGCATAGTGATATAGTAGGGGGTGTGGCTTACTGCCATGGTTTGAGATTGGTGTAGAGCAGTGATGGCTTGCAGGGCCTGAGACTTTGCTCCCATCCGCACAAACGCCGCTCCTGTTGCAGAGGGAAAGAAAATGTCGATTACATCAACTCTTGTACAGGGAAGAGGAGGAGAGAGGGAGAAAGGAGTGAAGAGAGTGGAGAGAGTGGAGAAAGAGAGACGAGCCTTTGCTGGTTCCCTGGGCATTCCGGAGAATGGAAACGTCTTCAACCTGTCCAAACTGGGAAAACATGAGTCTCACGTCGTCTTCACTGAGGTCTCTCGATAACATGCCAACAAACAACCTCCGCTCCTCTGTGATGTGGGGAGTTGGCGAAACTAGTGACCAACACAGTGGAACCACTCTAATACATACACCAATCAACAAAGTGTCCCTATACATGAGGTGTCCACCTTTCTATACAATTATGCTGGTGGAAAATCTTTACTAGAGAAGTGTTCCATTGTATTAGTGGCAAAACTTTTACAGACACATTTTTTAATTAATCCCCACCAACAAAACTTGCAGTGGCACTAGCTAAGTGTGAAATTCGCTAAGTTCTGTTATCTATCTCTAAATTTGTTACCCATACGTACCTCTTCCAACTGTAGTATTCCTAGGTTCGTTGGTGGCTGGTTTGACTTGCATGGGATGATTCATCTGAGTCATGGAGGAATAATTATCATAGCCACGCCCATTACAAGAGACCACACCCACTCACTCACCCCAGGCAGTGTCTTCTTTTCGTGGAGGTTCTTCTGAGCTTCCACTGCAGCGTTCCTCGTGTTGAACGTCACAAAGGCACACCCTGAGTCAGAGAGAGATACTGAACCACTGGCTACCCATTGACTGAAGGAGTATACACAAGGACGCTGGGTTTCTACACCTGAATACACACTAACTTAGTATGCGGCACGAAAGCCTAGCTCATACGCCGCTAGAACTCCCGTTACTCAATCCTACCTTTGTGGGTCCCGCTAATCTTGTCTTTGAGTATCGTAAGTTCCCTGATGGAGCCGTGGGGTTCGAGTATCTCTCGAATATCCTCTTCTTCCCACGTCTTTGGGATCTGACCCACGAATAGTTTTATGAGGCCGCTTTGCGCCGCCGAGTTTGCGGCCGCCATGGAGTCCTCGTCTTGTTCCATGGTGTCTGGAGCGTCTGGCTAGCTTCTCGTCACCAGGTGAAGGCTTTACTTGGCTTTCTTTGATCGGAAACGCTCTTCTTGGCACATACACGCACAAACCACACACGAGGAAGATTTCAAAATTACTCGTGGACTTACTCGTTTAATTGGATCAGAATCGCGCCAAAATTCACGCATTTGCCGTAAATCCGGAAGCTGTTCTATTTCAGCACACACTTAGAAATTTTGCTCGCTCGAACACTGTCGTTTCAGAAAAATCGCCATTTAATTTCCATGCACTGAAGCGTTTGGTATCGCTTAGTCGATCGTCGTGGGGATCCCGGGACACACACGACACAGACCAGTAACCATCGCTGCGCATGCGCGCCGAGGGTTAACTATGCGCATGCGTACACTCAACTCCTGAATGATTTTTCTCTCTACTGCTAAGCTAGCTAGTAAACGACATGTACAAATAACACAGAGTCTGAATCTGAAGGTAACTAAAATACTTGTTTTCAGTCAGTAGCAGCTTTTTAACTACTTTACATACAACTCAACCAGTTCCACTGCTATGTTGTCTCGTATGCCCTCATACAGACACATTCTCAGTTCGAGGTCATCGGTAGTTGTCTGGTTGAGGGTTTTGGTGAAATATGGAGGATTGTGGAGAGAGCAACATGTACTGGTGGAGTGACAGTCTTCACCATCCCAGAGAGGGTCATTGGAGTGGAGTCTGTACTCTGCAGTATTATTCTCATACCCAGGATACACATACCCAGACTCACAGAAGTAATCTTTTCCAACAAATGGTGGGATTGATATACCACTAATGTCACATGGACAGTGGCTGGAGGGGTATTGTGTCGAATTCTCATATGCTCCATTAGCAAATGTCCAGATGTGTTGTCGAGGACTGCCATGCATTACAGCCACACCACTGACATAGGCACTGTCAATTGTAGTTTGTATACGATAGTTATACCCAGCGAAGGCATCAGGCAGTCCATACTGGTAGGCTCTGATCCTACCACACACCTGACTGTATGGTCCTCCACGGACAGGGAAGAAGACTGAGTCACAAGTCCTATATCCAGTACTAACTCTGCCACAAGTTCTCTTGGAGTATCCAGTGAGCTGCCAGCCAGAGGGACAGTTGGTGTTGGGGTCTGTCATATCCAGGTAGACTGCACATCTCCAACCTCCTGTACCTCCACATGAATATCTTGCATTGTTCATGATATTTTCTGTCAGGCTCTGGTTCATTCTCATTAGTTTAGTAGTGATTTCATTGTCATGTTCGTCAATCTTTTGGCTGAGGCTTGCCATGTCAGACTTCATATTCTTCATGTCTTTCTCAATAGTCTCCAAAGCTGGTCCTACAACTTCATGCACAGCTGCAGCAATTCTCACAACTGCAGCAAACACATCCAATAATTTGTGCAGGGCAAAATTGTGATGCCAAGCATTATCTATTCCCTTACCATCACATTGAGACTGTCCCAGCTGTACATTAGACAGTGTCACTAGACACAAGACCAGTAGAAAAGTCCTGTCCATCTTGTCAGTGCTCCAGAGAGTTGACAACTATTTTAACAGCAGTAAACACTCTGGCAAAAATTATATCTGCCTCAGAGTCTAGCTCTATATAGAGGGAAAAGCAACCCAGGACAGTGGCTATACACTCAGCCCCATCTGGATGCCCCTGCTGACAGTTTATCCTCACCTTGTTTCGATGTGGAAATTTTCTTTCACTTTCTGCTATGACTCATGTCTTATCTATGTTGTCCTAGTTTCTGTTGTTCTGTCTTTATCTTCTCACCTTGTTTTCACTCTTTCCTCACTTGGGCCTACAGTGACTACTTAATGGATGGTGTTTTAGATATTAGGATGTCTGCCAAATATGCTTTCTGTTACATTTATTTTATTTGCCATCAGCTCATTATTTAGTTGGACCGCATGGTTGAGTCAACTGGTCTGAATACATCTCGCAAAAAGACCTTTGTGACTAGGAGGATCCATAACTTCAAGTTAACTCTAATACACTAGTCAAAAAACTTTGAAAAAATATATTCAAACGTCTCTTCACCACTTATGTATATCTCCCTGTTCACACATTCCAAGGTTGCTATACATTTGCCTTTATATACTGCTGAATTTTTCTGGTTCTGTACTGTTCACTGATGATGGTGACTGCATAGTCACCGAAACGTTTGAATATATTTTTTCAAAGTTTTTTGACTAGTGTATTAGAGTTAACTTGAAGTTATGAATACATCTCTTTACTATATATTACAAGTGGAAAAATCATTTCTTCGAAATGAAGGGGGATATAGGGATGGCTTGAAGCACCAAAAAGGAAGAAACAAGGGGTCATTACAGCAAAGATGCACAAAGCTACATGACACCATCCCTATATCTTTGTTCGATATTAAACTTTCCTTACGAACAATAAAACAAAGATATAGGGATGGTGTCATGTAGCTTTGTGCATCTTTCCTGTAATGACCTCTTGTTTCTTCCTTTTTGGTGCTTCAAGCCATCCCTATATCCCCCTTCATTTCAAAGAAATGATTTTTCCACTTGTTTCCACTATTTTTAACAGCTTATGACAACACTGCATTTTATTGTTACAGTCACTCGTGATGCTCATGGGTATGTTGTAGATAGGTTACCAGGGACAAACTCTAATTGTTGAAAGCTGTAGCTAATGGGCTGCTAGTGCCTGAAGCAGGAGCTACGTAGATACCATATTCACCTCAGGTAATTAGGTAGGATGTTATTAGGTTATGGCACATGGTTGTGGTTTGATGGGCAGGCTTTGGTAATCAGGCTACAACCTAGGGGGGACAAATGGGCCCCTTTTGTGCGCCCAGCAATGCCGGCCAAGTTGCTACTCGTGTAAATCAACAGCAAAATGCAAGCTAGCCAGTTCGAAATGTGCACACTGACTTACAGAAGGCACTGGAAGCTGAGCAGGTGATACGCGCGAACGTCCCTGCCTAGCGCATGCGCGCGGCTTACTGAATGCTGAGTTAGCAGCAAATGGCGTTGTTTAGTGTCGACAATGGAAGAGCTCCATGATCTACCGTAGTGACTAGCGGCAAGAAAGAAACGATCGCTTGATGTCCGTGCAGACCTCCGACAAAATTGGAGACGTTCAGTGAAAAAATCAGCGCTTCAACTGGTTCTGGTAAGGATAGCGGGTTTACTGAGAAGAACCGGAAGATGAAGAATAATTATGATGATGATGATGACAAGAAATCCAGAAATCGGGTATGAGCGAAGTCTCGCGTGGATAACTGAAGGTGCATATGAGGTATTTGGGAACATGTATATATATGTTATGTACTACGTGCGAGGGACATACCGGATTTCAATGAACCCGAGGGCCTCCGCGTTTGTAGTGTCCGAGCGCAGCGAGGGCACTACGCGGATGGCCCGAGGGTTCATTGAAATCCGTATGTCCCGAGTATACGGAGTACATACATGTTAGTGCAGAGCAAATCAGCTCCGTATACGCGCACTGCGTTTTCCAAGCACAGGAATTTGAAAGATGCGAGAAAGAGACGAGAACGCAAGACCGTCATCTCGTGTGGGACTAGTGAACGCCGAACGCTAGGATACGCTGCTCCGCCGCTCTAGCTACTCCCGCTGCGGGACTGTCCTCCGCCACTCATCCGAAGAAACGCGACAGGAGACCTGCGCGAACCATCGCAATCAGAGAGAGGCGAATTCAGGCGCTGTGCGGGCTGCTATAAACCGAAGGCGTTCGCCGTCGACTTAGTAGCTTTGGTCGCGCGCACTCGCTCGCGGAGCCCCACCCCCTTATTTGCGTGCGGTGGTTTGTGGCGGGCGTGAGCTGCCTGGCTATCTACTATGTATATACATGGCAAGGAGGGAGATGGGCTCAAAGCAGACACAGAAAACTGTCTCGTGAAAAAGATCAAGATATCAGCTTATTTTGATCAACATTTTGTACAGATCATGTTTTGCGGGATACATTCTACATGAAATGCTGTTGAACTTGTTGAAAATCAACAGAAAAAACAAGGTTTCATATCATGTTTTCATGTTACTTTTGTTAGCTCACGAGGTTCATATGAGAAATCAGGAACCTCGTACTAACAAATCTGATTGGTCGATTCGAATCAGCTATGCACTAAAGGTAGATATGGGCCCGTAGACTATTGCTAGTGTGTTTTGAAGGCCTAGGGAGTCATTTTGAACGAGTTTTGTACGCGGATCACGTGAGATTTGACTCGTGCCATATATAGAGCGTCTACCGACGCTCTAATAATAATTATGTGTATGAAAAGCACTAAAGTGCAAACCCTCAGCGAACTGGGCATGTGCGGTACCACTTATGGATGGGCTGGGCTATTAATAAGCCACGGCGTGCATGCGCAGCGAGGATTACTGTATAATAATGTACTTGGTTCGTTCTTGGGGTGTTGTCTGTCTGTTACCTAGATAGCAAGGCATAAACTGTTATTGAACCTTCCCACTCAAGTATTTGAGTGTGGTGTGAAGGATAAAGACACACAATAGATCGTGAGGTCCGCGGCTCGATCCCGGTCACGGGTGCTTTTTAAAATTAATAATTAGTGTTTTTTCATAACCTCTCAAGGCCAGCCGTAGTGGCTAGATGGATAGAGTCGTCGGGACTGACACCATAGGTGCCTGTTTATTCGAATCCCGGACCCACACTAAAGTGTCAGGTGGTCCAGAGCATTGGCTGGGAACAGCTCTGGTTCCTCCCCTTAATCTACCACTGACACACGTTTCTCAAAGGGCAGCACAGCATAGTGTGACATAGCGGGCTGGGCGATTTTTTTTGCACAATCACTTCACCACATTAACCCTTGGCACACATATGCAGCAGTACTAGACTAGCAAGAGAGTAAATTGACAACACCTTTGTGAAAAATTAATAAATACATAATCCAAAATCTTCAATTACATAACACCATTTTTTTGCTACATAGAGATCAGTTCTCAGAGGATCTAGTGTCCATGTTACTCAGCAGCCGCATCACCTGTGGTGAGGGAGTACGTAAACAGTGGCAGTTGCCAGGCAACACGAATCTCCATTACACTTTACTGCATTGTAGAGTATTGGGTACGGAGTTTAATACTGTATCCATTCACTGACAGTATAATGTGGAGGACCCACCCACAATACCAGCAGGTATAATGTACCTGCGTTCTCTCCTGGGGCGAGAGCTGTTGACTGATGTGAACTATGGCCTCCTGTGTTACCTGTGGATGACTTGTAATCAGACTGCAGGGAGAGAAATTCAGCAGCTGCTACGTCAGAAACTTTGTGTGACTTTATGCATGTCTAGTGACCAATCTATTACGTACAGATATATTATACTTGTGAGTAAGCAAACCTCTGGCATTTTGATTAAACTTTAAATAGAAACAAAATGTCTGAAAAATTAGTGATATGGAGTGATATTGTAGCTAACCTGTGAAGCTGTCGTAAGATGAATTCTTTCTTGACGCATTCAGCATTCTCCCTGACGGACGAGGAGGGAGATGAGACTTGCGACTCCAACCACGGCACCACTACCTGATCCTGGTCCCACAGGAACGTCTGATGGGGGGAGAGAGAGGTGGGCATTATTTAGAATGACCACTATACTGCACAATTGGTACACAACTGACGTTCAGAGTGCCTTTGTCCTCCACAAACCATCGTCTCAACAGCTCCATTGCCTCACCTCTTGAAATAAAGCTATGGGAACAAGAAACAACAACGCTCATGTGGCTATGAGCTCTACATAAGATTAAGGATAGAATGGGGAAAGAAAATGTTTGATTCACGAAGATTTTGTGGCAGTTGTTATAATTATCGCGGACCTGTCAGCGTCCATGACGATCCTGAGTGCCAGCTCCTCACCGAGTCTCCTCCTCAGTCTCCAGTAGAAGAACCGTCTGGAGTCGGCCCATTTCAGGACGTCCTGTAGCGATAACGAGGGGAATTAGGTCGTCCTGATAGAGAGATGAGTTACCTTGACAACCCCTTTCTCCTGCATTCGACCTGGAGTGTCATGGAGATCAGCAAACGTCACGGCAATCTTTGAACACAGAGAGAGAGAGGGTGTGTGTGTGAGAAGAGAGGGAGCAATTGATGTTTCTCTGAACAACTCCAGCAAATGTCTGGAGACACGAAATGTCCCAGTGGTTGAGTTTAGTTATTGTGTCAACCTCACCTGATGGTATGTGGAGGTGAGGTGATCTTCCCTGGCCTTTAGCTGACTCAGTGCAGTCTTCCTCTCCACTGGAGTCAGGTCTGAAATCATCACATGACTATCACAGAAGGTCACATGATCTCCCACCCACCTGGTAAGCTGGTCTTTGCCAGCAGGGAGCGGTAGGTGGGGTCTAATCTCTCCATAGTCTTCACGAGATCTTTTCTCCTGAACTTAATCTCCACGGTTCCCTCTGGTTCTAGAACACCTCCTCTGCTCTCCTCATCTGGAGAACAAACATCATTCAAGATTAGTGGCCAAATTGATTGATAAACATGTTGTAGTAGTGTTTGTGATACAGGTGAGATTGCAGCTTTAAGAGTGACTGTGGAAAATAGGGTGGCCTAAACTTCTCGTTCTTTTAACAAGCAAGTGGGGGGAAGGACAGACCAACCAACCATCCTGAATACCTTGACTATAGCTGGAGTATGCAGTAAAAAGCACTCATTCCTTATTCCGGTTCCCCATTCCCTCATTCCCCAGTCTCACCAGCATACATCTCCATGTGGTCGGGGTTAATGGTTGGATCCACTACCACCCAGGCTCCTCCCCTCAGTTCCCCGTGAGGTGGGAGATAGATGAAGACCGGCTGCTGATACACCCGCAAACTGTCCACTATCATAGCTCCATACTTTAGCACCTCGTCATACATGTCTATTAATAGATACAGTGACATCATCAACACCAATTAGATACAGCTATAAATAGTAACTGACCCCTCATTCCTCCGGAGAAGCCTCTCCAGTTGGCGAAGATAAAAAGGGGAAGCCCCTCTCTGTCCATGTCACTAATAGCCTGAGCAGTCTTGAAGGCGGAGTTTGGGTACCACACCTGTCCAGCCTGGCTTATCGTCTGCCGCGAGGGGAGGATAAACAACAAACAAGATTGTAAACACAAACAATGCTGTCATTGGGTAAATAAACTAAACTGTAAACGCACACCTCAAATAATGAATACCACACCATAATTTCCAACTTTGTAGCAATAAGAGTGTGTGATGTCATACTCTGCTCTCTGTGTCCGGATTGGCCGGGTCTGCTGGCACCGTACTCTCCACCATCCTGGTTTCCACGGCGATGACTCCGCAGGGGATTCCCCCGAGTCTGGCTCTCCCGGTGACGACAGTCTGGGCCCAGTTACTGAGGCTCTCCATGAACGACCCTCGGTCAAAGAACCCTCCCTCCCACTTCACATCTCCTGGACAACAATGACCACCTTATATACACCACATCTCTTGGTGGAGTTGATGTTTTAAAAGCCCTTCACAATTTTGTTTCTTTAATGAGCACGTAGCAGCATGAGTAAAACCATACAGGGAGATGAATTGGACAAAGCCACAGGTATGATGTCATAATTACATCATACCGCGTCTTCCTTCCAACATGAGTTTTGGGTCGTAAGGAGCCTTGGTAGGAGTAAATTCCACTGGTCTTGAGACTGGGTCCAGAGATGGCATCATCGGGAGGGGCCCCCTCTTTTTCTGTGGGAGAGAAAGGGGTTAAACTACTGTTCCATGTGGGAGAGAAAGGGGTTAAACTATTGTTCCATGCGGGGAGGAAGGGGCTAAACTACTGTTCTATGTGAGAAGGAAAGGGTTAAACTACTGTTCTGTGTGAGAAGGAATATGTATGATGTAATCATTACCTCATACCTTGGGAATGTACGAGAGCCAGTCAATGATAGCCGCCACTCCCTCCACATCGCTCGGTACAGTGAGGTGGGTGACGCCATTGTTGTGCATTATCTGGATTCCTCCTCAGCTGGGCGTTGGACGAATACACCTCTCTCCCCAGAACCTGCAGTGGCCACGTTCCATACCATCATACCTCCATTACCCAATACCCACATTCCTCCATACTACCCACCATTCTACGTTATTATTGGGGGGGATAATGCAAAGTTAGAACGAAAAGGTAGGAGCGAGATAGGAGAAAGTTGATTTTTCTATTGTACATACGCAATATACAGTACCTTGTTGAGGGCCCCAGCTCCAGTCAGAATAATGTGAGAGTTCTCCACCTGGTTGGGAGGAGCAGATCACATGACAGTCACATGAGGTCATGTGATCCTACCTGAATGACCCTCTGACCCAGTCTGACAAGGTAGGCTCCAATACCAATGGCTCGACAAGTCACCTGACATTCATCAAAACATCATTAACTCATACTCCAATAAGACACCTTTCTTTCCCCAAGAACAGTTCTTGTAATTTAACCCCTGAAATAAGTACACCTCACTAATATGGATACTTTTTTCTGCCCCGCTGGTGTCTGGATTAGAGGGGTTCCACTGTACAAATTACCAGACTAATTGTGAGGACTTCCTCGTAGGCCTGTGAGGTTTCCCCGGCGATCATCCCTGAGGCTCGCAGGTTCTCGACTCCAATCCCATCCTTCTTCCCTGCACCACACACACACACAACAATACACGACATGTCATCTTTCACTCTGGAGTTCTCACCAATGATGTCGGTGATCTTGTATCTGGACTCTCCCTCATCCTCTATCAGCTCCGTCCTCACACTTCCCTCCGCACTCACCTGGACAGCTAACTTTCATTACTCCATACCCAAACCCCACACCCCATACTCCACAAATTACCCCATACCCCATACCACAAACCCCACACTCCATTACCCCACACCCCCTACTCCATTAATTACCCCATTACCCCACACCTTCATGTAGTCCCCTCACTCCACTACCCCACACTCCGTTACCCCTCACCCCACACTCCATAAATTACCCCATTACCCCGTACCTTCATGTAGTCCCCCCACTCCACTACCCTACACTCCGTTACCCCTCACCCCACACTCCATAAATTACCCCATTACCCCGTACCTTCATGTAGTCCACAGGAGAGAGGTAGAGATAGCGATAGCCTTTCTCGGGGTACTCACAACCCCACACTCCGTTACCCCTCACCCCACACTCCATAAATTACCCATTACCCCGTACCTTAATGTAGTCCCCCCACTCCACTACCCCACACTCCGTTACCCCTCACCCCACACTCCATAAATTACCCCATTACCCCGTACCTTCATGTAGTCCGCAGGAGAGAGGTAGAGATAGCGATAGCCTTTCTCGGGGTACTCACAACCCCACACTCCGTTACCCCTCACCCCACACTCCATAAATTACCCCATTACCCCGTACCTTCATGTAGTCCCCCCACTCTTGTACCTTCATGTAGTCCCCCCACCCCATTACCCCGTACCTTCATGTAGTCCCCCACTCCACTACCCCACACTCCGTTACCCCTCACCCCACACTCCATAAATTACCCCATTACCCCACACCTTCATGTAGTCCCCCCACTCCACTACCCCACACTCCGTTACCCCTCACCCCACACTCCATAAATTACCCCATTACCCATTACCCCGTACCTTCATGTAGTCCCCACTCCACTACCCCACACTCCGTTACCCCACACTCCATAAATTACCCCATTACCCCACACCTTCATGTAGTCCCCCCACTCCACTACCCCACACTCCGTTACCCCTCACCCCACACTCCATAAATTACCCCATTACCCCGTACCTTCATGTAGTCCCCCCACTCCACTACCCCACACTCCGTTACCCCTCACCCCACACTCCATAAATTACCCCATTACCCCGTACCTTCATGTAGTCCCCACACCCCGCTACCCCTCACCCCACACTCCATAAATTACCCCATTACCCCGTACCTTCATGTAGTCCCCACACTCCGTTACCCCTCACCCCACACTCCATAAATTACCCCATTACCCCGTATGTACCTTCATGTAGTCCCCCCACTCCACTATCCCACACTCCGTTACCCCTCACCCCACACTCCATAAATTACCCCATTACCCCGTACCTTCATGTAGTCCGCAGGAGAGAGGTAGAGATAGCGATAGCCTTTCTCGGGGTACTCACTACCCCACACTCCGTTACCCCTCACCCCACACTCCATAAATTACCCCATTACCCATTACCCCGTACCTTCATGTAGTCCCCCCACTCATGTACCTTCATGTAGTCCCCCCACCCCATTACCCCGTACCTTCATGTAGTCCCCCCACTCCACTACCCCACACTCCGTTACCCCTCACCCCACACTCCATAAATTACCCCATTACCCCACACCTTCATGTAGTCCCCCCACTCCACTACCCCACACTCCGTTACCCTTCACCCCACACTCCATAAATTACCCCATTACCCCGTACCTTCATGTAGTCCCCACACTCCACTACCCCACACTCCGTTACCCCTCACCCCACACTCCATAAATTACCCCATTACCCCGTACCTTCATGTAGTCCGCAGGAGAGAGATAGAGATAGCGATAGCCTTTCTCGGGGTACTCAGACTCCACCCAGGCCACCTTGAACAGCTGTTTCAACTCCTCCGCAAGTCCTATCCTCGCTCCACTGTTGGCTGCTATATACACCCTCGGCAGGCCCTCCTTACGACTCAGCTCTGATGCCAGCTGCAATGGGGTTAACGGTCAAATTATCTACTGGAACATACTAGATTATAAAAGATCCATTACTCATTGCTATGTTCCGTTATTCAGCTACCCACTTTGGGAGAAAGTAATAGTTTGTAGTACATACCTTGAACAACTGGTCTTCCTGGGGTCCAAACGAACCAATGTTGTGAGTAATATCGTTGCCGATGACAATGACCTCTCGACCTTGGGGAAAGTGTGGAGTCAGCATCGTCATCCTCCATGCTACCATGGCGATCTGGGACCAAATAACATTAAGAATCTCATTCCTCCATACGCCCATTCCTGCATACCTCGTTCTCCCCGTAGACTCTGTTCAGCTCTCTCAGCTGGCCCTCCTCGTCCAGGACCAGTTCCGTACTCGACAACACCTTGTCCGGAATGGAGACATGCTCACCTTTGACTTTCTTCACGTCAGCCGCATACTGTTCCCACTGACGAATGAGCCCCTGGGGATATCACATGATAATCACATGACACTCAATGTATGGAGAAGTATGCAGTGGATAATAAACCTATGGAGACAAAGTCTCATCATTAATACCTGTCTGAAGAGCTCCACAAAGTCATAGATGTACGAGGTGCCAAGGTTCTGAGCCACGTATCTCTTCTGCTGGAGGTGGTCTTTGGATTGGTAGGGTGTGTTCACCTTCAGTCCGTGCAGCGGTCCCGCCTCCTGGCTCCCGTACGTCTCAAATACCAACTGGGTGGTGGGAAAAGGGTTAAAACGGTAAGTCTTCAAGTAGGTGGGGAATGGGTTAAAACAGTAAGTCCTCAAGTAGGTGGGGAAAGGGTTAAAACAGTAAGTCCTCAAGTAGGTGGGGAAAGGATTAAAACAGTAGATCCCCGAGTGGGTGGTGAAAGAGTTAAAAGACTAAGTCCTCCAGTGGGATGGAATTTCTTCCACTAAAACTTTGTATGTATATACCCTAACTTTCCTATGGCAAACCAAACTGTTATCTTAAGCTCACCTCTCCAGTTCTGGGGTCCTCCACCTCCCTGTACATGTGAGTGGTGATGGTGAACGTACTATCACTGGATACGAAGACCCTTATGTTGATACTCTTGCCTGTGGGCATCAGCCTGTAGATGTCGACAATGAATATCATTATAAAACCACAAGTGTTGGAGGGTATACCGTATGATGATCTTCACTTCAGCTTCAGTGACTCGTAGTTTCAGGAGTCGGACACCGTACTGTGTCACTAATGACAACATCTTCTCAGCGATCTGCAAGGAAAGAGTTGATTACATACACCTAGCAAGAAAATCAATGAAATCTCGTTGATTATCTGAAATCTCGACAGTATTACTTACAAACTGGTTTTAGTGCCCCATTATGCCAATCGACTGCATTTGTAAAACTATTTTCACAGAAAGTATTCTTCTCCCATTATCTAGAGTTGCATTAAAGCTATACTATAGTAGACACCCACCCTCTGAGGGTCTAGAATGATTGGTGGTACGAAGTGGAGAAAGATGTGGTTACAGTCCGTCTTCTGTGCCTGGAGGGAGCAGGACGAACCGGTTTGGAAAACCAGTCAAACTGGTTTGACTCACGTCTTCAAGCTTGGCTCTGGCGACCTCGAGTTGGTCCAGACACTCGAGAAACATTCTCTCACCTTCCTTCACCATGTAGTCATACGCTGCTTCCTGGAGAGAGGGAGGAGCACATTCTTGCATTACATGTGAGGGAGGAGAGAGAGAGAGAGAGGTGTATGGATTATTTCTTACTCTGGTGACAAAGTCGGAATGTCTGATGATGGTCCTAATGAAGAGGCGGTGGTCGGTAGCTGCCTGCCCTTCAGCCACCTGAGAGGTCACGTGATCAGTATCACACATCACATGATGATCACATGATTATCACATGACCTTGGCAGATCCGAGGTAGAGATGCATGCGGTGGTTGTGGCAGGGGATGGCCTGGATGTTGAAGTTGCTGAGTCTGTTAATCTCCAGTTGGAACGCCAGAGCTGGCTCCAGATGGCGGTAGATGGTGTCTTCTTTAAACTGTTGGAAGAGAGAGAGAAGATGACTCGTGCCATGTGGTGTGCAATTCTTATGAGGTGGCAATTCATTGAGAGAAATGGGAATTGTGTATAAATCATTTCCCACATAGAACTCGAAAACCTCTTCAAATATCGTTAGAATCAGTTCTACGTATAATACTGTGTTCCATCTGATCTTGCTCACCTCATATCTTGCTCTGAAGGTGAAGTATTTTGGAAAAGCTCTCTCCTTGAAGAACAGAAACGTGATCCTCCGAATGCCCTTCTGGTGCAGCACCACCGTCTGAGAACATGGGGGAATGGAATGTGGGGAATGTGGAACGAGATTTAAGGAGAACATAATAATGGGGAATGGGGGGAAATGGAATGGAATCATGGAGAAATGGGAATGGAAACACGGGAGAATGGGGAATGTGAGGCGGACTCACGTGTTGCCTCATGAACTGGCTGCACTGGTTGAGGAGGGAGGAGTCAGAGTCGTCCTCGGGGCCGTTGAGGTAGAGACCGATGTTGACTATGTGGATTGGTTCGTCTTCTGTTGAGGTGGAGCTTGGGACCTTCACAGGAGGAGTTATAGGTAGACAAATAAATGGAGGAAAATTATAATTTCAGCACATGAGAATTCAATTGAACAGTTAAAAGAAGTGAAAGAGAGGTCAGTTGAAGAAACTGACAGAAAATACATTGTCGTCAGCATCTTCCTCTTCAATGGACGACAGATCTCCGTTACTGGAGGGGGGCGTGGCAGGGGGTGTGGTCGACGGAGGAGGAACAAACAGGTCCATCAGTTGAGAGAAATACCTGCAACAGAGATCATGTGACTCTGTGACATATCACATCACACACACTCACTCCTTGAAGTGCTGGAAGGAGTTGAAGGCAGCCATGACTCCGGTGCGCTGACAAGGAGGGGCAGATATCTGTTTGCTGAGGGACACGAGATCCTCACTCAGACTGTACACCTTTGGTATCGGCAGAGATATGCTGCCTCTGTGGTACGCCACCTTCCTGATGGAGAGCGTTGGGAAGATGAAGTGAGATAGGAATGCTTCCTTATTGCTTTACTGTATGTTTAGAGAAGGGTTCATACAGCCTTCAGTGCTACCACAGGGACAGTACCTGTTGGGATGGGAGGTGGGGAGGAGGAACTGCCACTGGACAAGGGTTGTGTTCTCATCCAACATCTCATGTTGGACACACGTCACGTCATACGCAGTGTACGATCTCCTCACATACACCTATACCCAGTAACAGTAGGTGTGGGTGACGGGAAACAAAGATTACCCATGTACTAGGTGCAGTTTTGACTTGAAATTGAAAGTGTCGCAGCATTTTCTTCAACTTTTGGAACATGTGTAGAACAAGCTTTCTCTCACATTACATCCCTTACTCTACATGTTGATTTTCCTGACTTTATATATATAGTACTATCTCCCTCACTTCAAGAGCAGCCACGCGGACCAACTTGTTCTTGTGGTAGAAGAAAGAGGGGAGGATGTCGAAAATAGACGTCCCACTCTTTATCAACTGCTCCAGACGATCTGCCTCAAACGACAGTCCTGATATCGCCGATAAGAACATCGACTCCACCTACACAACGTGACATTATGTAATGATTACATCATTAGTAATGTAGCGGTACCGTACTTGATTGTAGCGGAGTTCGTACGGAGGTTCGTGGGCCGATATCAGCATCTGAAACAAAACACGTCATCACCGTGGAAACCATAAACTTAGTAACATTGCCATGGTAACCATACCCAAAAACCCAATCTACATCATCACCACGGTAACAGTAAACAATACATCATCACCATGGCAACAGTAAACAATACATTATCGCCGTGGTAACAATAAGCCACACCTACCTGGCGAGCAGCGAGTGCGACCTTTGAGTTCTTGTGGTAGGAGAGAGAGGCGAGTTGTGAGAGGGTGACCTTCAGATCTTCTTTCATGTTGTAAGACTCCTCTGTCTTCAGGGCATCCTGTACAAGACACAAGTTTCTCAACAAACTTGGGGTCCTTTGACTATAGCGAAAGGTATATACTGAATAAATCTCCCTCATTCCTCCATATTTCCTATCTTCCCTCTCCCTCTCACTCACAATCAGTTTCACAGCCAGAGAGTTCCTCCCTGAGATGTAGTAGTGAGCAAAGATGTCAGCCGCTACTTTAGCCATGTCTCCGTTGTGATGACTTCGCAGTAGGGAAACCCCCTTGTCGTACCCACCTGGACCAATACACACAGTTGCCACGGAGACCGGTAAACATCGCCGTGGTAACGTACCCTGGAAGATCTCCTCGACCCTGTGGTACTCGTTGAGGAGTGTGATGATGGTCGACCTCATTCTTCCCCTGATACCATGTCTGTACCTGTAACCACCATCACATTAAACCTTAAACATTACAGCCCAGTGAAATTTTTCAAACATACACACTTATATTTTACTTTATGCAAATCAAAATACTAACACAGACTCTAAAATTTTTTTCTCAGCTCTAAAATATTTTCAATGCAAGTCTCACTTGCTTTTCCCCAAACAAAGTCCAACTTACTTCTGCACCAGTTGCATGACTGGGTTAGTGTTCATGAAGAACTGGTCGTGCTCCGATCTCTTCTTCAATGACACCGCATGGCGGTTGATGATGTTGGATATCTGGATCCAGAGTGGGGGAAAGGGGGAATGGGAATGTGGGAATGGGAATGTGACTCACCTGTTGACTGGGGAACTGGCAGAAGACTGAGGTAAGGTTGTTGGCATAGCGACCGAGGCAGGTCTGGATCTCATTCTCCACTGACGTGGGAATGCGACTGGAGATGGCCGACATCACATCCTATACAACATACCACGCCACCAGTTATGAGTCACTGGGAGACTGAAATCCTATCCCTATAATAATTGCTTTCTTGTGAATAAATTGGCGGTAATGTCACCTCCACCGTCAAAGTATTAGAACTAAAATTGCATGTTTCATTAAATCCAAACGTCTTTGACTTATGAAAATGTATAACTACAGTAATCTTTGCAACACATGTGCACTTAATGTTTGATGTAAAACACTTTGCAAGTACAACAGACCATGTTTTAAGCACAGTCGTATAATTTGTGTAATGCAAGAAAAACTAGGTGTAAATAGACGCAGGATGCGATTTTTTGTGTTGTCCGGTATTACTTGAAGATCTGAATACGATTGTTCCACGTATCACTGACATACAATGTTCCTTTCTTGCCTACTGCTAGTCCAAATGGACGATCAAACTCCACGGGACCTTTTCCCTTTCTTCCAAATGACTTGATAAACTCTCCATCATTAGACAATATTGATATACGATTGTTCCCATATTCACCAACATACACTACATTGGCAGAGTCAATAGCAATACTGACTGGCCCGTTTAGTTCTCCCTCTCCTTCTTCCCTTCTTCCCAAACTGCCTCAAGTACACTCCATTGACCGTGAAGACCTGGATTCTGTGGTTGTCACGATCAGCTACATACACATTGCCATCTCTGTCTGTAGCTACATCATAAGGCCAGTCAAACTCTCCATTGTTAGAGCCTTTCCTACCAAAACTACTGGAGTATGTGAGGTCGGAGGTCAGAACCTGAATTCTGTGGTTGTCCCGGTCAGCAACATACACCTTGCCAGTGTGAGGATGAACTGTAATGCCTCGTGGATACTGGAACTGAAGAGGTCCACTGCCCAGGGTACCGACTGTTCTGAGGTGTTTGCCAGTGGATGACAACTGCTGAATACGATGGTTGTCACAGTCTACTACAAGAATGTTTCCTCCATTGTCTATTGCTACACCTTTAGGACTGTTGAACTGACCAGGACCTGAGCCACGAGTACCAAATGATTTCTTCTCTCCATTTCCACTGATGATTGATACACATTCACCACCAACTTCCGCTACCACCACCTCCCCTCCCTCCCCGACAGCTATACCAAACGGCCCATTGAAGTCTCCAATGATGTTGGCTGGGGCAGTGAAGTTGGGTAGAACGGTGACAGTGAACGGACTGTTCAAGATCGGGTGCTCTTCTATTAGAATGTGTAGTCGATGTTCTCCAGTGACCTGAGGCTGGTAGCTGATGTCGTAGATGTTCTGATTTCTTCTCTTCACAGTGCCCCTGACTCGACTGCTGCCATCACTAGCAACTAGCTCACACCTCAAGCTGTCTACAGGTCTGAGGTAGGCTTCTCCCTCCCTATCTAAAGCCTCTACAGAGACAGCCACTATTTGCCCTCTCGTGGCTACCTTGATGCCTTCACCTGAGGCTCGACACTTCTCAGGGCACACTGGATGACAGTACACCTTACCAAACTGCTGGCAAGTCTTCACCAGTTCAGGCAGACTGTGAGCAAACACCATGTCGGCTTGCTCGGCAAGAGCCAATGTCTCTGGCTTGAAGCTGCCTGTCAGGTCGTTGACTTGTTTCACGAGAGGACTCTTCATCCTCAGAAATCTCCCCTGGCTGCAAGTACGTCGGCTCTCCTCCACAAAGTCCTGGCAGCTCCTCAGCTGGCCCAGTTGCAGTTCAAACCCGTCTCGCTGCGCTGCCAAGGTCTTCAGTTTCTGCTGTGCTGTCTGCTCTGCTTGACCCACCAGCTCTGTCTCCCTCGCCTCTAGAGCTTGTCGCAGGTGTGCCATGGCAGTGCGGATCTCTGCCACCACAGCCGTCTTCTGTTCTACGACTGCAGCACATTGGGTGTCCACTGACTCAACGGCTCTTTCTAACGTAGCAATCTGTTCTTCCACTGGCTTGAGAGAGCCCACGATCACTTTCTCTTGCTTGGCAAACGACTCGGGCACCAGATCGTACTGGTGGTCGCGATGAACACGAACGATGCAGTCTCGACATATCAACTCCTCGCATGTCTCGCAGTAGAGCTTTGCCTTTTTCGATGGATGATAGGCACAAAACAGGGTCTTCTTGAGAGGAGGAACGAGGGTGGTCACGTCTCCAGTCAAGGTTTCCAGGTCGATAATCTCGTGGGTTTTGAAATCGTCCCATTCCTGATGCGTTTCGACGCAGCGCTGGCAGACAAACCCACAAGTGCGACAAAAGCCAGTTGCCTCGCGTTTCTTGCACTTGTTGCACATTGTTTTGTTCGCTGGAGCTCACTTTCTTGAGGGCACCTTGGACGTGGAAGAGGTAGTGGATGTAGAAGGCTCCTTGGAGCCCCGGGACTCCGCCCACTGGCAGTGGAGTGTCCTGGCGACATTGTGGACATGGGAGACTCTGTCCCTCTCGTCCCCCACGTACCAGACGTTGCAGGCACTGCTCGCAATACACGTGGAAACACTTGAGCAGCCTCGGCTGTTTGTAGGGCTCCAGACATATCCCACAGGTGACCTGGTCCTGGATCTTCTGGAGGGCTTTCTCGGCAGCAGTGGAGGGTTTGGCAGCCATGGCTCTGTCAGTAGTGCAGCAGACAAGCTAGAGAGAGGGTCTAGTCAAGACCGAGGCAAGCAAGCTGATAAAGCAGGAAGCAAGCAAAGGTGCTGTCCTAACTCCAAGAAATGGGCTAAACTGAGGCTGACAGGAAACAGCCCTTGACTTTCTGTCACTCTACCAATATTCACAGTCTGAGATCTGCAGCCGCTTGCATGCCTGACCTTATTTGGAGATTCTAGTGAGATCATGAATACTGAAAAAAGGGTCTGATCTTGGGACTGTCCAATGATATTCACACACTATAGTCAAAACCACAGGGATCAGCAGAGTGTTGTGTTCACCCCTTTACTTTTAAAATGGGGTGGAAAATGCATGTGGGTACACAGAGAGTTTGAGAGAACTTCAGGGGTGTCTTTAGAGAGGGGCTCCATTCTATGAGAGGTTGTCAAAGCTGTCTGTCTTACCATGCAGCCAACAAATATACTTTTTCTCTGCCCTAGAGAGAGGTTCCAAATAGAGCCCACCTGCATCTCCATGAGTGGGAGGGCGGGGTCGGTGAGTCCAGAGAGGAAAGAAGAGAGGGTTTCGTCCAGAGAGACGGAAAAGAAAGGTTCCGGCATGGCGAAGCCGGCCATCACGTGCTGCAGCGTCATCTCCGCCTGCTGGAACCTCTGTAGACACACACACACACACACGTGAACTCTGAGTGTGTCGTAAGTTGACACCCAAAGACAATGATATGAGAGGTAGTATTATATGAGGCTTTACCTGGTGAACCTTTGCCTTCTGAGACTCCGAGAGTTTGGGGGCCGAAGGCAGGGGGCCCAGGAATTTCTCGGCCTGTCTCACATGTGAGGGGTCGTCGAGGTCGATCCTGGCAACCAGCATTCCGGGATGGAGAATGGCTCCGGGACGCTTCACATGGTGCAGACTGGAACCAGAGAGTGTGTGTATACATTTGTATGTATTTCCTTCCTTCCGAGAGTGTATCAGTTGCTCACATGCCAGACTCCTTGGTGGAGAGGGTGGTCACCATCTTCATCACCTCTATCTCCGCGTACGGCTTGTTGGCGTCGACATGGCAACCGTCCTCCACCAGATACTGCAGCAGTTTACCCGGAGAGTTGGACCTTCATCAGAAAAATTTTCAGATGAATCAAAAATCCACCAAAATTTTACATCAAAATTTTGATACTCATTCACCTGAGCTTTTATGGTTTAAATCACAAAATCGTGGAACACTTGATTCACACAAAAAGAATCATTTATTAGAGATAGACAGAGTAAGAGTCTTGCCTGAGAACTCGAGGGTCGTTTTCTTTCTCAAAGACGCAAGTCTTCCCTCCGATGACGACTCTGTACCCGTCGGGCTCCCCTTTGAGGTAGGTGGTGTAGCTGGAGCCGTGGAGCGAGAGGAGGAGAGAGGCGTCGGTCATCTTGTGGGCCTCCAGCTGGAGGAGACTGTTGTTCATTACCAGGGCGTAGACTGTGGGGTGAACACGTGACACCTGTGAGGGAGGGACGGGAGGGGAATGGGGACAGTGGCTGGTGCTGGTACAGGGAGGGGAGGGGAATGGGGACAGTGGCTGGTGCTGGTACAGGGACGGGAGGGGAATGGGGACAGTGGCTGGTGCTGGTACAGTGCGATTGATAAGTGATTGATGTAGTTTTAGTTGAAGGTAATGGGAGAGAGGGAAAATTAGACGAGAGAAATTGTATCCATATGGACATGCAGGAGAGCTATTGAGAGAGATAAGAAGATAGTTAGGTAAAAAAGTACTAACTTCAAGTGAATATTTGATGCTGTCGCTGATAAGATCAACATCAACTTTGTTGGACAACATCTCTGCATTCATAATCTGACCCCTGGGGAAATAAGAAATTATTACAACCCCAGAAAACTGTGGTATAAATGACATAATCCTCTCAGGGGCAGGTGGTAATATTGTATATACCTCTCCAATAGAGCTTGGTAGTCGGCAAATCTCTTCCGAAACGCCACCTCAGCGATGCACAGAGCTCCACAGATGACACCCAGCATGGGATCAGGACGCTCCGCCTTCACCTGGAATGGAATAGAGACACATTCTGTGAATGGAGGTGACACTTTAATACGGAATGGAATGTAGACACATGCCAAGCACACAGAACAAAACTCTTCAGGCACACGGAATGGAATGGAGACATACTCATTGGTGTGTGTGGAATGGAATAGAGACGTGGACCCACCTTCTCAGCTATAAGCTGGTCGAGCCAGCTGGTGTCAATGTTGTTGCTATGGAACCTGTCTGTCTCCAGGAGAGTGATGAGGTACTCCACGGTGGTCCTGAAGTCTCCTCTGATGGACAACTCCTTCAGAGCCAGCACCATGTTCCTGGACACAGGGGACACAGGGAGACAGACACATTTTCGTGAAATTGCTAGAAAAATGTGTACATATACATATTAAATAATGTTATTAGCTCCTCTGATATTAAACTTTTACACGTACTGCTTGGGTCAACTTGTGTAAAATTTTCTAAAACCGCTGAGAAATTTCTATAAACCCCTGCCAATGATCCCTATGTCAGAGCCCCGTGAGGCAAGCTGCGTACCGTCTGGCGATGTCCCTCGTCTCTCCCCAACTAAAACAATGGCCAAACTGAGAGTCTGCAAACTCGTGGAGACCCCCCGTTGCCGTGACGCTGAAGTAGCCCCACACGTTCTTGCTGCTGCGGAAGTTGAGTTCCTGGACGGTCCCGCTGCCCGGTCTGAACCCCTCGTCCGGGTTCTCTGCCGTTATCCTGCAGGCAATCACGTGACCGTGGGGAGACGGAGCTGGCGAGGGGCTGCGGGAATGAGAGCCACACCCACAATTACGTAATCAATTAGGTAGTCATTGTGGCAGTATAATATATGGGCTAAATTTACATACTAAAATGGACCTATACGGAGGATTACTGACTTGTCAAAGTCGATGGAGGTGGTAGCAAAAGGCTCCTTCTTGTACAGCAAACGAATGTCTTTGATGCAGTACAGCGGCAGCCCCATTCCAACCTGTGGGGACAGTGGTATCGAGCAGCAATCTCTCCACACCTCCTAGCTTCAATCAGTGGTATATGATAGTGTAGCTGCAAGGCTGCAATGGATGAATGGATGTCTGGTATTGTACCTGTAGTTGGAGGGCAGGCAGGTTTACGTTGGCCACCATCTCAGTACACGGATGTTCGACCTGGAGTCTGGGGTTCAACTCGAGGAAATGGAACTGTCCGTTGTCATGGTAGAGATATTCCACTGTCCCGGCACTGACGTAGCCGACCATCTTGGCCAGTCTAATGGCAGCCAGCTCCATCTCGTGGAACACCCCCTGATCTACAACACTGGGGGAGGAGGGAACAGGCGAGTAGAAATAAATCATCCTCCAATTAGAAGACAAGCTTGGCGCAATCATAGTTGGATACGTTCACACATACCATAAGGTGAAAGGTTTTTCTAAAAGTTCCATTATTGCTGTATATACACACATTACCTGGTGGCTGGAGCTTCTTCAATGATCTTCTGATGCCTCCTCTGAACTGAGCAGTCCCTGGAGAGAGAGGGACAATAGAAACATCACTATAGTTACAAGAGGAGAGAGAGAGAGGGAGAGCAGCTGACCTGCCGAAGAGAGAGATGGCATTCCCATATTCATCTGCTATGATCTGGACCTCAATGTGTCTGGCACTGTAGAGAGAGAGAGGGGAGGGGCTTTTTCAACTGGCTTCCTTATACATATAAGATACAATCTGCACCAACTGAGTCACATGTACATTTTGTTGACTGTACAACAGGTGTGTACAACATGAGGGGAGAGAGATTAATCCTCACTTTTTGGCTAGTTTCATGACAAACACAGGAGACCCTGGGACCTCAGCCTGTACCTGGAATGAAGTATGGAATAACGACTGAACAGCAGTATGAAATAACGAGGGAATGAGAAAGTAATTAAGTAATGATAGAATGACGGAGTAAACTAATGAAGGAATGGCAATATGAAAATGACAGAAAGCCATGGTATGAAATAATGAAGGTTTTAAAAAGGAGAGAAGAAAACCAAACTCTAGACCCAAACCTGGTAGAAGAGAGATGGAAATTCCTCAGAGTTGCGGGCCTTGCGTATCCCCTTCCCGCCACCTCCTGCCGAGGCCTTGATCATGACTGGGTACCCGATCCGTTCCGCCACTTCCATTCCATGTCTGGCGTCAGACACACACCCCTCGCTGTACAGCTGGTCTGGAATGTGGGCCATCCTACCTCGCTTGATGTCAGAGGGACACTGGTCCAGTTTCAGACCTGGGGGAATGGGGAATGGGGAATGGGGGAATGAGGTATGGGAGAATGGTAAATTCTATCAACCACTGATACTGAGGAACCGAATGGACCAAGAGGCAATCGCATAGAGTACGCAATGGTATGTGACATGTGACACGTGGAATGGAGTAATGGGAATGAGAGGGTCACCATGGGGAATGGGGTAATGTGATAATGTGGTGTAATGAGAGGGGTTCACCTGATCCACTCCAGGGGTAGGGTGGGTACGGAGGCAGTCTGGGCGACAATGGATGAGGCAATCTTGTCTCCGAGGGCCCACATGGCTGAGGCTGGCGGACCGAGGAAGGCGATGTTGGCTTTGTGGAGAATGTCGGGCAGCTTCGGGTTCTCTGAGGCGTGGCCCCACCCCGCCCACACCGCCTGCGGGGAGAGGGTTAAACTAGTATTTGCTGACTGTGGGGAGAGGGTTAAATTAGTATTGACGAACTCAACCATTACAATGGTGTGTACAATAATTACTCCACAATTTGCACTAATTATGTACATACTCTGAAATGGAAAATGCCACAAGTATTCCGCAAAAGTTTGCAAAAACTTTACTAAAGTGGTGAGTGGGAATAAATGAAATAACATGAAGCCCACTAAACTAATTTTATGTTTCCCTCCCCCACCTCTCTCTGAGTCAATTACCTGTACAGGTATTCTCTTGGCTAGGTCTAGAATGAGGTCGACGTTGGCATAGTTATGGTTGTTAGTCCCTCCAGGGACCAAGATGAAATTGTCTGCTAGATGGATGTACTCCGCATTTGCCTGTCCACAGAGAGAGAGAGAGGGTAGTTGAATGATGAATTACTGGTGAGTGAACACAAGTGCTCAGGATTGAGAATTGCATTGCAGTATGGACAGCTCCATCTAACACACAAATACAAAACCCACACAATTCAGGGACAAGATGGGCTCGCTGCTCTAGCTGCCAATTAGATTCATTAGTAAATTGGTCGTGAATTCCATTCAAAGGCAATTTATCTCACAATCATGTACTGCACTGGCAGGTGATTTCTCTATAAAAACACAATATTATTATTACCAGCTGCACAATGGGAGCATGTGACCATAATACATTTCGTGAGTTGAGGAAGCAACTGCTAAACTCTACGTAAAGTATATAAACACATATACCTTCTCTTTTTCTGCTGTTGTTTGTTCATTAATAAATGTTTCGCACCTGACCATGCATTCCATACTGTATGTATTAAAACATTATGTACACCTCTCTGATCAACCAAGTATTATGTCTAATAAGAATGCAATAGTCTTTCACACAACACTAACTACTCCCAACCATCCACTGATACACAAACTTTCTCTCCTCTTTCTGTGTCTGTGACAATGTTGTACAGCTCACCTTGAGGTCCTCAGGGGTTACCATGGCGTGGAACGTGATCGCCCTCTCGTTGTTGAACATTTCGTAGCTCCATCTTCGAACGGAGCGAATGAATTTGACTGCCCCTATCCCATTGTTGGCTATCAGGACCTTCTCTATCACTCTCTTGCCTCCATAGCGACGAACAAACTCCCCAGGCGTAGCTACCTAGAAATGCAGGGAAAAGGAGGGAGAGGGAGGGAGAAAGGAGACGAATTATGAAGGTGTAGCTACGCAAATAGAACCGCGCAGGGTGCTACGTTCTTCACGGAGAGTGGTATACGCAACGGTAAACGTACTGCGGGGTCGTCCTTGGTTTTGGAGGCTCCAGAGAGCGTACGGCTGTGTTTCCTCTCGTTCATGAGGCCGCGCGCACAGCCTGAGCTCCCGGAGCGAGACACGTACTGTGGAGAGCGGTTGCTGGCGGGTTGGAGCCTGCAATAGAGGGGGCTCTAAGTTTAGTTTAGTAGAGAGGGAGAGCTGTCGCTGCAAACAATCCAGGGAGCTTCTGTTCAATTTTTCATAAGTCAGCCGATTTTCGTTATTTTCGGACACGTGCCGCAAAAACTATGCGCATGCGCACACTCAACTCCTGAATGGAATGTGATCTCTACTGTACTGCTATGCCAGCTCATGTACACAAAACACAGAGTCTGAAGGTAACTATGATTTTCAGTCAGCAGCAGCTTTTTAACTACTTGACGTACAACTCAACCAGTTCCACTGCTATGTTTTCACCGTAATTCCATAAACACATTCTCAGTTCAAGGTCATCGCTAGTTGTCTGGTTGAGGGTTTTGGTGAAATATGGAGGATTGTGGAAAGAGCAACATGTACTGGTGGAGTGACAGTCTTCACCATCCCAGAGAGTGTCAGTGGAGTGGAGTCTGTACCAGCCTGTGTTGTTGTCATACCCAGGATACACATACCCTGACTCACAGAAGTAATCTTCTCCAACAAATGATGGGATGGATGTAGCTCCATTGTCACATGGACAGTTCCATGCTTGGGATCTTGTACCATTCTCCCATGCTCCATTAGCAAATGTCCAGATGTGTTGTCGAGGACTGCCATGCATTACAGCCACACCACTGACATAGGCACTATCAATTGTAGTTTGTCCACCTCTGATATACCCATAGAAGGCATCAGGTACTCGATACTGGTAGGCTCTGATCCTGCCACACACCTGACTGTATGGTCCTCCACTGACAGGGAAGAAGACTGAGTCACAAGTCGCAACTCCAGTACTAACTCTGCCACAAGTTCTCTTGGAGTATCCAGTGAGCTGCCAGCCAGAGGGACAGTTGGTGTTGGGGTCTGTCATATCCAGGTAGACTGCACGTCTCCAACCTCCTGTACCTCCACATGTGTAAACAGGAAGATCGTCGATCTTGTCACATATCATGTTAGCTCTGCTATTGAGACCGTTTAACCCTCTCTCAACAACACTGAAATCATCTCTCATTGATTCATTCAGAGAACCCAGTCTGGTGTCAACCTCTTCTGTGAGATTATCAACCTTTTGGCTGAGGATTGCTATATCAGACTTCATATTCTTCATGTCTTTCTCGATAGTCTCCAAAGCTGGTCCTACAACTTCATACACAGCTGCAGCAATCCTTACAACTGCAGCAAACACATCTTATTGTGATGCCAAGTATTATCTATTCCCTTACCATCAATTTGAGACAGTCCCAGTTGTACATTAGACAGTGTCACTAGACACAAGACCAGCAGAACAGTCCTTTTCATCTTCTCAGTGATCCAGGGAGTTGACAACTAATTTAACAGCAGTAAACACTCTGGCAAAAGTGATATCTGCCTCAGAGTCTAGCTCTATATAGAGGAAAATGCATCAGATACTCTGTATATAACTGATTAATGAATGGATGGTGTTTTTGGATTTTAGATATTAGGATGTCTGCCAAATATGCTTTCTGTGACATTTATTTGACAAATTATATTTGTCCAGTTCCATTAGCTCATTAGACTGCATGGTTGTTAAGTGGAGTCAACTAGTCTGAATACAAAGCAGCACATCTCTTTATAGCTATGTACAATATTATGCCACCAGACTCCAGACTCTGTGCAAAAAGAGGATTAGTTTCAGTCAAAGAACAGGTTCAAAAAATCAAACACTTCCCTCACTTTACTCAGTCCAATGTCACTGCATCGGACAATTTTCTTACAGTTTTTGTGGCATTATATTCTCATGCAAAGGCAAATGTCTGAACAACAGCTAAACTTAGATCCACAAACTCTTCGATAAGAACAGAATGTATCCATCCACTGCCATAGTGCTTTAGGTTAAAGTATATAAAACACTATTTTTCTGCTGTTGTCTGTTCACTAATCATTGTTTCACACCAAACCATGCATTCCATACTGTATGTATTAAAACATTATGTACACCTCTCTGATCAACCAAGTATATACTATGTCTAATGAAAAGCACTACAGTGCAAACCCTCGGCGAACTGCGCATGCGCGGTACTGCTAATTGATGGGCTGGGGTATTTCGTGGTGGTCTCCCGCTATATAGTATAGCTCTAAGTTTTTGAGAGGGAGAGCTGTCGCTGCAAACAATCCAGGGAGCTTCTGTTCGATATTTCAAAAGTCAGCCGATTTTCGTTATTTTCGGACACGTGTCGCAAAAACTATGAGCATGCGCACACTGAACTGAATGGACTGTGACGATTTTTCTCTCTACAGCTATGCTAGCCAGTAAAAGACATGTACACAAAACACAGAGCCTGAAGGTAACTATAAATATTTGTTTTCAGTCAGTAGCAGCCTTTACATACAACTCTACCAGTTCCACTGCTATGTTGTCACCGTCATTTACTAAACACATTCTCAGTTCAAGGTCATCAGTAGTTGTCTGGTTGAGGGTTTTGGTGAAAAATGGAGGATTGTGGAGAGAGCAACATGTACTGGTGGAGTGACAGTCTTCACCATCCCAGAGAGTGTCATTGGAGTGGAGTCTGAACTCTGCAGTAATATTTCGGTACCCAGGATACACATACCCCGACTCACAGAAGTAATCTTCTTCAACAAATGGTGGGATGGATGTAATATTATTGCCGACTTCACATGGACAGTTAAAGGGTGCTGGTGTTGTATAATTCTCCACTGCTCCATTAGCAAATGTCCAGATGTGTTGTCGAGGACTGTCATGCATTACAGCCACACCACTGACATAGACACTGTCAATTGTAGTGTGTCCACCTCTGTTATACCCCCAGAAGGCTTCAGGTGTTCCATACTGGTAGGCTCTGATCCTGCCACACACCTGACTGTATGGTCCTCCACTGACAGGGAAGAAGACTGAGTCACATGTCTCAGATCCAGGACTAACTCTGCCACAAGTTCTCTTGGAGTATCTAGTGAGCTGCCAGCCAGAGGGACAGCTGGTGTTGGGGTCTGTCATATCCAGGTAGACTGCACGTCTCCAGTTTGCAGTACCTCCACATGTGTAAACAGGAAGATCGTCGATCTTGTCACATATCATGTTAGCTCTGCTATTGAGACCGTTTAACCCTCTCTCAACAACACTGAAATCATCTCTCATTGATTCATTCAGAGAACCCAGTCTGGTGTCAACCTCTTCTGTGAGATTATCAACCTTTTGGCTGAGGATTGCTATATCAGACTTCATATTCTTCATGTCTTTCTCAATAGTCTCCAAAGCTGGTCCTATCGCTTCATACACAGCTGCAGCAATCCTTACAACTGCAGCAAACACATCTTATTGTGATGCCAAGTATTATCTATTCCCTTACCATCAATTTGAGACCGTCCCAGCTGTACATTAGACAGTGTCACTAGACACAAGACCAGCAGAACAGTCCTTTTCATCTTCTCAGTGATCCAGGGAGTTGACAACTAATTTAACAGCAGTAAACACTCTGGCAAAAGTGATATCTGCCTCAGAGTCTAGCTCTATATAGAGGAAAATGCATCAGATACTCTGTATATAACTGATTAATGAATGGATGGTGTTTTTGGAATTTAGATATTAGGATGTCTGCCAAATATGCTTTCTGTGACATTTATTTGACAAATTATATTTGTCCATTTCCATTAGCTCATTAGACTGCATGGTTGTTAAGTGGAGTCAACTAGTTTGAATACAAA